GTAACAATTACCCTCCTAAAACCCGGGAAAGACCATATAATAGTTAAAGGATACCGTCCGATCGCCCTACTTAACTACTTAGATAAAGTCCTTAAAGTAGTAATCGCGGAGAGGCTCTAGTAGCTACTCGACCACGAGGACATTCTTCTATCTACCTACCTAGAGGGAAGAAAGGGACGGGCCTTACACAAGGCCCTCTACCACATTACTAAAACCATATACTAAGCATGGAACAAGGACGAGCGTGTCATAGCTCTAGCTCTTAATATTAGTAGTGCATTCGACCACGTATCCCACCTAAGGCTACTAGATAACCTAGTAGCACGAAAGATCGGTGGTACTATAAACGTGTAGATAGCGAGCTTCCTTACTAACTGGACTACTAAGCTCCGGCTCCCGAACCACGAGACCGGGAGTAACCCGGTTAGCGTTAGAATCCCTTAGGGGTCTCTATTATCCCCGGTACTCTTCATTCTCTATAACGTAGATCTCGTTACCCTTAGTAACCATATCCCTAATCTAACTACGGTAGGATAGATCGATGACGTCACCCTAGTAGTAAGAGGAGCTACTAGGAAAGACGCCATAGCTACCCTATAAGTAGGCGTCCTCGCTTGCGACTAATGGGCGAAGCGCTATAGGATAAAATTTAACCCTAGTAAATTCTAACTTATGTACTTTATTAGGCCCTCGAAGAGAGCCCGTAAGGCCGTAGACACCCTCGACCATGCGATAACCTATCGCGAGACTACCCTAGCCCTAACCTAATAGATAAAAGTGCTAGGAGTCTAGCTAGACTCCCGCCTTATATTCGCCTATTACACCTAGGTTATCATCCCGAGACTTAAGAGCGCTAGCTATCTCTTAAAGGAACTCGGGGCCTCCACGTAGGGAGTAGGAGCCGATACCGTCCGAACTATATATACCTAAACCATTCTCCCCCGGGCCACCTATTACTACTCCGTGTAGTATAAACTAGGTACGGCCCTAGCTAAGGAAGCTACTACAGCCCTACGGAAGATATAAAAGGAGGCTTATCTCCGGATTACCGGAGCCTTCCGAATAACTAACGCCGACGCCCTAAATATAGAGATATACATGCTCTCTACCGACCTAGCCCTTAAGTTAGCCGCCCTTAGCTAACTCCTATAAATGGTAGGAAGCTAAACGGGACGCCACCTCGTTAATTAATTAAGAAACAGTACCTAACTAGTATAGTAAAGCCCGCTAGCCACGTATATTAGCCTTAGTATACTACTTATAGGGTACCTCGACATCAAAGTTAGATCGCCTTTTATTAACTCGCTATAGGGTATCTACCCTAATACAATACTCTATACTAACGCTAAAAGCGCTAGGGAGAGCTATAACGCCACTCTTAAGGAATAGGGCCTCCACCTATATATAGATGGTATAGGCATTAATAACCGTGTGGGAGTAGCGGCATTTCTCTATAAAACCTAGGAGTGCGAAAGCGAATATATTAGCCCCCTATAATAGTTCTTAGTCTACCACGGAGAGGCGTACGCCCTCCTACTCGCGATTCGTATCATATAACGCACGTAGCGACTATATCTAGTATATATCTACGTGGATAATAGAGGACTAGTCGAAGCTATTACTAACCTATGCGCTAAGGCCGCATAGCTCTATATTAGGGAATTCCACAAAATTACGTAGACCATCGGCTACCCTATAATAGTCTACTAGATCCTAGTCTATATCGGGATCGAGGGCAACGAATATATCGATATCCTAGCTAAGGAGACGACCGGCTAGAGGGCTACTAACTATAAAAGCGACCCGGGTATCCCTCTACCTAGGACACGACCCCTTCCGAAGACCCGGATAGAGTCTAAGAGGAAACTACGCGACTTTAACTAAACCTAATAGACGAAGGCCTAGCACGCCGCGAAAAATAGTAGTACTATACTTAGACGTATCTAACCGGACCCGGACGTAAACGTCTTAGACATCTATAAACCATATAGCCGGGCTATCTAAAGTCTTATTACCTAAATAAGGACGGGTAAACTAAGTACTATAGAATACCTCCATAGTATCGACGCTAAGGAATCTCTACTCTATATCTACTATAACGCCTAAGTCCCTTAAAATCTTTATTATATCTTATTTAAATATAATACCTTCTCCTATATATAAGAGGACCTCTATAAGGGCTTTAGGAAACGGATAACGGACCTTAGGGAGGTACTAAGCTACCTAGAGATAGCCGCTGAAGCTACTATCTAGATACTTAGGACTTATACTCTAAAGAACTTCCGGTAGGTTAACGAGGACTAGAAGAACGACTAGTATACTAAAAGATAACGAGCTAATAAAGCTGAATGTCCGACACGCCAACCGCTCCGGGAACTATAATAGGCTAAGCCTATACTTAGCGCGGCATGGCCGCTATAAAAGCACTCCTACTAGGTAAAGACCATTCGTTTACCTAATTTAAAAACCTTAGCAATACTAACGCTAGATGCTAACATCTTATAGTATATAAACCTATTATATTAGTAGAGATCTAATATAGGACCTCTATCCCGAAGGGGGTAACGCTAGTACTACACCTATTAAGAGGGAAGCCCTAGCCTAATAGCTATAGACACGTGCTCCCGGGCCACCAATAAGGAGAGCCTAGGAACACACGCCCTAGTACCCGTATATAGGACTAAATCACGCCCGTTTTAGGGATACATAACCGATACTACGGTAAGTAATTATAAAACATCCACCTCTAACGCCGACCTAGAGGACAGCGGAGGGTATAGATCGCACATGGCGACGCCTAGCGCCAAAACTCCCATCTATACCCGCGCCACCTAATGCCACCGTATAGAGACAGAGGATACATAGGGCATAGAACCGAACGGCAAATGAATAATGTGAACCCCTAGCCGCAGTTACGCTTAAGAATCTCTACTAGTAGGCGAGAAACGATAGCACCTACGACTGGCCTAGTAGTTAAGCACGGAGGATTTAGTAGGGAGCTATCCCAAAGGAATCCCCGGGGAAAGCTATGCCTAAAGGAGCTACCCGCGACATAAATGAGCATTATACTCTCCGTCTGGCTAAGGCCATGCTAACCACTAGGGCGCCTAACCTCACTCTCCCCAATGCTGAAGAGGGGCCAGGCTAGTATACATCCACCGATCCGTATGGAGGGGGAAACAGCGGTAGCGCGGGTGGAAACGGGGACCAAATCTACACCCAGGGTTATCAGAAGGGGCGTGCATCATAGACGAGGGATAGCGTTTAGGGGGTAATGGTTAATAACTAATCTAAAGTCCGAGGTAGCTAAGATGCGACTAAAAACCCGCTCGAGAGGCCGGGACAGGGTTCTAATAGGCTGCATTAAGCGGGGGCGGTAATGCGTGTAATAAGTGGGTCATCGGCTATACAGGGCCTCGCCAATATTAGATAGTGCCGCGTGCCCCATTAGGGGCTCTACTAGGCAGTAAATGAAGCAACCAACCAACCAACCAACCAGATTAAGGAAATTCAACAAGCCCAAAGAGAAGGCAAGCGTACTTTGGAGCAGCTAGCACCTCGACCTTACTCTCACTTTCTGCTGGGCGCTATCGAGAGATGTGCCGAAGAGCTAGTTCCACAACTGATCAGCGCCATGTCCTTCTCCCTCATCGTGACCCCCCTCCCCCCCTCCCCCTCGTCCTCCTCATAGACCAGACAAGACATCAGCGAATCACAACCAGGTAAAGCTCCGCAACTCTCGACCTCATTCTATGGCGATTCATTCTGTGGCAGCCCTACCACGCTACGAGGAGCGCCCACCGTCCAACTTTCTCTCTCCTGGTTCTAGCGTTATATTCATTCCTCGCATACACCTAGGCCCGGCAACCAAGCTAACTGGCAATTGCTGCATGCATGTTGGGTATGGAAGGCCTGCGATCATTCAGCCCAAAAGACAACCACTCTTGGCTCCTTCAGGGACCTAGCTCGAAATGCTCATCATTCCTGCTGGCATCTGCTGCTCTCTTCTCACGCACGCACGCAACCAAGCCGCCCAGAACTCAGGCCACTTTCTGTCCTAAGCGGTAACCAGATCCCATGCTCTCTCTTTCTGCTGAGTCTGCTCCAGCCTCTCGCTCTCTCTCCCTCTCCCCTTGACTGTTGGCTAGCACTGTAGCAGTCCGTCAGACCCTCTGGCAAGAAAGCTCACGCTCAGTCCATGCATCTACCCGTCTGCTTCGGCGCTCTAGCCACGCCGTAAACCGCAGACCACCAGCATTGGGCTGTAACAACACAAACCCTATTCACCGCACAAGCCCCAGTCTTCAATCAGGGACTGACTTGTTCCACGCTGTCGTTTCCGGAGCTCTCCCGCACGGCCGCCGTCGTCGCTGTTTGGACCTCCATCATCACCCTACCTAGCACACACACACCCCGACCTCGTCTTGTTTGAGCCTTCTTCCAGCTGTTGCCCCACCGTTTGCTTTCGTTCGGCTTCAACCCTGCAGACCCAAACTTTCATTCCAAAGGAATTGTCTAGGACGTTTCCGACTGGGTCGTCGTCCTGCTTCCCGCATCAATTGATCCCAGACCACCCTTATATCTCCCCTCTCGCCACACACACATAATACGAGCAGTATCGTCTTTTCGACTCTTAATCATCTATCCGGACTCTTCCAGGCAATTCCCCCCTCCCCAGTCTCCCACCAACCGCGTGCGACGGAATCGTCACGACCTGCTCAGATTAAGATATCCATCATCTCATCCCTTGTCCCCACTATCCTATCGCTCTATACAAGGGAACATCCTGGACTTTTGGTCGATCCTGCCATCCACTTGACAGCCTCTCATACACAATATATACCCCCCAGACAAGTACTTCACTCTTGTTCTTGTGGAGAAGTACATTCTCAACTCCTCGTTCGGACCTTATATACCAATTGACACCTGTGTCTTGCTACATCCCCTCCACTAGCCATTGGTGTTGTGCGAGTAGGTGCTTGCCTGTTCTTTATACAGTCTCTCTTCTATACTGACACTGCCGACAGTACGTGCTCGTCTTCTTGACACGGCAAAACAGAACAAAAAAACCTACGACTACCTTTGGATCGTACGCAGCTGTTGCTTTCAGGCAACACTTCTCCTCAGGACCACCCGCGTACACTCTCAACCGATCAAATGGACTCATCAAACATGTACTCCCAGCCCCGCCCGGCAAAACGAATGGCCTACGAGGACATTCGATGCAATGGCTTCAGCTCACCAGCATCATCGGTCATATCCAACGAACCATGGCTGTCGGCCGTTGACACTGCTGGATCACCGTACGAGCCTATCCCACGGGTCAGCTATATGAACAGTCCTTCTCGCTACCATGACGGCGTAGATGCCAAAACAGAGCTTCTCCCGTCAACACCAGGTCTGCACATGCCCGCAAATGCCTACGTGACCTCGCATCCCTCGGCAAACCCAGCTCCCTTGAACCCGCGGATGGACTCGGCCCATCCATCTAACAACCAAGCCATACAACCAAGAGTCGAGCCGTTGCCTCGTCAAGCTACCCTTCCTCCCACACCTTCCCCTTCGCGGTCAACTCTGCGGACAAAGTCCCGTGGCACCCGTTCTGCTGAGCAGAAGCTCGAGCCGACCTGGAAGGGCTTCATTGGATCGACGTACGAGGCCTTGCAACTATTGGAAGGCTGTCTCCAAGGCAAGCTTCGGCACATGCCCCGCCGTGCGTACGACCGCGAGCGCGAAGATGTGATCCGCAGCGGACACGTTTTCGTGTTTGAGGAGAACGCGTCCGGCATCAAGCGCTGGACAGACGGTGTCTCATGGAGTCCGAGTCGACTATTGCCCAACTTCCTCATCTACCGCGAGGTGGAGGAGAAGGATCACAAGCCTGGTGAGAAGAAGAAGGCGATCAAGAAGCGCAAGCGATCAGACGACGACGGCGTGGACGAGTACGATGAAGTGAGCGGCGACCAGGCTGCCCCAGTACTCAACCCCAACGACATTGCCCTTACGATACCCGAGCCTGAGCGTCGACGTCTCTGCGGATCGTTGACGGACTCTTACAACTTCAAGAGCGACGGACTGGTCAAGAAGACGATCAGTGTGGAGTACAAGGGCAATGTGCACCACATTATTGCGTACTACAAGCTGGAAGACGTCCTCTTCGGCAAACTCGCACGCATGAGCGAGGATGCAAAGTTTGGCGAGATCCAGCCTCGCTTTGATCTCCTGAACATGCAAAAGTTCCAAAACAACCCCGACAACCCGATGGATGACCCGATCCGGTTCCAGCACCATATGCGCCACGCGGATATGCAAGCGCACCATTGGCCACAGTATTCTCCGAGTCATCAAAGCATGCAGCCGCTGCAAGCACCCCCGCCGCTACACTACTACCCAGTGGGGCAGACACCTGTCGCGCAAGACGGCTTCTGGACACCAACTGGCGGCCACTGGTCTCAGCAAACGCCAATGATACAGACCTTTACCCCCATGGCGACTGGGTCACCGTTTGGCGGTGCTCGAGCGGACATTGGCAGCCACAACGGTGGCGGCCTGACACCGCTGTCGTACTCGGCAGGCCACATGAGCCAATACCAGCCTGCATTCAGTCAGATGATGGCCGGTAACTACAGCGACGGCTACCTGCCATCATAACCGGCATGAGGGGCCCATGAGGGCGTCGTGTGTTGTGGACGAGTGATGTATATGATGTACGACAGGCGCAACTGTATTATATGTTTTTTTCTGCAAAAAAGCCGAGGTTTACGAGCACTACGGGTTTCTTATTTCTTCAAGGTTCACACAAATGGGCGGCTGAGTTTTTTTACTTTTTCTGTTTCGACATTCTTGATGGACATGTATAAAGGTGGAGAGGAGAGCAGCAGCAGCAGCACACATGCAGCAAAGTCCCCCATGGCATGCATGGGCGGTTGACACAGTTCTACGAATCGAAGCTTGGTTTGGTTCGAACATATTGTTCTTCTCTTTCTCTCTGTTGTTTGTTACTGGGCACTGGGCAGGCGCTCTGGATGGATGGATGGATGGATGGATGAATGGATGGATGCGAGAGAGCAGGACTCAGACTTGGGACTTGAGATGGGACTTGGGACTTGGGAGGCAGCTGCGTACACGTACGCAGTCTATTAGCAATTAATACACATTATCAACGTCAACATCTCAACATTATCATCATCGTGACTACACCCCCATTAACCAAATACCACAATCAACGATGCCTGAGTGCCTACCCAAATCTCCCGAGCCCTCGATAATCTAGGCCCCCAATTCCTTCCTTCATCTATTTCACTCTATTATCTCTCTCAACTACCTAATTACCTCCATCCACAACAAAACCACCCCCCCCGAAACCCCCGAAACCTCTAGAACACACACCAAATCGAATCGAACCGAACACTAATCATCAATTGGGCGGTCTTACCACCCACCACCTCCAAACACACCCCGTCACGAAGCGTATCATGGCACGCCCGCACGCCCAATCGGCTGCCCTGGGCCCCTGGCCCGTCGCCCGTGCCGGGTAAGGTAACGTAACGACCTAGAATTCGTAGCTTGTGTGTGTGTGTGAGAGTGTGTGTGTCAGCTTGAAAGACGGGAACGGGGGGACCGGGGGGACCGGGGGCCAAGGGGGGGCGTTTCTGGTCTGTATGGCGTATGTATTCATTGGTGTAAGAACGCGGAGGTACACCTCGCATCTGCTGATTGGACTGTTTGTGTATTTGGGGGGGTTCGTGTTTCGTGTGGATGACTGGGCTGTGGGAGGCACTACTAGTAGTATACACTTGCTGTACGAGTATGTATGGATGGTGAACGGTATAGTTTGGGATAAGGATGGTGTAGTTTGGAAGTATAGGTTGGGGAAGACAGGTTTGGAGATCGATCTGAGATGGAGATGGCGATCGGGCGGGTTGGGGGAGATCCGGGGGGATATCTGTCAACGATCTAGGTGTGTTACTCGCTTGATACTTGGGAGGGTATGGTGCGTGTTTTTTTGATCTTGGATCTGAATGTGATCTTGGATCTCAAGGGGCTTGGCGATTGCGAACTGCGATTGCGAACTTGGATGGCGATGGGTGAGATGGAAGTTGTGATGGCGAGGGGAGTTTGGATCGGCATGTGCATGCAGGTTTGCGGAGATGCGATGTTGTGACATGTGATACACGGGCTGGGATGGGTAGTGCGCCTGTGGACTGGACTGGGATGGGTAATACGTGGGGTGTGATTGGTTCTGCGTGGCTACCTACCCCCTGTCGTCGAACAACGACATTAGGCATAACAGTAAACAATAACAAACGTCGTTCACTTCAGTCTTAAACCCCTACCTTCAGCCCTCAACCTCCAGCCTCCAGCCTCCAGCGTCACCACTACTGGATACGAGGAAAGACGTAGTCAGTGCAGAATACGTCGCAGTCAGTGCACTTCTACTTTTAGACCTCTCATCAAACCTTCCGACTCCTAATCTGATACACACCACCCTACATACATATCTACTACCTATATACCTTCTCTCCTGCAGGCAGTAATTAATGCTAATAATAGCCCCTTCACTCCCACCATTCGTGTCCCTATCTACCCTCTATCATCTAACTCCCCCCCCCCCAAAATCCACCATCATAACTTCACCCACATGCACCTCCACCTCCACACCCAACTCCACCTCCATGCAGCATGCAAGCCAGTATGCATCTCGCCCAGCGCCACACTACCCTCCACCCCCTCCTCTACCCTCCTTCACCCCATCCTCCTCCTCCACCACGACTCGCGCGTGCATGCGTACGGTGCATGCATAACGCGGTGCAGCCCGCATCATGCATTCTTTCGCGCCAAATCTCTCGCTGCCCAATCGTCTCTACCGGGCGTGTGGTCCTCGTGCTCTCTATCCTGTTCTGATGTAAGTATGTATGTGTGTATGAATGAAGGAATGAAAGGCTTGAAATGGATGAGATTCCCGATCTACATGCTACGCCAATCGTTTGCGCAGATCTTGGGCGCGATGCTTATGTATGTACTGCTGCCTCATGTCATGTGTGTATGTACTGTATGTATATGTCCTTGTGCCCTACCTACCTACTACGTACGCCCATCGCTGATTTATCTTAAACTTTATTTATGCTCTTTGGGCACCCCTCTCTCCTGGCCTTGCCTTGCCTCTCCCGGTTCTTTCGTCTTCCGTGTTTTTTTGCTTCTTTTCTTCTTCTTTTCTGGGGGTGTTGTGGGATTTTCTAGATTCCTTCCTTTCTTGATTCTTTTCTTCGTCGCCCTTTTGTCTTTCTTATCTGTCTTCCTTTTGTTCTTTTCTTGCCCCGTGTTCTTGTTCTCCCTCTCCTTCTTCTCCTTGTACTCCTCCTTCTCGTTCTCTATCTACTTCGTCTTTCACTTCTCTATCTTCCTACGCCTACGCTTAGACCTAGGCCCGGGGCCGGGACGGGAGGCGAGACGATGCGCTCTAGACCACCATCCCATCCATTCTCTTTCTTTATCATCTCATCTCATTTTATTTCATTTCGCACTGGCTTCTCTATTCCGTCCTCTCTCCCTTCCCTTTCCCTCTAGCTAACTGCTCGGATCTTCGTCCTGTCCGTGCTGGGCTTGCGATAATCTAATGTTACTACAAAAAGAGATGGGATGGGATGGCGTGGGAAGGGGTCGTGTTTCTATTTCTGGATGTTGTCGTGGGCGTCTGTGGTTTCGTCTGTGTGTCGTTTCTGGTCTGTTCTAGTCGATTGACTGACTCGGGTTTTTCATTTGGTTGACCTGTGTGGAATGGTGTGGTTGGTATGTCGAGTTCGTGTCGGTGCTACTGACTGCTGTGTGGATAGGTGCTGGTCCTACTGGATCTGGATCTGGCCATGGTTCGTCTTTGTCATTGTCGTCGCGATCGGATGGTGCGATCGTGGACGGGTGAGATGGCATGGACGGATGGATGCTCTCCGCTCCGGCTCGGATGGATCGTCTGGGGTATCCTTGCTCCGGACTTGGGATTCTTTCCCGGACTTGGACAGCTTTCTTCGGGACTTGATTTCGCCGTTCATCTGGACTTCGCTATGGCTGGATATGATAACACCGACACGAACACGAACATCAGACGCTAATGGCCTTCATTTCGTGTGACTATATTCTCCGGGACTCTCATCTCTCAAGACCGTCCAGGACCATGTACTCTCAATGATTGCTGGACCGACAGCTCCTGGACCGACGGCCAACAGTTCATACTACCACGGACACTCAGATACTCTCGCTAGCAACAAGAAAAATCACATGCACATCCGTGCCTTGACATCATTTTGGTTCATTGTCTTTGGTTCTTGCGCTCTGCTTCCTCCCTGCAGTGACGTGCTTTTTTGGTTCTTTGCCTCCTCCGTTGCAGTATACGATACGAAGCGACACTAGACGACACTACACACCGCGACATGGCAGAGAGTAACACCGTCAATGGTCAGGGTGTCTTGTCCTGTTGATGTGTGGTGTTGTGTTGTGTTGTGATTGACTTTCGATGGGTGCGCTGCTGTGATGGGTGATGACTGACTAGACCTCTCCCCTTACGCTTGACCACTCTCTCTACATCTACCGCCCTGTGGTATTCAGTGGTGATACTACCGCGAGCAGCACCATCACCACAAGCACCACTAGCAGCCCTACAACCTCCCTCCCTCTCCACTACCTCCCTACCTACTGACATGCCTACGTCCATGCACCGTCCATTCTGAATATAAACTAGGCAGTTACTAACCACTCCTCCTTTGCCGCTTAAAGCAGTCACTGACATTGTTATATGCGGTTTATAGTTGCTCTATGAGTTTGTTGCCATAGTATAGCTGGAACTTCTGTTGAGAGGATGCCGATGGAGCACGGATGTATACAGGAACTGATTGTGGCGTCGTATGGCATGGTAGAGTATGGCAGAGTATGATATCGCCTAATAGCAGCACAGCACAGCACAGTACAACAGCCTAACAGCAGAGCAGAGAATAACAGTACAGCAGAATAACAGCACAACAAGCATATCAATACGGCGCGGCACAGCACAGCATAACATAGCATAACACTGACAGTATAGCATTACACTACGCCACAGCACAACAGCATACCATCGCAGCACAGCATAACACATTCATCAAGTCACGACACAGCATAGCACAACGGCACATCATCAGATCATCGCACATCTTCGCATACCATCAAATCATTCACTACACACCCAGCCAGCCACTCAATCACTTAATCAGCCAGCCAGCCGGAATACAACCCACATACCTTCCTGCTCATCTATTTACCTAATACCTTCAGGCATCAGGCTTGTTCGCTGAGACCTCTAGACTTACTCCAGACTTACTCCACGCTTTAGGACGCTATATGACGTTCTTAACAACACCATCCACACAAATCAACACTAAATGGTAGCAACTACAACTCCGCCTCCGACAAGGTGGTCCGATCTTCAATCAACCCCACTGTAGACGAGGACACGCCCTCGATTTACCACAGACTACAAAACCAACCTAGGTTCGACGCAGAGTATGCTTAGGTTCACGTGAGTCTGGTATTGATCAGGAAGGCCAGGGGAGATAGGGACCGGTATGGCGATTAGGATGAGTACGGACATGACGGGTACCGAAGACACTTCCATCAACGGAAGACACGATGACGACTAAGACGATAAAAATCACCATCACTAGTCCCATTTACACCGCACACGCCCGAGACCACACATGGCGACACGATGCTCTGGCTCCCACGCGGCTCTGGCCCCAACGCGGTTCTGGCTCTGAGGGTATGACATACTAACATATCGATCTAATGACGTACCATGCTATCGATACTCACACGTCCGGCTTGTTTCTCCAAAGGGTGGGAGAGACAGCGAGGGAGAAGGGAACAATCCGTGCATCCGAACGAGAAGTTGGTGCTTCGGTGAGAAAGAGAGTGGAACTATCTGGTATGGGTGGAGTGGCGTCGTGTAGAGTGGAGTGACTGGGCGTGGATGGATAGGTGGGAAAGAGAGTGGAATTTGCTTGGTATGGATGGAGCTGTATTGAGTGAATCGTGGGTGTATGTGGATGCGCAAAGGGAGGTAGGAAAGAGAGTGGATTTGTTTTGGTATGGGTGGAGTACAGGATGGCAAAGGGGACGAGGACGGGAAAGAGATTGGCTCTGCTTGGTATGGGTGGATGGGGAATTGAGCACAGGCAAATGGCGGGGTGTGAGTGATGGTCGACTGGTCATTGTGGGAAAGAGAGAGGATCTGTTTTGGTATGGGTGGAAAGCTTCAGTGTGGTAGTGGAGATGAGACAGGGGCTCGGTCGAGAAAGAGAGTGGACCTGATTTGGTATGGGTGGATCTGGAACCGAGCACAAGGGAACGGACGGGGTTTGGGTAAAGTTTTGCGTAGAAGTGGTGGTGGGAAAGAGAGTGGACCTGCTTTGGTATGGGTGGACGTCTCTGATGTGATGACGGGTGAGAAAGGCAGAAAGAGAGAGGAAAGCCGACAAGTCATGAAACATGAAGTGTGGAAAGTGAGGGGAGACACGGTGATGATGATCTCATGCCGCACGTGAATCAGCGTACGGTCGGTTCAGCAGAGGCAAAAAGGCAGAAGAAAAGGAGATCAAGTAAAAGGCCTTCAAGGCAGAGAAGAAAGGGAAAGAGAAATACTTCCATCACGAGCAGCAAAAACGAAGGACAAAGAAAGCATAGGAGAGCGTATATCGACTCTAACAGACACTAATAGCCCCCAAAATGGGACTCAATGAGGATATATCGAAGCAGACCAGACGCAATCCGATCGAGGATTGGCAAAAGAGAGGGATATGTATACAGCCAACGTGCTTTACCCGAGCGTATCGCGGGAAGACGACTCGACAGGATCCTACTCGAGCACGCAGACAATCAACATATACCCACACGACGCCTAGGACACAGTAATATTCACATACGTCCAACGGGCACACGCCTTAGCCAGTGCTCTCACAGAACGACACAACAAGATCTATCGATACGCACTTCCAACCATCCAGCGCCGATCCGCGCCCTCTACTGGACCTTTTCTTGCTCCAAATTTTAATCTCCCGGAGAAAAAAGTCTATCAGCCGGCGTATCTAAGGATGCATCTGGTCCTTTCGTACGATCTAATAATAGATAGAAACTATATTGTAGTCATGTTCAAAAGAGGTACAAAAAGAGAAAAAAGAAGAAGAAGACAACAAGCAGAAAAGAGAATGTTAAAAAGCCAATATATATATACTCCAAGAACAGGAGTATATATAATATATAGACAAGAGACGAGATTGTAGGGTAATAGGGGTCATACAGGAGTCCTAGCAGACGAAAACGCTAGAGTACTACTTAGTACCAAGAACAGAAACCGGATAGAGGCCTCCGAATAAGACTATAGAGGAAGAGCTAGGTCTTACCAGCATACATATCTAAGTTCTAGAGCTAGGACACACAAGGACATACCAGGACCCAGTCAGGACTCAATCAGGACTCAATCATCTATCAACCAGGACATACTAGGACATATCAGGACATATCAGGACATACCAGGACATACCAGGACATACCAGGACCAGGACCCAGTCAGGACTCAACCAGGACACATCAGGACTCAATCAGGACTTCATCAGGACTCATAACAAAGAAAGCCAGAACCCACCCTTAACCTCCAGGACCCCTAAACCCACCTTCGAAAACATCCTGTATTTTCTTTTCTCTAAACATCCAGGACTCTCCTTGCCAAAGGACACCCACGCCAAAACGACATAAACCCATGTCCAACACCAAAATACCAAATCTATCACGACGAGATAGTCATTAGTCAACGTCACGTCCCGGGATTGACATGACTCATTCACTTCTTTCATAGAAGTGTGTCTTGTAGAGACGGGTTCGTATACATATGCAATAGTATGCGCATATAAAATACACACAGGCCCATAGACGAGGTAAGTTCGTTAATAAACGCGTATCGAACGCTATCAAATACGCGTGCAATGCCATATCAACGGTATAGAACGTCTATCGAGCGTATATCGCATACATATCAAGCATACACTCATAATCGCAAATCATCATAAAGGCACACCAATACACGAGCGTATGTAAACGAGGTAAGTCAATACGTAATCCCGTATACCACGCTATATACGCGTTTCGTTCCATATCGAGCGTATAGAACGTGGATCGAGCGTATATCGAGCGTATGCCGAGCGTATATCAAGCATGCATTCACAATCGCGAGTGCACACAAACACTCAAAAACACACGCAAACGTACAAATAGACAAAACTTACGAGCGTGTACAACTGTACAAGCTAGAAAAATATCAACATATCTGTTATGAGATATTGGACAAGGTAGAGTTTAGAGAAAGGGGAAAGGGGAGGGGTTTTACGGCGTAGGCACTTGGCTACAGGGAGGAGGGTAGACATACAAGTAGAAGCGGCGTGCGTGAACGGAGATGTTCATATGTGTTTGTGACTATATTCCTCTCGAGCGCAAACAGACGCATGACGGACAGATTGCGCTCATACAACTTCCACACATCTTAAGCCGAGCCAGACCAGGCCACACCATACCATCCCAGTCCATTCCAATCCAATCTAATCATCTAGTCTATCGTATAAATCATCCAGCACGCAGTAATTAATCATGATAGCATAATTCCAAATCCATAACACCCGTCACGCCGCCTGCTGCGGCTTGCCCAGCCTCACGGGCCCCAGCCCCTGACGCACCTCGTCCAGCTGCTCCATGCCAGACTGCTGCTTGCCCTTCTTGACGCGGCGCCCGCTCTTGCCCTGCGTCGAGTGTCCGCCCAGGAAGTCGTCGAGCAGCGAGTCAAAGTCCTCGCGCATGACGCTTGCGCCGCTCATGGTGCTGATGCCGCTCATCCTGCTCATCCTGCTCATGCCCGTCATGCCGCTGCGCAGCGAGGCGCCGTCGTCGTCTGGCATGCCCTCGTTGCCGTCGTTGGCGTAGTCCTCCTCGATGCGCTCGAAGCGCGAGTCGAGTACTGAGAGTGCTTCTGTGCGGGCGAGGATCGAGGACGACATGCTGTAGCCGGATGTGCCTGTCAGGGCGCCCTTGCGCTTCTTTTTGCGGCCGGAGAGCAGTGACGACGCGCCTGTCATGATCGAGCCGGCTTGGAGGTGGTCGGGGAGGTGGGCGTCTTTGGCGGCGCGCGGGGCTTTGCCGCTTGCTTTGAATTTTGCGAATTCGCCCTGCCAGTCTGTGTCTTCGCGGTCGGCGGGCGCTTGGTCGGGCGCTGGGAGCGGCACGCCAGTTGCGTCGCCGGCTGGCTCGCTGACGGGCGGCGCGGGCGTCTCGTGGTGTTCCTTGTCGGGCTTGATCGTGTCGTCTGTTTCCCAACCTGCGTCTTCCTCGAACGTGATGTCGTCGTGGGCTTCGTCGCTGAAAAGCCCGTCGCGCCATGCTTCCTCATCTACGGCAATGCCTGCGCCCGTGAGATCCTCGAAGAAATCGCCCTCTTCGGCTTCATCCACGTATTCCTCATCTTCCAGCGCCTCAAGCACCTCACGCAGCCGTGGGTCCATATCGGGCTGGAACCCAGCAATGGCATCGGGGATATTCTGCTGGTCCTGATATGTCGTCTTCTTCACAAATTCACTCGGCAGGTTCGCAGGGTTGAACAGGTCACTAGCCGCATGGCTCGCGCTGCTCATGCCACTCGCTAGACTCTGTGAATCTGCAGCTTCAGATATTGCATCTTCCAAGCTCTGCTTTTGCTTTCCCTTCTTTGTCGCACCAGGCGCCTCAACCCAGACTGTCGTGCCTTGGCCGCTTCCCAGGTCACGCATGTGCTGCATGTAGTCGTACGAACTATCATCATAGTATATTCCGTATTCCGCCGCCTCGCCCTCGTTGGCGCGCACATCACCAAACTCCGAGCCCAAGTCGTTGAGAGTCGCATTTGCACGCCGACTTGCAGAGCTAGATTGGCTGACATGGCTGGCGGCGGATGAGGAAGGATATGAGACTGATTTTGTAGCAGTAGGAGCCTGGACCTCGTGAAAGACGAATTGTGAGGCATCGCTGTCGTGGATGAGAGGGTCGTTTTGTGCACGGTGAAGAAGTTGGAAGGTTGTGGCGTTCTTCTTGTCGCTAGATATTGTCAGTCGCTATACACGAATGATGAGATGAGGAATATGACACACATGAATCTTCTGCGTGGCATCTTGTATATCGTTGAGCAGTGCTATCCCTCAGAAAGTTTCTTGCGTGGGAAAAGAATGCGCCTTTCAAAAGAAATCCGATGTCCCCGCTAGAGAAACGTCGGTGACGGAACGCGGCCCGGGTGGGGTATACATTCTCAAAACTATGCTGCACTGCGTTGATTCTAGCACGCCTGGTGCACAATTTTGGACGATATAGAATCCGATACCTAGCCTATACAGCCTCGCAAACTGCTTCGGTGCTGAATCAGGGCATGTCGACTAGTACATGTTCATTTGAAGTACACTCGTTTCGACATGGTAATACTGATATTGAAAGAGCGGTATTGCTTGTACATGAAGATAAGGAGTGTTGGGACACAAAGTTGTACCCTCCTGACGTTGACCTCTGCTTGCTATTCACATTGTGTAAAATTTGATGAACCTCATAAAAGTCATTGCGATCAAGTCGTACACTCGTCTCCGTAAGGAGGCGGAAACTTCCACAGATCGATTACGGAGACTGACTGATTCTTATCCTCGTTACACCAATTAAACTCTTCTGTCTTTATTCGCGGGTGGCATGCTGAGTCAGGCAGATGAGCTTGGCATGATCTCGTGGGCGTATGTGGGGTGTCTAGACGATAATCATGGGTATGCGGCTGCTCCGGCGGCGGCGTCTGTAAGGACGCCTCCGGGTCCGTTTTACGTTCTGTACTTGTAGTTGAAGTAGCAGCTATGCCTGGTATTCGCCTCGTTGCCCTGCGAGCCTCCCAGTCTGCCCATTCTTTCTTCGCCATTGCAGCGTAGTAAGCCTCGACCCTTCGCGATATGTCATCCACGGCATCCGCATGAATCGGAGGTGTGCCATCGACGTATTTTTCGAAACTCTCAAGGTCCGATAAGAACAAGTGTGCTGTGTCCGTCACCCCTAGTAGCTGTAGGATGGGGAGTTGGAATTGTCTAATGAGGCGTTTCTCTACGAGATCCTGGAACAGCGACTTCTCGTGACGTCCGTAGCCAAGTAATATGTAGAATTCAGGCTTCATGTAGTACGCTTCGGTATGTGTGCCAGTCGAAGAGTGGTAGACGATAATGAAGATGCTCCGGTCTTCAAGTAGCGGACGCTCATTGACCCCCGACCAGATTTCATACGACTTTGGATCCAATTTATATGGCGGGTGCCCATTGAAGCCGCTCTGGGATGTCAAGTTGCCGTTTATATCAGGGTCAAAGCCATTACAGATAGAGTCGACCTCGCACAAAGTCATGTCCCTTGCCAAACAGATGAGTGTAGTGATACGTCCATCGTCGGGAAGTAAGACATCCCAAGGATATTCGGAAGCGAAATCCTGTGGTATAAGATCTTTCGTGTATGCTAGGATGGCCGGTAGTAATGAAGATCGAAGGTTCTGCTGGAGGTGCACCCTTGACGAGGCATAGAATGTCTCGACGGTGATGTTCTGCAGGACCGACTTACGCAGGGACGCCATTGATGTTGACCAAGTTGGCTGAAAGGATCCTTTGGAAGTATTTTGCCCCCACGTGTCAGCTACATGGATTCTGGCAAGTGCATACTGTGCACAAGACGGCATTTGCTGATCCAATTTTGCAAGCACGATGGCAACGACATCCAGCAAAGGTCTCCGGCATATGATTCAGCAAACTTCGTCTAGCGAATGTTTCATCGGAGGTGTTCTAGCAAAGCCATTCATCCGACGTGTTTCCGTATAGCGACCAAACCATCTGTCTTGAGTGATCACAAGACGTTGGACGCCCCCCTATGAAAGGTCGGTCATACCCCACTTGCTTTCTAGGAGGCTCTGGTTCAACCTATCTAGAAGCGACCTAGATGCTTGATCCATGATTGAACGTGGGTTGCCTGGAACTGAAGACCATGGTAACCACCATGTTCGTCTTGTTCGACTTCCGATTTTCGCTTTCAATCAGGCCGTGTTAAGACACAAGGACTGAGCTCTGTCGGAGGGTTAAACAAATCCTTCATCACAAGATGTATGCCTACTTACGACAAAGCTTTCTAGACCCATCTCGAAGAGCTCGTTCGCGACGCCAATACCCCCGGGATGTTCCACAGGACTCAAGGGATTTTTCACAACAAACTCTACATATAGATTCGCCCAGATTTGGTGCAGTACAACTCGGAGATTGTTGGTCTTGGTGTCCGTCAACATCACAAACTTCATCCTTGTGGGAGTCTCGTAGTAATGGAGCTTGTAGTCGCCAGTCCGATATGACAAGAATGCGTCATCTTCACCGCCCAGCTTCTTTACAATATTTCGTAGGGAGAAAACGGTCCCAAATATGAGCTTCGCGTCGTCGGCAGCGGATAGAGCTTTCCTTGCAGGCATCTCGACGCTTGCAGTAGTGGAAGCGGACGTAGGTCGGGCTTGCTTGCTGGAGGATTGCGGCTGCTGTAGCCATCTCTTGCTGTAAATGCATTCCGCTGGTTGTGTCAACTGTTGCAATTGCAAGTCTCAGAGCGTTGAGGCTTACTATGACGATCGAAGATGTAGAAGCTGTAGATGGCCATATTGAACCTGCTGAACCGGCGCTACGAGTAGATGGCGACGATGACACAAGACAGCTGAGCAATTCTCTTGTCCAAGACTGCTGATTGTGAGGGAAGAAGACGACGACGACGACGACGACAAAGGAATGCTGAGACACCCGACGTAGTGAAGACTATGAATGGGTTGAGGGTTGAAGGTTTTCGGAAGCTTTGGTTGCCAAGCTGAGCTCTCTCCCCCCTGCCAGTTTCACGTTCACGCACGCACGTGCCTAGTGGGGTTTTGCGTTCGTTGCCTTAGGACTAAACTCTGACGTGAAAAAACGGTATTGTTTATCTCACCCCCGCTGCTGCTGGAGGACATAATTCACTCAAGGCTTGTCCATTGTGACACCATTTATAGCTTATATCTGTTCCCCTTTTCTACCTGTTCGGGTCCACCCACAGTGTCTTTCTACGCATCATGTCTACCAGTCCGAATCCGCTCCCTAATGATTCGCCTTCGCCTGGCCGAGTCCCCACTATTCACTCCACGGAACATATCGAGCTAGGTGTACCTGCAGCGGGAGGTGACGGACGCCCACCGGTGCTCAAACATCTGTAAGTACATCATGCAGAGCTTCAGGGCAAGTCGGCGTACTGATGGATGCCAATTCTCACAGGTCGTCTCCAGCGTACCATAGTCCCCTTAGACATCACCACCGTACAGCTTCGAATCCTAGGAAGGTCAAGGTACTCTTCAACGACCCTTTGTATGAAGCGATACACCACCAGTATCTTACAAAGCTAGGAAACATACAATGCCAGAACCGAGTATAGCAATAGTGAGGATGACGGGACGGCGCAGCACCGAATCAACCAATATATCATCAAGCAGGAGATCGGTCGAGGGTCATTTGGGGCAGTACATCTTGCCACTGATCAATTTGGAAATGAATATGTGAGGCGCCTTCCAATCACTGATACACGCGAGAATCTACACGGACAGGTCTGGGTGGTGTAGGCAACACGAGAACGCTAATGTTATTCGAAACAGGCTGTAAAAGAGTTCTCCAAGACACGATTGAGGAAGCGTGCCCAGTCAAACTATCTCCGGCGGCCGAGTGTCCGACGTCGTCCTGGGCCTCTCGGAGTTCGAGGTGCGATGATCCGGCCGAGCGCTGGCAGACTTGATTCTGCAGATGCCTTAGAGCTCATCAAAGAGGAGATTGCTATCATGAAGAAGCTCAATCATCAAAACCTCGTGTCACTAATTGAGGTACTCGACGATCCCGAGGAAGATTCCTTATACATGGTTCTGGAAATGTGTAAAAAGGGAGTTGTCATGAGAGTTGGACTTGATGATCGAGCTGATCCTTATGAGGAAGAGCAATGTCGTTGTTGGTTTAGAGACATGATGCTGGGCATCGAGTACCGTCAGTATCCCAGCGTTTAAACATTAGCCCCTGCTAACTCACTTCGCAGTCCATGCGCAGGGCATTATTCACCGTGATATAAAGCCGGACAACTGTTTGGTGACAGCAGACGATACGCTCAAGATTGTCGACTTCGGAGTATCCGAGATGTTCGAGAAAGACTCAGAGATGAGCACTGCAAAATCCGCAGGGTCACCGGCGTTCATGCCCCCTGAACTGTGCATAGCCAAACACGGCATTGTGTCTGGCAAGGCTGCTGACATTTGGTCGATGGGCGTTACCCTTTATTGCCTAAAGTTTGGGCGTATACCCTTCGAAAAGACGGGCATGCTAGATCTGTACGAGTCCATACGCAATGACAGTGTTGACATGGACGGTGAATGTAGCGAGGCCCTACATGACCTGCTTTTGAAACTTTTGAACAAAGACCCACAGCAGCGCATCACTATGGACGAGCTGAGGGTACGTTATCCGACTCCATTATGAATGAAGACTAACCTACCACGTTCAGGAGCACCCATGGATCACCAAACACGGCACTGACCCTCTGCTGTCCAAAGAAGAGAACACAGCCGTTATTATCGAGCCACCAACCGAAGAGGAACTCAATGCGGCTATCACTGGTAACATGGGCCACCTCCTGGCTGTGGTAAGTGTACAATCTGGTATACTGTACCCTTACTCTAACAGTCACAGATGCGCGCAGTCAAGCGATTCAAGGAGCTGCTGTTCCGCAAGAGACCCGATCTCTTGGAGGGAATCCTGGGCTCGGCTTCCCGGATCGTACAACCACCGCTGTCTATGCGGCCAAGCAAACTTAAGTCGTCACACAGCTTGGCTGCCGGCGATGGGCGGCCAGTGGAGCGTGTGTTGACGACTGAAGGCGTAACTGGTGACATTCCAATTCCCGACAATCTTGAAGACCTTGAACAGTTGTCTCAACGTAATCACAAGGAAGGCATTACTGCCGTGGATGGGAAAAGCACACCAGAATCTACTGCCAGCATTGATACTGCCATACCTGCAGCGAGTAGGAAGGCCTCTCCAGCAACACCAAAAGCCATGTCTCCTCTGTCGAGTGTTACTTCAGTGTCTCCTAGAGGAATCGGTCTGAAGCATACGCAGAGCGCTCCAGCAGAACTGGCCCTTGCAGAGGATATCGTCCAACGCCGAGATCTCACAGGCAAAGGGCACGCTCACGACCCACTTGAGGATCAGCTCTTCCTCGACATTGGCATCAGTGCTGACCACAATCCTTCGGCTGAAGACAACGTGCACATTGTCGCAGAGTCACCCTCCGCGATCGAGATGAATGTCTACGAGAAAGCGTATGAAGAAGAAGTCCGCAGCATCGTGGAGCAACGTGGTCGCAGTGCGACTTTGTACCTGACACGCAGAGTCGAAGATTCTCCAACAATCCGAAACATGCAGCATATCTTCCAAGACGCCTCTTCGACAGCTGCAGGCATGAAAGCTGTTGGTCTCGAAAGTGGCCGCATTGGCATGGCGAAACTCATGGAGAAGGCTCGCAGTGCTCGTGACGCAGCGAGCACCGCTGGAGCGCAGGCTTCGACAATGGATAGCGTTGTGGCAGGCTTGAGAGCTCTGAAGCCTTCCAGCAGGAGTTCGACGCCCCAGCCTCCTCCACCATCACCACCGCCAGCGTCGTCGTAGGACGCCATAGATACTTTGAAACAGCGCGGCGTTGGTAGGGTTCTGCGATTGTTCCTGTTTACACGATTATGGCCGTACATGGGTCGCACTCTCTTTGGCATTAAATTGTATGATTGCATTGGGTGGAGTTCATATGGTTATGATGGTCAGCTGGCCTGGCAGGAAAGACGATACACCGTTGATTCGGGGTCAAATAAGGCACAAAAGCGCACACAGGCTAATAGATCAGGGCGTGTGTTGGTTGTACAATTAGCCAGAGGGTCTATGATGGAACTCAGATTCCCATCGACATTGTCTTACTACGAGACGTACGAAATCCCCTTCATTGGCAGAAGATGTTATGTCTACGAAGAAGCTGTTCATATCATGATGAGTGACGTCACCGATTCATGCCATGATACAATATCTGCAGAGTTGGACATATTACATCAACAATGGCATATTACTTGTCCGTTTAATTGGTCTGGCCGTGCCGCAAGTTTCAGCCCCAAAGTCCGAAGGATTGAATTCACAGCCTCCCGCTTGGCTAAACTTGGCCTCGATCTGCACATGTCCTAACCACGTTTAGACTGTGCTAGCTGGAGTGGTATCGCCTTGGCTGACGCTATATCAGTCCAAGGATGCTTGAAACTGAGGAGACTGGTCTCGACCGCTCTCCTCTCGAACCTCTGTCATCTTATATATTCACGAGTCGCAGCGACGGGGTCTCTGTTTTGCGTGTTTTGATGCCGAACATCGAGCACCTGCCTACATATGCTCGGCTCATGAGTTCAAGCTCATCATCAAGAACGACAAGATGCCTCTACCGAGATGGGACACGATAGGGTCGACCGTGAAAGACTACTCCAAAGTAATGACTCGACGAGGACGAGTATGGAGCAAGGAGAATCCTCAACCTACCCACGGGTGGCAAGGCCAACCTCTGAAAACGCACATCTACGCCTTCTCACTCCTACTACTTTTCGGTGCCATTCCGCTCACATTGTTCTTTATTCTGGCCTATGATCCGTGGGCGCCCAAAACTTTGTATTGCACGGGCCAAACCTCTGATTTCTCCTTTGGTGAAACTATGAATGGATCCGCTATCCAGGGTATCTTTATCATTGATGCGCTGGGTCCTGATCAGATGACCTTTGCAACGGCGAAATTCGTCGACGTCGTTTGGGATCTCTGCGTTGGTCGTGGTGCGCAGGCGCTGTCCTGGTTTATCTCATACGTTGTGTTTAGCAAGGCGCTCATCCACGCCATCGAGGTTGCTCCTATTCCGTTTCGAAGCTTCACCAGCGTCGCGATTGATGGAAGCAGTCTCATGACGTTCTGGACCTTGTTGGTCGATATCCGCCGGCAAAAAAGCAAGCGTATGGTGGCCCTGTTTATCTATCTCATCATATCGATCGGATGGATGCTTGCTATGCCTACCCTTCTGAGTGCCATGACGGGCTATGTCAGCAGCAATCAGATGTATCTGAGTGTGGACTCGAGTCTGATCGACATGGCTGAAGTCCACGCGGGCCAAATCATTGAGGATGGAGAGAGGGTCGGTCTTAGCAATGGGACTTGTGTCCCGGACTCAGACATTGATTTGTCGCTTGTCCCCGGTATGAACATCATGGTGAACAGTCGCCGACTGGCCTGTAAGTTACCCAGACTTTTGTGCTGTGACAGATACTTATTATCAGTAAAGGTCCGTGTGAATTCCCGAACGGCACTGTCGTCGATAGTCCAAGATACGGTGGAGACTATGTTCCGAATGCCTTGCTTGTGAATTGTGCGTAACGTTGTCTTGCTCATTATCATACTGTTTCTAATTCGACCAGGTACCTACAACACTACCACGACAGACCGCACATTTCCATCTACGAACTACACTGACAACTCCTACACAGAATTACCTTGTAAGTCCCTTCCTGCTGCCTCTCGTGGTATGTCGTGTGACGGTGTACTAAAAAAACCAGGCACCTCAAACTTCACCATCAAACTAAACAACGAATGGCACAACATCGGCCGCAACCCCCTCAACCTAACACGCGGCGGCTGTTTCCGCAACCAAAGCATGCCCACCGCAGACATCGACACCAACTCGCGCTGCCTCCCCAGCGGCGACAACGCAAAATACTACTGGGGCTTCTCCAGCATGCTCGGCGCAATCGTCGTCATCCTGCAGTTCGTCTGGGCCTTCACCATGTACGCCCTCTGGTTCGAATCGATGGTATTTAGCACGCTCGTCAAGCAGGGTATGAAGCTCTCGCAGCTTCGCGGTGCGTTCGCGGTTACTGCGGCAGCGCAGGAGAGGCTTGAGATGGGCGCGGAGGAGATGGTGGGGATGCCGGAGGGGGATCTCAAGAGGCTGGGTGCGAGGGAGAGTGTTGTGGAGCGCAGACATCTGCGTGGAGAAGGGGAGGGGGAGGCGCTGAGGAGGAAACGATCGACGCCGGATTGCGATAGTGATTGAGCGAGGCTTGTTCTAGGAATTCCACACTCCAGGCTGCACGAGACGTCGAGCAACGGATTTCGATGGTCTCAAGTACTGCGTACGCGCGAAGGTGTGGCATGACTTGGCCTGCTCCGCTTGATATTAGTGGCGCAAGACATGAGCGCGGCGACGAACATAGCAATGAAAGCGCATACACGGCTAGTTCGCGCACTCTGGATGGTAAATATACAAAGTACGTTGTCAGTCCGGAAGCAACTATGAGACGTTTTCCGTCTGTCAAGTCATGTCCATGAGGAGACTCACGATTAGCTGATTCCATTTAGTGTGGATTACAGAACTATAGAATGCATATCGACGACCGTCACGCACTGTACTACAAAAATATATGAGTTGAAGTGTATGCTATTCCTAGCTCTGAACACTGATCTACATGTTAACAGGGCTGGCTGAAGATGTAAGCAGACCTGCAAAAGAAGGTGCCCTACCAACAAGTAGTAATAAACAGACACTATATCAGAATACGTGCAGACCCGGTAGTCGGAGAAATTAGGCAACCCTTTCGAGCAGCCTGTTGCTATAGAACCTCCACCCTCGCATCTGTCCATCCAATCCCAAAACCGCAACATATATGACCGAAGTAAGACTCTCAAACCCCAGTAACACCTGCCTATTCTGCGCATACACTGCTTAGACACAATCAATCGAAGTGGCTGTATCATCTAAACCACACTCCCAGAATCATAGTAGAATTACCTAATGTCAACAAGCGGCGACACCGCTTCCAGTGGCGATGGGCTGAATATAGCCTAAATACCTGCTGTGCAGTCGGTAAGTTCTCCGCATCCCGCAGATCTTCGGCGCGTAGCCGTTGTCGAGTTGCGGGAGGGCAGGGTGTGACGAGCCAATCATATCTCATCTGTGTTTCATTTAACACTTTGGACTACGTACAGCGTCATGAGTGTTATAGTGGAGACCATATTTGGAGGTCGGATGATCTGGTGAATATTGATTGAGTGAGGGAGCCAAGGTGGAGGGATGGAAGAGGAGGGATACTAGGGGGTTGAGTCTATAAGGCCGGAGAAGATTCCCCTGAGATGAAGAGAGAGTTTTGCTTGATACCCTTATGCAGAACTTACCATTTGGTCTCCCTCGTGTCACTATGTATCCATACGCCCTCTTGGCTCTGTTCCTCACCGGTATCGCCAACGCTGCATTTCCAGATTGTGCAAAGGGTCCACTAGCTAACAACACAATATGCGATGCCTCTGCTGGTCAGTCACTTCCCTGATGACTGGCACTGCCACTAACGACCCTAACAGATACAAGAACAAGAGCTCTATCTCTCATATCCCTAATGTCCATCAATGAGAAGATAGACCAGACCGGCAACACAGCCCTGGGCCTCTCGCGCCTAGGCCTACCAAAGTATCAATGGTGGAACGAGGCCCTGCACGGCGTTGCAAAGTCGCTCGGTGTGAAATTCAATACCGCAGGAGAGTTCAGCCACGCGACATCGTTCCCGCAGCCGATCTTGATCGGCGCCGCGTTTGATGATGCACTCATCAAAGCCGTTGCAACAGTCGTGAGTACGGAGGCTCGCGCGTTCAGTAATGCGAATCTGGCGGGACTGGACTACTGGACACCGAATATCAATCCCTTCAAGGACCCAAGATGGGGCAGAGGTCAGGAGACGCCCGGGGAGGATCCGTTCCATCTGAGCTCCTACGTCAAGAACCTGATCGCGGGCTTGCAAGGGGATGGAGAATACAGGAAGGTTGTGGCGACGTGTAAGCATTGGGCTGGGTATGATCTTGAGGACTGGGCTGGGAATTCGAGAAAGGGGTTCGATGCGGTGATCGGCATGCAGGATCTGAGTGAGTATTACTCGCCGCCATTCCAGACCTGTGCGAGGGACGAAGATGTGGGGAGTGTGATGTGTTCGTACAGTGAGTCCCTAAGGAGACAAGAAGATGAAGCTTTGGATACTGACAGGAGTAGATGCCGTCAACGGCGTCCCGACATGCGCGGATCCGTACATCCTCCAGACAATCCTGCGCGACCACTGGAACTGGACGTCCGAGGACAACCTAGTTGTAAGCGACTGCGACGCCGTCTTAAACGTCTTCTCCCCGCACAACTACACGTCCACCCTTGAAGAAGCCGTCGCCTCATCCCTCCTCGCCGGCACCGACATAAACTGCGGCTCATCCTACCAACGCTACCTCCTCTCCGCCCACACGCAAGGCCTCTACAACGAGTCCGCCCTCGACAAAGCTCTCGTCCGCGCCTACTCCACCCTCATCCGCCTCGGCTACTTCGACCCCCCAGCCGCACAACCCTACCGCAACCTCGCCTGGAGCGACGTCAACACCCCAGCCGCACAGAACCTCGCATACACCGCCGCCGTCAAAGGCATCACCCTTCTCAAGAACGACAACCGCATCCTCCCCCTGACCCTGACCCCCAATACCTCCATCGCCCTGATCGGAAACTGGGCCAACGCCACCACCCAAATGCAAGGAAACTACTACGGCGTCGCACCATACCTCACCTCCCCCCTCGCCGCAGCGCAAGCTCTCGGCATCTCCATCAAGTACGCACAAGGCCCAACGGCAAGCGATCCCGCAACAGGCACATGGCCCGACATCTGGGCGGCAGCTGACGCGGCCTCCGTCCTCATCGTCGTAGCCGGCATCGACAACAGCAACGAAGCAGAATCGCGGGACCGCGACGTCATAACCTGGGGCGCGGGCCAAACCAGCGTCATCAAGCGACTTGCCGGCTACGGCAAGCCGATGGTAGTGGTGCAGATGGGCGGCGGCCAGGTGGACTCCTCGTTTATCCGCGACGACGAGCGGATTGGTGCGCTGTTGTGGGCTGGGTACCCGGGGCAGGATGGGGGGAGGGCGGTGATGGATGTGCTGACGGGGAAGGCGGCGCCGGCGGGAAGACTGCCGGTTACGCAGTATCCGGGGGGCTATGTGGACGAAGTTAAGATGACGGATATGAGGCTGAGACCCGGGGAGGGGAGTCCGGGGAGGACGTACAGGTGGTATGAGGGGGAGGCGGTGTATCCTTTTGGATCGGGACTGCATTATACGACGTTTGATGTGAGTGTCGAGGAAGGAGAGCAGGCTCTGAGCTTTGATATTGCCGAATTGGTGGATGGGTGTACGGAGAAGCATCTCGATCTGTGTCCATTGGCCAGCGTGCCGGTCGCGGTCACAAATAGTGGAAAGGAGGTGACGTCGGACTTCGTCGTGCTGGGCTTCGGTGTAGGAAGCAATGGACCTGCGCCTTATCCGAAGAAGAGCTTGATTGCATACGAGAGGTTGCTGGGAATCGCACCAGGCAAGACGAAGACGGCGCACCTGAATTTGACGCTGAATAGTCTTAGTCGGGTTCTTGAGAATGGTGACAGGGTGTTGTTTCCAGGGACATATCAGTTACAAGTCGACAACCAGCCGCTGACGACGCTGAAGTTGACATTGACTGGCAGTGAGCTTTTGTTGGACGCATGGCCTCAACCGCCAGCGAGTGCGGTCACGCGACAGCACGATGACTTCTTGTCTTCAGGTGCCTGAAGGATGGAGGGATCGGGATGCAGGTATATGCATACAGGTCAATCAAACATTGTTTTCTGCTCAAATCACAGGTAATGCGTGCACATGTCGTGTTAGGTCATTGAATTGCATTGATATTGCGTACATATGGCCCATGCGGAACGAACTTGCTCAAAGGCCAAACTTCTTGGATATCCGAAGAAGAAGCCGGTTTTAGAGGGTTCATAACTCAAGTTACGCCGAAAGGAGCTCGATGACTTTTTGTCAGACCGCAGAGAAACATTGCCTACAAGATTCCCACCATTCACCATGAGTTTGCATCCGAAGCACCTAACCAGACGCCAGCCAATTGAAAAAAGTCATCGTCAAGCCATCGTGTGGCCGACGCTGAAGTCGTCGCATGATCATTGTCGGGAAAATAGTGTAGTGAGGTTGTGTCGCGTCGTCAGAGGTGCGGTGTTGCAACAGGCGTTGCGCGGAGTTTGCAGGGGATGTAACCGGTCATCGGATCGAGAGCTCTCGAGTCGTTTACTTGCTACGAGGTTGTGAGATGGTGCATCGGCGACATTAATTGGTGATTACTTACGATCTGGCTCTCGTCTTTCTTCTCTTACGCTTAAGACGTCGAACGCGCTTCTTTCTCCACTTGGCTCTCATCTTCGATAACTAGACAAACTGAAGAGCATGTTAGCTGTCAATTGTAGAGAGCGAGTACGTAATCTCGGATATATGGTAGCAGGGCAGTCAAGCATTATCTCATGATTATGAGATACGTCTGAGTGAAGGGTGCGGGCAGTGATGGGAACTTACGTCGTTATTGAGGATGAGTTGCTGTTGGTGCAAAGAAGAATGAGAGATGTGATGTAGATAGGCGTTTTGTGTGCGGAGGTGTTTAGCGAGACGCGGCTAGTCTCTATTAGGTAAAGCGGATCTGAAATTTCGCACGTGATCTACACTGACATCCAAAGCTTGGAAGCCTTAAATAATGAACATGATATATACACCGCTCAATAGAACTTTTTTTTCCGTCAATCCGAGATATCATCTACGCTAGGCCAGACACTCCATCGAGGATGGGTATAGTAGCTTACCTTCGGGTAAATGGTATCGACTGGACAAGTTATGTCCAACAATTGTTTAGCTAAACACATTAGCAGACTTCTACTCTGACGTTAACTCTACGATTCCCATACACTCAAACGATCGCTTCTATCTGGGAAGGGATCGCTCGTCCTGTCGTCGCTCATGGGACGATGCGCGTATCTCTAATAAGCACTTGTGCGTTCATTGCGTCGTGTTCGATGATTCTGAAACAGCGCCGATCCCGCTTGTGTATGTTGAAGATATGTCGACAAATGGAACAACACTAGTCACCCATGTCACATCTGGTTGCCCAGACGTACCGCGTAAAGTCCATCTGCACCGACAAGCAGTACAGTCGGTACTCCTTTGTCATGGAGATGAACTTGATCTAGCAGGAGCAGTCAAATTGACATTCATGGAAGCAAACCCAAGTAAGTCACATCACTTCGACCGTGTGCGAGAAAAGGAGCATAAGCTACTCCAAAACCACTATACTATCTCCACCCGTAAGCTTGGTGCAGGGGGCCAAGGCAGTGTTTACATGGCACTTGAGCGGACTTCTGGCCAGCAACTTGCTTGCAAGACAATCAACTTGCAGGCATCAAGTCGCGAGAGCGCATCACAGTCTGCAAGCAGAGCTCGCAAAACCTTCCGTGAGCTGGACATACTCAAACAGCTGAGTCACCAGAACGTCATCACGATCGAGAAAGTATTCTGGACGACCAACACCATATATCTATTTCAAGAGCTTGTCGCAGGTGGCGACCTGTTTTCGTACATCGAGTTCAAGGATGGTACCCTCGCAGATGGTGAGGCATGTACGTTCGTCTACCAAATCCTAAAAGGGGTTGAGTATCTTCACGGATTAGGTGTTGTCCATCGTGACCTCAAGCCGGACAATATACTTGTGACCTCGTTAGGAGATGGCGCTCGTATCATCATCACCGATTTTGGGAGTGCCAGGTACTCTCCTCCGTCTACGAGCCACAATCATCCAAAAACAAACAGGACTAAGCTTCGTATGACGTCTTTGGCGGGGACCACGGAATTCTGCGCTCCAGAAATCTACTCTAAGAATCCTGCCGTCACAGATGCAGGTTATACCGCAAAGGTGGACATGTGGAGTATCGGGTGCATATGTGCTACTCTGCTCTCTGGAGACATAATTTTCGCTGATCGTTCGCATCCTGACTTTCAAAGGAATCCAAAGGATCATGTCATCACTCTTTCTGCTCGTTGCAATCTCGAAGTTCTTGATTATGGAGCAAACTGGTCGTGCATAAACAAGCGTCCGAAAGACCTCATCCGCAAACTGCTCACTCTAAGCGAAGATAGCCGACTAACAGCCACAGAAGCGCTTGCTCATCCCTGGTTCACCAACAAAAGTTATGCCACTGAGTTACAAGCAGTGTACGATCGCGTAGTAGCTTCATGGAAGCCTCGACGCAAGGTATTTCGACTCGTTGAACGCCTTCAAGGTGCAGAGGATGATCTCACTTCATTCAAGTCGCCATTCTTCCAGCAAAAGGCTGCGCCTGGAAATCCAAACTCGCAAAGAAATCTATCGACCATCCCGGAGGTTCCTGAACAAGAGGAATGGAGGCAAAATCAACCCAAAGACTTTGAATCACGATTTAAACAGTTAGGAGCTGAGGATATACGCGGAGCAAGACATGGACAGGCTGTTAAGTCAACTGCTGTGAATGCTATAAGAAGACGGAGAACCTCGCTGTATGACGAGGGAATCACAGACCTGGATATTCAGGATGCGTCTGCTGCTGGTGATTGTATGGCACGACTCAACTCAAAGAAGGCTAGGTATCGCTGATGTGTAGCACTAACACGCCGAGATGATGTCTTGTGGAAAGCCTGTCTTTACAAAGGATAGCAGATTTGCGCAGAGCATACCCAATAAATTCAAAGATTCGCAGACAATTATCTTACAAATGCATATAAAGTTTAATATGATTTGGTTTTGTCGCGTGTCCGACCGCGGCCCTTAGCTTGATGTTCAGGGCGATATTTCGCTTTCAAAGCTGTGATTCGTCAGCTCACGAAAGCCCGTGGCCAAAGCGACTTCTCACTCACTGAGCAGCTTCACCTTCAATATCATCTTGCATCTGACTATAGGCGCGGCGCACCTGAGATTACAGTCGCTCAGCTCTTCAATTTCAAATTTATCGAATTACATCTCTGAAAGCGGCAATCAATTTCGACCATCCATTCACTGTTTCGATTGGTGCTAAGCGTTCAAAGGTTCAGCTTTGGTACTATGGACACAATATCCTATACAGACCTCGAACAGGTATCTACAACACAGTACGAGCTAGATACTACTTCCTGGGAGCTCGACTTCGGCGATCTTCTCACAACTGAGTGCCTCACCATCTTCGAAGATGCTCCCGCGCAGACTGCTGTGGCACAAACAGCAGACAGTGATGTGTTGATGCAAGGTGGGACTGACTGGGCTCCCTTGTCTGTCGATGTCAGTGCCCAACAGAGTAAGAATACTCCTGCCTTGCTCACAGTATGTATATAGCCACGGAGTTCGAGCTTTTCCATGGGCCGTGACAAACAGATCGACGCGCTCGTACAACTGGGGAATTTGCAGTACGGCTCTTCTTTCGAAAGCGACGTAATGTGCGATATAGAAAGTGGACCATGCTCCGCGACTATATTTCCATTGCACGGCTTCAGCACATCGAATGTCTACCCAAAGAGTCTACCACAGAGCAGCACATACACAACTATGCCAAGCACCTCGGCGTATCAGAAGCCGTCCAGATCAATCGCGTCAATGATCAACCGCAAGCAAAAGCGACCTAGAGCAAATTTCTCACTTAAATCTGTTGGAGTGCTCCAGAGCTGGCTTGATACACATCATGATGCTCCATATCCTACGGCTGATGAAAAATTGGAGCTTTCGGCGCAATCAGGTCTCTCGATAAAACAGATACAGACATGGTTTACTAACGCCCGACGAAGAAAGCTTAGTACAATGGAGCGATGGCTTTCATCTTCTGAAGAAGGAGCTTCGGAGGATGATATTCAGCATGCTGCCCAACACTCGCACAACCCCGGGTCTTACAGTAGATGCGAGGGCGTAGACAGCCATGAAATCATAGATATGACTGGAACTATATGGGATACATCGATCATAAAGCTTCCAGAACATCATGATGAACTTGGGGAGCTTGCAGATCTTGGCCATATGTGCTCGGAATTCTGGCCGTGTTCGCGCCGTTTCGACACGCAGGCTGATCTCGAAGTGCACGTAAAGTATCCACCCCAGCTCCTTTTCAATTCTTTGCCTGATCCCTATATACAGGGAGCACCTCCAAGATAGGAATATCGCTGCTAAACCTATGGAAGGCATACACGCGCCGACGACTCCGGATCCAACGTTTTCTCTCAACCCGGTAGGGCTGCATCAGGTTGATGTTGTCACGCATTCAGACTCCGAGACGACCTCACAATATTCGACGTGTTTCAACAGGTTACATGAATTCGATAAGCTTAGCCCGACCGTCTTTGGCTCATTTCGATCTGCGCACTCTTACTCCAGTAAAGGCTCGGCTTTCTCCCAAGGGGGCGATACTCTCTTTCTAGAGCGCCCGAAACGGGGAAGAAGACGAAAGTATGCCCAGTCTAGCTCGATATCCATGATACGTCAGCACCCTCTCGCCCCTATGAAGACAAACGAAGCTGTGTTTTATTGCACCTTCTGTGGTAAAGTACTCAATGCCAAGACATGGAAAAGACATGAGGAGACAAATCATCTGCCAATGCGTCAATACACATGCATGGCCCATGGCTTTCGAGTATTGTGCAAGACTGGCTATGGCCATCAGTGCGTATTCTGTGGTTTGAAAGATCCAGATGATTCTCATGCGGAGAACTGTCACCGTATATCCGAGTGCCTTGATCCCAAGAGTGGAGACAGGACCTTTCTTAGAAAAGACCATCTCGCTCAGCATCTCAAGAGCTTCCATATGGTCACCATGACAGATGACCTGGCGTGTCAATGGCAGAGCCAGGTAGACTACTCCAGACACCGTTGGCGCTGCGGGTTCTGTTCCGAGACTCTCGATACTTGGAAGGCACGAGCAAGGCATTTGTCAAAGCATTTCCGAGCAGGCCTTACCATGGATGATTGGGACCCGCAATGCGAGCCTGGCCCTGAGCTCACAGAGAATCGTGACCTCAGCATACAAACCAATTCAGTGTCCACAAAGAAACAACACCATGAAGATCTAATGACGAGCGGTAGCCTTATTGCTACGCTTCATAACACGAACTTAGATGCACCTATCGCTCTTCGAAGCGTGCCTGTCGAGCACTTTACTTGCAAGTCCGTGAGGATCGGCTCATGGTCTCGACGAGGGCGTAGGTCGACAGACTTGATTGTTTTCTACTCTTCAGAAGACGCGGGTCTATACTATTACATGATGGAGCAGGCAGTAGGATATAGGATCGAAGTCCCCTTCAGTACAATCGAGACCATCGACCTCCACATGGCGTCGCCAGACTGTGGCTCTCAATTTGAAGGGCTGGTCATCTCATTGAAAGAGCCACCAAGATTCTCCATTGCGCATCCTGAGGTTGGGCAATTTGTCCCATCCAAGGACTTTACAGGCTTACAGCAAGCTTCGACTTCATTGAAACATTTTCTTTCAGGCAATCATCGTGTTCTAGTCTCGCAGCTGGCGAAGCTAATGTCACTCAAGGCGTTCCGATGCAGGTCGAGTTGCTAAGGGAAATGGGAGGTCAGCAGTACAACTTTGATCAATGAATGCGACGATGATGAATAGAAGCATCGACATGTTTACTGCAGTGCAGATCTTCCACCTGGCATGGATCCTCGCCTCGCTCTGACATCTATAAGGTTGTGTCATCGGGAAGTCTAAACCGCAATTGGTTAGTCCGTCGCGGCACCAAGGGTTCGGCTTCCGGTGGTCCTCGCGTGCCCAGCCTCACCACCGCTTGTAGCTCTCACAAGTGTCCCGCATCTCATCCATTTCATACATCATATTCATGACCTCCAACGACACCATTTTATGGCCAACAAGGTAGCGTCGGCCTCCGCAGCATGACCATCGGCAGCATTCAGCTTCCGATATGCCTCGAGTCGTTCCTCCCATCGATGGGAGAACGTCCAGCAGCAACCTTCCCCCCTCCATCATAGAGTCCACTGCGGGCTTCTCAGCAGGCGTCGTTGCAACGTTGGCAGTACACCCGTTTGATATCCTGAAGACCAGGCTACAATGTACGTTGGGTTCCCTACTCAGATGGCTTCGAATGCGTGGATTTCTAGTTCTTTTACGCCGCCCTATCCCCCCGCTCCCTACACCGCATGTTGGGACAACTCGCGGACGAAGTGCAGCAAACATAATGAGCTTGAGCTAATGCCATATAGTGGAAATTGATCGTAAGAGTAAGCCTGGGGACTCGTTGCGGGTACTACGCCAAATTGTTCGCGATGAGGGAAACTTCAAGGCTTTGTACAGAGGGCTCATGCCAAACATGATTGGCAACTCAGTGAGCTGGGCTCTATACTTCCTCTGGTCGGTACGTCCATGCCATGGATATTACAAAGGCTTACGATACCAGGTATCGTAATTTGAAAGATATCATGCAATCATATCGCGGAGGAGAGCGGCTTCATTCTATGGATTACTTCGTTGCATCTGGGACCTCAGGTGAGATGGCTTGCATTCCAGACTGCGATCTCAAACTGATGGGCCTACAGGTATACTGACGGCCGTATGTACGAATCCAATATGGGTCATCAAGACACGGATGATCTCCACAGGAGCAAATGCTCCAGGTGCTTATAAAAGCATTTCCGATGGCATTCGAAGGCTGTACAAGTCCGAGGGCATACCTGGATTTTGGAGAGGCCTACTTCCTTCCTTGTTTGGTGTCTCACATGGGGCCATCCAATTTGTGGCGTACGAACAACTCAAAAACCGTCGGTCCGAGTACAAAGGGAGCGGCGTTGAGCTGAGCAATTGGGACTACCTGACGCTCAGTGGAATGTCCAAGATATTTGCAGGCAGTGTTACCTATCCCTACCAAGTCGTGCGATCACGCCTCCAGATCTACAATGCCAGAGAGCTGTACAGCGGTGCCACAGACGTTGTAGTACAGGTCTGGAGGAAGGAAGGTGTCATGGGTTTCTACAAAGGCATCATCCCGAACATCGTCAGGGTACTGCCGTCGACATGCGTCACCTTCCTGGTTTACGAGAACACAAAATACTACTTGCCGAAGTTCTGGCAAGATGATGTGACGCTCGATGACTGAGTGTAAATCTTCCGAATGCGATATGACCGCAGGAACGCTGAAAAGGAGTCAAGCTTGGTGTGAGAATTTTCCGTGAGAAATTAGCTGGAGCTGACCACGTAATGAAATACCCCTGCATGAACAACGTCTGTCATTGGGCTGAATATGATTAGGGCCGATGAATAAAACACCTATAGATTTTTTTCATTCGTCAATGTCATACAACGGCGTCTTGGACCTGAGCGATCTGTATTTAGGACTAGAGGAATGTGATATTGTGATCGCGGCTAGACTAGGCCTGCATCTTCAGCCTTACAGTCAGCCTCACTGTTGCCGTCATTGTACCTATCCATACTGAACTGCTAGCTACCATTCACTGATGGAAATTCACCATAGGCACCATGGCTCACCGCAACTCCCAGAATTCACTGGCGGATAGTGCTCTTCACTGTCTGAGGCATGCTCGTTTGACCGACACACTTACCACGTTCACCTGGTGCAGAGCTTCACTTTGCTCATTTCAAGAGCAGAGGAAGGCAACTATCGACATCGTGATCTTACCATGCGCAATCGATTAAGCACACAAATCGACAAATATCGAAATTAATGAGGTCTCATTTCCTCAATCGCAGTATTACCCGTAATACGTAGCGCATCGTCATTTACTTCAGTAATCTGAGGAGGACTGAAAAGCCGCAGGCCCCCGCGCGGAATCGAAGAAGCTCAAACGACTTCGGCACGGCTACGACACCCCCTGAAAGCAACTCATACGAAGAAAAAGCGTGTAAGAAGATCCCCGACGCCAAAAGCATCGAGATGCCGCAGGGATTCGAGAATGTCCGACGTGCGGACCGCATTAGCTCTGCAGCCACCCCCAAAGTCCGTCAAATGAACAAAGTCACCAAACAAAGACCATCCAGTCACATTCGAATTGTTCACGCTGTGAAAGAACCCGCTGCACGATCTCCTGCTTCCGCACCTACCTCTGCATCATCGCTCCTGGAACCTCGCAGAGCAAATCGCAACTCCACAAATACTACCGACAGAGAGGCCAACCTGTCTCCATTTCTACCACTGGACTGGGACTACCGTCGTGTGCATAGCATTATGCCGGGACATTTCAAGACGGAGAGCAACGCTCTACCGAACGCTGCGAGGAAAGAAACGGATTCTCAGACCCAATGTCACGCACGCGAAGACAGCTATGGCTGGATCCTCAAAGCACAGGAGGTTGTCTTACCACCAAGACAGTCTTCCAAGAACTGGCGGAGCGAAGACAGCGACTCCAGTACATTAAGCTCCCGCTCTACCAATCGAAGCAGCAGCCGCAACCTCAACCGCGTCACTGCAAATCGCCATTCGAACCGCAACTGGCAAGTCTTCAGCAACAGTAGCACACCTACCCTCTATTCGAGCGCTACTTTTGTCGAGAGCGACAGTGATAGCGACAGCAGCAACTACAGCCCCTACTCCAGCTCCAGCTCAATCTCCACACCGACTCACTCTCCACCAGCTACTCGCCCCCGTCCTGCCACTGCAACCTTTGTCGACAGCGACAGCGAGAGCGAAGACCCAAGCCCAACACCTAAACCCACCCGCAAACATCTCTCTCTCGCCTATCTCGCTCCTGCAATCACTCCTTCAGCGCCCGCAGTCACTCAATTCACGCCCACCCCTTCTCCCCCTCTCTCCCCAACCATTTCCCCAACCCTCTCCCCCACCCTCTCTTCCTTCGACGCCTCCCTCCGCCCCGGCCACATCACCCGCCTCGTCTTCTGGTACCTCTACTACGACCTCATCGAACCCCCCGCCTCCCCCACATCCTGGTACGCCAAAATCCCCGCCTGGGAACTCCAAGGCTGGATCGCCCTCGGCCGCGCCTTCACCTCAAACCCAGACCTGCCCTTCCCCTCCACCCTCTCCACCATCATCCAAGCCCTCCGCCTCGACGCCGCAGAGCTCAAATACCTCATCATCCGCCTCGCGGACAAGACCTCCATGCGCACCACCGAAACAAAGGAACTCGTCGATCTGGGCCGCGCCCAGGGCTTGTCGAGCCGTGCCGTTGCAATGGGCATTCGCGAGAAGTTTGTCAAGGATAGGCGGTTGTTGGAGGCGCTGTTTGTTAAGGGTCAGGGCGCCGGCGAGTTGTGGGGGTATATGCAGTTTGTGCTGTTGAGGCGGGTGGCTGATTATTTGGATTATGTTATCTTGCCGCATGTTGGAGGTGGGGCTACTGCTGCTGCTAAGGGTGGTGCTGCTAAGGGGGATGGGCGGGCGAGGGAGGGCGTGTTGAAGAGTTATTGGCGGTTGATGGGCGTCAGGAAGGTTCCTGCGGAGTGGTATGAGGGTGATGGGGAGGAGGGGGACGGGGAGCGGGAGATGGGGGATTGGGAGACGGTGAATAGCTTCTTTTGAGTTTAGCGAGTTTGGGGGATTTGAGCTTCTAGGATGGGGTGGTGAGCGTGTGTGATGGTTTTTTTCTGACATTTATTTTGTTTTATTTTGGGGGGTTGGGCGAGGCGGAGAGCGTTATACCAGGCATACTAGGCGTTTGATGTATTTCTTATACGTCGTCACATTAATCTAATGTATCATTTGAAAACTGAAGATTTTCTATCAAGAAGTGCCACCACGAACATATCATAAATAGAACACCTAAATACGTTCCATCTACAACTGGAAGCGCGTCCTCGCCTTGTCCTGCTTACCCTTCCACTGCCACTCCTGCCCGCTCTTCCTCTGTATGCCTCTATCCACCCGTCTCAGCTTCAGGGTGAACCTGGGCCCTAGCTCCTGCAATCCAGCTTTGATATCCTCGACCCCCTTCATCACCTTCCCATCCGTCCCCACAATACTCTTCTCCGTCGCCCGCTTATCCCTGAAAACATAGCGATGCCGTCGAACAAAGATATAATCACGCTGATTATGCAGCGTCACCACCTGACGGCCCTCAAACTCAGGCTGGGGCGGAAACATAGTGCGAAAGAGATGCGCCGTCAGCAAGCCGAGCGGCGTGCGGAAGTTATTCAGGATGAGTTCCGGGTAGTGGTTTGTTGGTTTGCCGTGGCCGGGCAACTTCTTGCCTTCGACCCAGTTGCTGATGCTGAAGTGGAACATGGGGCCGTGGGGCAGGTGAACAATGTCGAGGCCACACGGCTTCTTCTGGTCTTCGTTCAGCACGATGACGGCCGTGTAGCCGCGGTTGGAGGCGAATTTGGAGATCTCGCGCACGCTGTACTTGTGTCCGAAGCGGTGCTCTGAGCGGCGGATGTAGGAGCTTGCGGGGAAGAAGTTTGTGAGCATTTGGGCTTCGGTGTGGAGAGTGCTGTTTAGGGAGGTTGTGATGAGGATCTTGGGGTCGACTGGGGGCAGAAAGAGGGTTGGGAATTTGGCTTGGAGGAATTCGGGGGTGAGGTCCATGTTTGTTGCTGTTGAGGCGGCGGATGGGGAGGGGGCTCGTTTGGGGGCGTCGGGTGTGGGTTTGTGTTTGGACTTTTTGGATGTTGTGTCTGAGCTGGAATCGTTACCGTCAGAGTCGGAGCCGCTGTCGGAGTCGAGCATGCTGTCTAGATCGTCGGCTTCGCTGTCGTCGCCTTCTGCGTCTTCGGCGTCGATGTTGCTGTCGCCGTTCTGCTCCTCGTCTGTCTTTTGCTTCTTCAATTTGTCCACGTCGACACTCCATCCTAGTGCGTCGCCCTCGTCACCGAATGCGGCGTCCCATACTCTCTTCTGGTCGATAGTGACGGGTACATGGGTGGCTACTCGTTTCTCACGAAGCTCTGGATTCTTCGCCTCTTCTCTCTTCCTTCTCATGCGCTCATCACGCTTTGCGCTCTCTCGTGCCTTCTTCTCTTTCAGATTGATCTCTGCACGTTTTGTCTTATTCCTGATCTGATAGCCGCGGCTGGCTCCAGTACCGAAGCCCATATCTGCAGAATTGACAGCACGTGTGCTGCGTGACGAGACTGAATGGTGGGCCTGGATTGCAGTGCTGTTGTCGCAGCTTCGTCGTAAATCGCACGGTCTAGATGAAAAGCTTGTTTTCCAGAGGAGCCACAACGAGGTCAAGTATGCGGAGTCGAATCAAGGTTTCTCACGAATTGACCACGCTGCCTCGCATCAAAGGTAGTAGGACAAGTTGTCACTTTCTGAGAACGACTCTTTGCGACGAGGCCAAGAAGCAGATGCACAAAAAAATGTCGGCGGTCGGCGTTTAAGTGGGGAGAACTCTTGGCATTTCGAAGCTCTCCAAGGGTCTGAAAGTGTTGATGGAGTCATAATTCTGGACGTCTACGATTCGCATCTTCGCCTTCTCCGTTGACTTCATACACTGTACACCTTTTCTCAAACAAGTCTTCCTGTCACTCATTCGCATGCGCTTGCTGCTCCGACCTACGCGCCTATTGAGCCGATTCAATTCCTTTTCAGAAGCTCCACCAAACCCCTCTATACGAGCACATCACCTCCGTAGCTTTACTACAACATTAGTCGCGCAAAAGTCCAGTATCAACAGTAAACCCAAGCCTGTCGATATGGAGACCACAACCAAAACCGGTCAGCCGTTTGACCGGGCTCACATGGAGCAACTCATGAAGCGCCGGCTTTTCTACACACCCTCCTTTGAGATCTACGGCGGTGTCAAGGGCCTGTACGACTATGGTCCGCCTGGGTGCGCGCTGCAAGCAAACATTGTCGAGCAATGGCGGAAACACTTCGTATTGGAAGAAGACATGTTGGAAGTGGACTGTACCATGTTGACACCGCACGAAGTTCTGAAAACGAGCGGGCACGTAGACAAATTCGCGGATTGGATGTGCAAAGACCCGAAGACTGGCGATATCTTCCGGGCAGACCACTTGGTTGAGGAGGTGCTGCAAGCTCGACTGAAAGGTGACAAGCTAGCTCGTGGGGAGAATGTTGAAGCGGAAAAGGAGGACCCTAAGAAGAAAAAGAAGAAGGCGAAGGTTGAGAACGTCAAACTGGAAGATTCGGTCGTGACGGAGTATGAGGAAATCCTTGCTAAGGTAAGGGGAAAGAATAGCTCTCCATTCGACGCTAATGATTGCAGATCGACAACTACAATGGCGAGGAACTTGGTGGTTTGATGACAAAGTACAACATAAAGAATCCTGTCACTGGCGGCGATCTAGAACTTCCCGTGGCATTCAATCTCATGTTCCAGACGTCCATCGGTCCAAGCAGCAACGCGCCCGGCTTCCTCAGACCCGAGACCGCCCAGGGTCAATTCCTGACTTTCCACAAACTGCTCGAGTTCAACAACACATCTATGCCCTTTGCTTCGGCTTCTATTGGCAAATCGTTCCGAAATGAAATCTCCCCTAGATCTGGTCTTTTGCGAGTAAGAGAATTCCTAATGGCGGAAATCGAGCATTTCGTGGACCCCGAGGGTGGGAAGAAGCACCCTCGCTTTGAAGAAGTGAAAGACGTAGAGCTCGAGCTTCTCAACCGTGAGACACAACTGGCTGGTAAGACCAAGGTGGAGACTACTCCTATCGGTAAGGCCGTTTCATCTGGTCTGGTCGACAATGAGACGCTTGGGTACTTCCTGGCCCGGATACAGCAGTTCTTGCTTAAGATTGGCGTGGACAAGAAGAAAATACGTTTCAGACAGCATATGGCCAACGAGATGGCCCATTATGCTGCCGACTGTTGGGATGCAGAACTCCTTACTAGCTACGGGTGGATTGAGTGTGTTGGCTGCGCCGACCGCAGTGCTTATGATCTCTCTGTCCATGCTAAGAAGACTGGCGCACCTTTGATAGTCCGTGAGACAAGAAAAGAGCCGTTGTCAATAGAAGAGTATCAGATCGACCTGGACAAGAAGAAATTCGGTCCCACATTCAAAAAAGACGGCAAAGCTGTCGAGAGTGCGATCGAAGCACTGACCCAGGATATGCGAGAGAAACTATCTCTCGACCTAAAGAACGACGGCAAGATCATCGTTGATGTAGCTGGTGTTGGCGATGGCAAGGTCGAGATCCCTAAGGAGCTCATCACCATCGAGAAGCGTACGAGAGTCGAGCACATTCGCGAGTTCGTTCCTAACGTCATCGAGCCATCGTTTGGTATTGGCCGAATCTTCTACGCGCTCATTGAGCATCTCTTCTGGACACGTCCCGATGATGTAGATCGAGGTGTAAGTTTACTTGGGCGATTGACGCAGTAATATCCACTAAACAATCATAGGTTATTTCGTTTCCGCCAGCAGTTGCTCCCACAAAAGTCCTGCTAGTGCCTCTTAGCACCAACGCAGACTTCCGTCCCCTAGTGCAACAAATGGGCCGCAAGCTCCGCGCATTAGGGATCTCCAATCGTGTGGACGATTCTTCAGCGAGTATTGGCAAGCGTTATGCCCGAAACGACGAGCTCGGCACACCGTTTGGCATTACTGTCGACTTCCAGTCCATCAAGGACAACACATTCACACTACGCGACCGTGACACGACGAAACAAGTTCGTGCCAGCGACGATGAGGTCTGCAAGGCTGTGGTTAATATGGTGAATGGTACCGAGACATGGGACGATGTCGTGAAGCGGCTTCCGATCTTTGACGGCCAGGAGATAGAGTAGAACAGAAAGCATGAGATATGTAGACTGCTGACCTCAGGACCGATATATGAAGGGATGTAAAATCTTTCAAATCGAGATCTGCAAGTGTAGTGTTCGAGCGTCGTGTAGGTCGTACCTTTGGACGTCCTTTGAATCTATACTAAGCGATCGAATCCTTGTGCTACGCGCAGTTCCCTATGACGATTCAGAGCAAGGGTGGTATACAACAGAGCGAACACACGTTGTCTGAAGAATGTGAAACAGATTATTGAGTCGCCAGTAAATACCGGAATCGATCCCCGGCGAGAAATCATTCTTGAACTCGCTTGCACCTAATTGCGTACACACAACTGAAGTGAAAGCGATGACCGATAACATACCATCAGCTCTTTCAGGGCAACTCGCAACTTAGAGATACTAAGAGATATCGACGATGTCACAATATATAGGCGCCCCCAGTCTGCTGAAGTTGGAAAAGTGAACCTGCGTAGCCAGTTTCATACCGATAGGCTACTCGCAGTATTTGCTTACACAAGAACAGAAGCAGTGCGGTGGCTGTTCGGTGAACGAACATGCCAGGTCCGTGCCCAAGTGTTGACAGGTTTAAGTCATCTTGAGCAATCTCAGCTTAATAAGGGATTATACTCGAGTAAGGTAGGTACTACGTTACGATAGGTAGAGTGAATCTCGCTTGTACTGGTAGTGGTTGTCATTTGCAAGTTCAAGTTCTCATGTCCATCACATAACGTCTTCGACTTCTAAACCCGACTGTGATCGAATTGTCCTCATCACATCGACCACTTCTAACAGAGCCTCAATCTAGAAGCCCAAGAAGACCGTCGAGATCTCGTTGGCTGCTCTACAATACCAAGGTAGCCTCTTAAAGCAAACTTTGTGTTCTCACGGCCTCACCAAATCCTACTAACGACTTAAAAAACTCTCTCGTGTTCAACTCACTACTACAGGGAGTCAAAGGCAGCTCAGCATACCGAGCTGCAAGGCAAGATGAAAGCATCCGCTGCTAGAGGCAGCACGAGAATGGGTGCTCCGAGTAGACGTGGACCTTTCTTCATGGATTCTGACGACAATGAGGACGATGGCACGAATGATTGTGAGGTGAGTAAACCTCTCAAGTCTCTGCATTTTATTTATCCATCTGAACAAACTAGGATTACACTATGCCGCAAGCCCCAAGCTTCACACGCGAAGTTGCACCCATGGAAGATCCCCTCGCGGCACGAATCGCCTTTATGCTCAGCCAGGACAGCACGCCGTTGATTGACGATCTTGTCAAGCTCTATGTCTCGCTAGGCAGCGTCATTTCTAGGAAAGAAGATGCAAGTTTCATTGCTGAATTCGAGGCGGAACTTCAGGGTAATTCGAAACGTGACTTTCGCATACCAACCAGAGTTATGACAAACCAAATCAACAACGTCCTGAACGAGGTCTCTCCAGCTGTGGGAGAAGGGTTGACAGACGACTTTAACATGCTTTCGATGCATGAAAGTGCGGAAAAGCTCCTTAGAAAAGCACGAATGAGAATGAGTATGTTGGAAGATGCTGAGAAGAGGTTACAGAAGCAAGTCGAGAATATGGCGCTGGAGCAAGAAGTCTTCAGAAACGAGAAAAGATCATTTGAGCAGGAAAAGCTGGCATTCGAACAGCAGCCCAAACAGTCCGACTTCAACCAGGCCGGACCCAGCACAACAGCCACGAGATCAGACGCCGAACCCATTGTCTTCAGTTACGACTTTGAGGAAGAAGATTGCCTACCCTTCGAAGCTTACGTCGACATCAAGTCAGACAGCGTCAGAGAAGCCCTCTCCGCTGCGCTGATAAAATGGCGCAGTCATCGAAACGGCGGCGTCAAGATGATGAAGCAGATTGCGGCAGATCGGGATCCAGAATGCGTGTGGACACAGATGAGCGGCGCCAGAAAGGCTGGCGACTGGGCAAAGGGACTCGAAAATGCTTGTCTTCAGTGCGAAAAGCTGAGCCGGCTTTGCGTTGTCGGCAACAAAGGTACGCTCAAGCTGCTGCCGTTGCATGAGGATGTGAGGACCACAGACGATCCTGGCGAGATTGAGTTCTGGAAACGCAAGAGTATACTGATGAAAGCTGCCAACTGCGGATCGAATAAGAAACGGAAGATCTCTGCGGCGTACTAACTTGTTGATCAATCATGGCAAAAAGACAGACACTATCCACTCTAATGCTGAATATGTCGCGGAAGAAGAGTCAACAAAGAATTCAGCTTTTATCTTATATGAATGGAGAGGAAGGGTGAGAAAGGACAAAGACGTCGCATTATATCAGGTGGTCACGTGGCAGCGCGTTCTTTGCGCATTCACACTTCTTCAGCTCCGAGACGACTCATTTTCTATATTGATTTCTGCTTTCCGTCATCATACGTGTTCGCTCATTCGGGGTATCTATGCAATGTTAACATACACGAATACTAACACAGCCTTGCCTCCAAGTCCAGTCAGGTCACCGATCGATTTAATACCAACAAAGGTCAAAATTCAGATCCAGGTTGAGCTCCGAGAAACACGCATTTTGCAGACAATCGATCACTTATCATCGTTCAACGGCTTCCTGGCTCTCACAAATCGAAAACTTGTCTCCAGCTGATCATGGACACCGGTCAATAACTCCTGCACAACGTCCCCACAACGCTCCTGCACTTCCTCCTTGGTGAAGCCAGCATGTTTTGTCATACTTCTCAGCGCCGTTGCCTCGATGCTTTCCACCAAGCTGACCAGGTGCATCTTACCGAGAGTGTGATTCTCGTCATCGCCTGGCCAAGCTCCCAGTGGAATGTCAATGGCGATCATTTCATATTCCTCGAAGCCCGCTGCCTCGAAGAACTCTCGCTGGAGATGTGTTGTTGTAACCGGATAACCCGACTTTGATGCTACAGCATGGAAGTTGATGAAGACTTCACGCATCACGGAGTCTGGCTGCGCTATGTGGTATTGGAAATCGACGACCTCGAGCCAGCCGCCCGGGACGAGGTTTGCATAACATTCTCTGTAGACTCCTGTCCAATATGCGAAGGCACCTTTCATACCACGGATATGTATGAAGTCGAATGGCTCGCTAAAGTTCCAGCCTAGGTTCACGGAACCTCTCCGAGAAGGGGGATTATAGCTTCTACGCCAGCTTTCCCTCCGGCTGCTCCTGTTCGACTGCACAGAATTCGCTCTGCCCTTGCCACCTTCCTGCGTATTAAGGCCTGTGACAGACTTGGCGACATGTTCATCTTCAATGCCTTCTTCGACGGTTACTTCGACATGTTCCACTGGGCCCCACATGTCAAGATCGGCAATCTCCCATGTCACTTCAGGCAGCTCGACATCATGCATCCCTTGCTCATCAAGCCTCTGCTTAGCATCTTCCTCTGCAGCTTCCACGTCCCAGACGGCGAGATCAACTGCGACAACCTCGGCTCCAGGGTATTCGAGAGCTATTGCCACGGCCCAGTCTCCGGATCCGGATCCAACGTCCAGTATACGCTCGATTGTCGAGGGTAAAGGGGCAGTCGTCAATTGACCCCCAAGAGCGTTCAAAAACACTCGGTGGAGGATGGACAGACGGGTCTGTTCTTGTGAATCGCATGGCATGAAGAATGTGTCATTCGGATACGCTCGTCCATTCTCGTTGACGACACTGAGGTCTTCGGAGCGCAAGGAACGAGTGGACTCAGGGCTGGACCGTTGTGATCCTCCCGATATGTTGTGACGTGAGGAAGATCCCTCTTCCATCATCCGAGCTGTACGTTTCGACATGACGCCTTGTGAATCTGCACCTACGCCCTGAACGAAATCCAGGCATACGGCAGTGAGACAAATTCGCATAGTCTCAGAGACCTCTGCCGGCTCTGTTGTGAGGGACCCACAGATCAGAAATTTCCGCAGTTCTAGATTGGCACGCCATATGGAAGCCTCGGCGGCCCAGCACTATGGGAGGACGCAAGGTGATAGAGATTAGTGGTACAAAGGGTCGTACCATGACTCCAACTTCACGGTCAACGGCTCCCGCGAACATGGAGCTGGAGACGGTTCAGAACTACAGGCCGCTCCTATTGCCTACATGCAGCTAGGATGTAGGCTGCCCCTCCCTTTGAGCAGATACGACCGCATGACCACGTCAACCCAGCATCGTATTACGTCCTAGACACTTCTGCCAGCCTCGCGTTCTGCTGTCGGTCCGTCGAATTATTGCCCACGAAGCCACGAGCTGCGGAGTACACTTATCAGCGGCCCTGCAGTGCGACGCCGCGCACGCTTTCAGCATCCCTGATATGATGAGTCTTCTCATTAGGGCGGCTTTCCATTTGCTTGAAGCGGAATAGCTTAACGTGGTAACTATGCTCCCTTGCCGGACCACCACGATGCAGACATGCTCACGATAGCCAGCCAGCTTCAATGCAAAAGTATTGTGAATTGTGTAAGGACATGGAAGAGGTCCACATCATACCGCTTGACAGGCAGCGCACCTGCCGAATTGAGACTTAGCCGCAGGAGTCTAGCCTGCATCGTGGGATCCATCCCGTTCCCAGCCGCCGGCTCGGGCGACCCGTTATTATTCTCCGTATTCCCGGCTCTCTGGTTGCGGGATATCCATTGTTGGTCTTGATTTGCTAAGGGTTCGTTCTCTCGTTGAGTATGTCGATTTATTCAGCAGAAACCATGAATTAATGAAGACCTACTCCGTAATTACTGACAACGCTGAGCCACTCTGTTCCACTGATGGCTGGAACCTCATATGCAGAAGACTTCCTGGCTATCATCCGGTAACCCGGACTCTGTATTGGTGAATGCTTGGATGTACTAATGATAACTGCCTACCTTCAGGGAGTGAACTTTATTTAGACGGCTGATGACTTTCTTGGACGAGTGCACTTCACTAGCACATTTCTGCATGTGGGTTGACGAAAGAGACCGCCTGCATCTGCATCATGAAGACATCAAAATTGGCTTGTATGGCCTGATTCGCTGCGGTCTACCCGTCGAGCAAGCTCATCATGAGATATATTGCCGAGGTCTTTTCTGGACTCCTGTCCTTCTTTTGGATTGCGTCAAACAGGTCTGCTAAACGCTACAGATCGCACTTGCTAACCTATAACATGCAATCTTGTTCTCACTCCAATGCATGTAAGATCATACTCTTCCAATGCGTACCAACGACTCACGAATCTCGTATCCGATCAAGTTCCTGTATCAGACTCCACGCTTACGCTTCTGTGGATTTGTGACTTCTGTCATGATCCAGTACCCAATGTTCTTCGCATCCTCAGTACTCCTCTTCTCTGGTGACAGCGGGAGCAGATACATCTGGCTCGCGATGTACACGAGACAGAGTCGTCTCTCGGCCTGGCAGCTCTTACAGCTGTACCCGTAACTGCCGTCAAACCAACCGCCTGCGTCACGGTACAGCGTCGACCAGACGCAGCGACTCCCGTCCCCTCCGGATAGCTCCCGCAGATCGTCGGTGCACACCAGGTCTTCCCATTTTCGACCCGCGCTATCAATTGCCGCGGACACGGCTCTCGACACCGTGGTGGCCGTTGTGTGAACAGGCGGTCCGTCGTCGGGGAATGAGAAGTCGACTTGAAGGGCACCGGAATCATGGACTTGCACCATCTGGCTTTCGAAGGTGATCTGATTATATCCCAGCGATGCCCCGGGAGGAGCTGGCGACTGGGTTGTGAAGTAGTTGATTGGGGAGTCCGACTGTCTTGCACTTGAGTTTGTCGAGCGATGAACATCTAACGTGTTGCATCCAACTCTTGGCCTTGTGCGTGCGAGCATGGCTTCATTCGCCGCGAATTCCTTGTTCAGACTTCGCTCCATGGCCCGGACGGCGCGTTCACGGGCGTTGATCTCCCTCTCGGCCTTCTCGAGTCTCGCCTCCTTCGCCGCTCTCCCATCCGCTCTTTTGTTCTCTCTCTCATCACAGGCCGCCTCCCGCTTCCGCAGCGCCCTGTTCTTCTCCCGATACTCCTTTCTCCTTTCCATGATGTCTGTCCGCTCATGGTTGTGTCTCTTCATTCTCGAGTCAAGCATGGCCTGCTTGGCCTCGAAATCCTCCCATTCACCGCGCTCCCGGATGAGCTCGAATTTAAGGACTTTCAGGTCCTTGTATGCGGCGTCGATGAAGGCCTTCTTTGCTTTCATCGCGGCAGGCTTGACTCCGCAGGTCTCACACCGTTGGGAGTGGTCGTCGGTGGCGTTGGGGGTGACGGGGAGGCTGTCACCCCTTTCCGTGAAGGCGTCGAGGCGCTCTCCTACGTTGCGTGCATGCAAGGTTAGTCGACTCAAATGGTCTGATAGCTGTCGGTTGTTGGGCTGCGACTGACGTGCTGCGGCGACTTGCTCGGCGCTGTACTTTCTCTGGTTCTCGTACTCGTCACCGCTGGAACTGTGCGACGACGACGGTGTGGATTTTCGAGCTGTCGAGTCAGTATACAGTCCGGAAGGGCTTATCAGAGGTCACGTACTTGTTTCGTTCCACATCCTTGCACCATAGTCTTCTGGTGAGAGCCTCGTTGCGTCCATGACGGATGACTTGTCCTGGGTATTCCGAAGTGATGGATGAGCTGGGTGATCAGAAGTGATGGATTGAGACGAAAGTTTCTCGAAGATCTGGAGACTTTATACAAAAAAAAAGATGTGGGAAATTTGCTGGTCGTACGACGCTCCTTGTTGGGTGAACGTGGTGGTTATTGTTGTTGTTGTGGCAAGAAACGGGAGCTACCGTGTGGGACGTGTCTTGTTTATCGATGGGCTGCTTCACTTTCACCGCTCGCTAGGTGAGCTTGGGACAATGGGATTTTTTCCCACTGGCCAATGGGCAGGCGCTGGATGGGGTCCGTTGCTACTTGGGAAGTGAATTGATGGCTTTGTATGGGATGTGCAGGTCTTGTCTACGCCCGCCGGTTCGTCAATGTAAGTCCACAGCAGCAGGACAAAGTCCTGTTCGCTAGTCTTGCTGATCAATGAGCCGGATCGAGAGGTGTAAATGTTCAGAAGCATGCAGAACAAGAGCCATGAATGTATCGAGGGATTCTATTGAAGCCTACCTGACGCGAATGAGAAGCTGTACCAGATACTGGATGGGACGAAAAGATGTGTCAACGACCTTTAAGGTGAGTGCTTCCAGGACTGCAACGCAGATGCTTGACTGTTCGGTCAATCACAATCGAGCCAACACCAGTGAAATACGATAAGAGAAGAAGTGAGTAAGAGGGCTATGAGCAGCCTCAGGTCCCCTTTAAGAGAATGGTAGATGTCTAATCAGCTTTGCCTTCGGAGCTGAAGAGAAAAGAGGCACGGGCTTGAAGGAAATTGAATGTGGTCGTCCGTCTCGACCTTGACTTAGTCGAAGAAGAAGCCCCCTACCAAGATACACATTCGAGTTGGAGAATGATATATGGTCAGAACAGGGAGCAAGAAGTACAGCAAATCAGCACATACACATGAAATTCTGCTACACCTCTGGTCTTGTGTTTCATGTTCATCAGAATTCGTGTGGTTTGATTCAGAGAATATATCTGAAACCCCTCGCTCTTTCATCCACACGTCCGTTGGTCTCTTCAGGATCTGCTTCCTCACGCTTCTGCAACTTGCTATTCTCCCTGGCAAGTAGCAACCTAATGATACCAGCCATGCCAGCAACAAACAGTGCCACAGCCGCGGTCGCGCTTCCACCTGGGATATAACGCGGCGAGTCCGTCTTCGGATACATGTACGGTCCGTAGATATTCGCCGTATTCCCAATCATGTTGGCAAAGCTGATACAAGCACTCCTCTTCACCAGCGGTCTTGAAAAGCTGTTAGCAACCCACGCCAGAATGACCTGATACGCCGCCACTGCCCCCATAGGCATCAGAAACATGGCAAAGAACCTCGCCGGTACGTTTGTCGTCGCCGTCGCAATCACATTCCCCACAAAGCTAACCATCATCAGCAAAATAATATGCAGACTCCGATCGCCCGTCTTCCCAGACGAATACGTCACCGCCAACGAAACCAAGAACGTCCCAATCCACACCGGCGCCGTAATCAGCAGCGTCTCCGTCCTCCCATACCCAAGCGTCTGCACAATACTCGGGAAGAAATACTGAAACGTCTGACTCAACAAACTCGCATGCTGCACCAGCGTAAACACATACAGCCGACCATCCCGAAACGCCATCCTCACCCCCTCCACAATCCCACTCGCCCCCGCCTCATCCCCCTCGCCCGCATCCTCCTCCAACCGCCACCGCGCATACGCCCTCTCCTCCTCCCCCAACCACCCCGTCGTCGCCGGATAATCCGGCAACACAACCGCCGCAACACCAGCAACACAAACCGTCACCACCCCCTCAATCACAAACAACCACCTCCACCCAGCAATCCCACACGCCCCATCCATACCCCCCAACACCCCCGCCCCAACCAACCCCCCAAACGCATTCGCCAGCGACGACCCCGAATAAAACCACGCCACCCGATGCGCCAGCTCCGCCCGCGTATACCAACTACTCAACAACATGACCGCGCCCGGAAAAAACGGCGCCTCCGCAAACCCCAAGAAGAACCGCGCTGCAACCAGATCCCCAAACGAGCGCGTGCCCGCCTGCGCAGCGGATATGGCGCCCCACAGCGCCATGGCGGCGCCGAGGTATACGGAGGGCCGGAGCCGGGTGAGGAGCAGGTTCGAGGGCAGTTGCATGAGGAGGTAGCCGACGAAGAGGATGGAGGTGGCGAGGTTGAAGTCTGTGGGGCCGGACATGTGCAGGTCGGCTTCGAGGGTGCCGAGGCGGGCTTGGGCCAGGTTGCTGCGGTCGAGGAAGTTGAGGAGGTACATTGTGATGAGGAGGGGGAGGAGGTGGAGGTCGATTTTGCGGAGGAGGGACTTGGTGTGGGTGGTGTGCCATGTGGGGTCTTTGGCGGCGAAGGAGGTGGGGGTTGCGGGTGTGGGTTGGGTGATGTCGTGGGAGGGTTTTGTAGGGGTGTTGGGTATGGGTTTGTTGGGTGTGGGTGGTTGTGTTGCCATGGTTTTTGATGTCGAGGGGTTAGTGATGGAGTTGGTTTCAGCAATGGTATATTGGAGCGACACTCCGTCCTTTCTATATCAACTCCCCGCATTTGTATTTCCGATACATCCACCCAGATCCCCACATGTTCTGAATCAGTAGATGGATAAAGTTGGGGAATATCTGGGGTCCCGGGAGGATGATGTAGTTTAGAAGCGGTGTTCTCTCCGAGGGACGGTTTGCGGAACATGCTCCGAACTCCCGGGGTTCGGGGGAAGGTGCACCGAGGTATGCTTTTCTATCGACGGAACGTAGTATATGAGGCTCTTGACGTACAGGAGATATAGGTAGTTAGCTGGATATGTATTTGTGTCATACTAGGCCTGAAGTGAAGGATAGTGTCAGCTAGGAGATGTTCCAGAGACTGACCGAATGGATATGAGAAATCCATGGTATGTGAGGTATGTCTGACATTCATTCAACAACGCGGTGACTGATGATGATCCGCTGTCTTCGCAAACATATACCACGGATCCAAAAGCCAGTCCAGCACTCACCCAGCTTCCAAGACCTACAAGCCCGGGAATCCAACAACAAAGCATTCCATTCCCGCCATCGCAATCGTCAACAGCACTATCACCATACCATCCCAACAACAAAAGCTATCCTTGTACCAACCAAATCATTTTACTACATTCCTACAAGCACCACACGCAGGCCTTACACCTCCACCCCGCCCCACACAGCCCAAACACCCAACCCTCTATGTACACACACACACACACACACACACACACACACACACGCACACACAACCACCCCCCTCAAAACCCCGCAAAAGCAGCCAACGCAAACGTAATCCCAAAGCTCAACTTCAGCGCCACATTCCTCTGCATCGCCCCTTGAATATCCACATTCTTCGCCATCTTCTGTATCTGTCCGTACGGAACAATAGGGATGCCGCGGCTCTCGAGGAACTATGTGCAACACAACACATCATATATCAGCCATCAGCCACAATCACCAATCCTCACACCATACACCCCCTGCCCAAGTTGCGCATTCATTCATTCATTCATGCATCCATCGACTCACTCACCTGCACAAGCACGATCCCCACCCCAATCAGCAACGTCAGCGTCTTGCTAAACATGCTGATTACCACGCCGCCCAGCAAGCCGAGGATGCTGCCCGTGCTAATCTGCTTTATGTTTTTCGCGCTGATGAAGTTTTCGGGTGGCGGGAGGCCGCTGGAGCTGTTGCGCGTCCAGTCTCGCGAGCTTAGGGGTGTGGGAGACGCATCGCAGTAGTATTTTGTGGGACGGAGCAGGGGTGTTGCGACGAGGCCGCCGGCGCAGAGCGAGGTGAGGCCGATACGGAGGGCGCGTGGGCGGTGGAGGAGGGGGTTGAATGTGCGCGAGGCCATTGTGTAGGTAGGTAGAGAGGAATGCTCGTTTGGGGGTATGTGTTTTGTGAGTGTTATGGATGGATATAGGACGTGGGAGGTGAGGTTGGTGATCGACGTCATTTAGGGCCGTGTTAGCGCAGATCCATGACGCCTTGCCTAAAACGGCACTCCGAGCTTTCAATATCTAGACCATACTCAGTGCTGACTCTCTCTATGGATGCTATACAACGCTGTTGTTTGTCCAAACCCCAAGACAGAATGGCAAGTTTGAACAAGGGCGAGGATTTCATGTCCTACCCATAGTCCCTCATGCCTACTAAATGCCAATGCCGCCCTGAACTGAAACGCTCCATTGCCCTCTTAATGCCGTACTGTAAAGCTCTAATGTCGCTTTGGATGTATAAAGGCCGTATAAGGTAACAATTAATACGGCTGCGTCTCCCTTTCCAACCATCGCAGGCTCAGCTCATCGCCTTCAAGCAGACTCTTCGTCTTCTGAAGGACTGCCTTATTATAGTCGTTCAACCATTGCCTCTCCTCAGGCGTCAACATGCTTACGTCAATGAGCTTCCTGCAGTATGGGACCATTGTGACGTGTTCAAAACCGAGGTATGGCTTGTCTCCAAATCTATGCTTAGTCTCAACTTCCTTGACCATTATGACGTTTTCGATGCGAATGCCAAAGTTGCCGTCTTCATAATACCCGGGTTCGTTCGAGATGACATTGCCTACCGAGAGCGATACTTCGGAATACTGTATTCGAGTGCCGATGCCGATCGGACCCTCGTGCACATTCTGTGTCTATGTCAGCATGTGTCTGAGTGATAATAAGAGATACGGACCAGGTACGATCCAATCCCATGGCCAGTGCCATGCCTGTAGTCGAGCCCTTCCGCCCAGAGGTGCTGACGAGCCAAAGTATCGAGAGCAAAGCCACTTGTGCCTTTGGGGAATTTGATGGTGTCCAGAGCAATATGTCCTTTTAATACCAGTGTGTTGGCTCGGACCTCAAGCTCGGTGGGCTCACCAAAATGCAGCGTACGTGTAGTGTCGGTGGTCCCATCCAGATACTGTGCTCCCGAATCGCAGAGATAGATTGCTTTCGGATCAATGGTAGAGCAGTTACCTGGTTCCGGCTTGTAATGAATGACAGCCGCGTTTGCACCAGTCGAAGAAATGGTGTCAAACGAAAGCCCTACGAAGTTCTTGTGTTTACTTCGGATTTGTTCGAGCTTGTCAGCTCCTTGAACTTCGTCGAGTTGAACTCCCTCTCGAGTGAGCTTGTTCTCAAGCCATGCGAAGTATTCTATCAGCGCAGCGCCATCCCGGATATGACATTGCCTCATGCCTTCCAGTTCGGTATCATTCTTGATGGCTTTGGCGTCGGCAATTGGAGACCGAGCTTCCTCTACCTTGTCTTCGCCGCCAAGACTTTGGCTGAGGGCCCAAGATGCTTTATTGGATATCAGGTATTTTGAAGGTGCTTTGGATTCCGTCAAAGCGACTCCGAGGGCATTAATATCACTGAAAACGGCCTCGTACGGCCTAATGTCTACTGTAGAGCCTAAATGAGACTTAACCTCATCGCTGAGCTTTGAATCGTCGATATAAAGCGTCGCCTTCGTGGGTGTGACTACAGCATACGAAAAGAATACGGGATTGTAAGGGATGCTACGTAAAGTCAGTACATATGACGCATTGCACTTTTAGTCTTACTCGTTGCCTCGGAGGTTATAAAGCCAGGCAATCTCGTCAAGCATAGCTGAGACCAATTAGCTGGGATCGAGGCAGTAAGCCAATCTTCATACAAACTACGAAGCCAGCACTCTTCTTCTTCTCGAGTTCTTTCCTCAGATCTGCTAGTTTCTCTTCGGTGTTTTTGCCAGCAAATTCAATGGGTTGCACTTTTACAGGCTCGACAGGCCGAGATGGCTTCGCAGACCCCCATACAGCGTCTACCAGATTGTCCTTGACTGCAACGAGACCAGAACCACCCTTCTTTTTAATTTTGTCGGCAAGCTTCCGTGCATCGGCTGCGTAAAATCAGCCATATGAAGGGAAGACATAGTCAATTTGACTCACGAGCAGTAATAATTGTAGGGTCCACTCCAACGCTCTTACCCCCTTGCGAGTGATCAGCAGTCCTGCCACGATCAGTATATATTTTTGGCCGTCACTACCACGAGATGTACCATTCTTGCCATGTCGGCACATCCTGAAGGCCTTGTTTCAGGAGCTCCCAGTTGCTGTCCAATTGTTTCCCGGCCTGGTTGAAATAACGTCCATCGGTAGCCAGAGCCGCCTTTTCCAGTGTAACGACAGCTGTACCTGCAGAGCCGGAGAAGCCACATATGAACTCTACGGCTGTGAGACTCTGCACAATTTTGTTGATTTATGACTTCAGCTAACCTCTTCGGCCGTCGCAGGCTGCTATGTATTCCGACTGATGACTGTCTTCAGATGGTATGACTGTTCGTGACGATCAGCTGGAGCACAATAGCTCTGTGATAGCATTGGAGCGTACTGTAGACGTCTACTTTTGACTCTTTCATGAGCTCTCGAAGCTTGGCAAGCCTCTCTGTGGTGTCGACTTTCTCCATGTCTGCAGTAGATGCTCTTATCGAGGTCGAATGGAAGAAGCGTATGACCTGGGGACGATAGACCAGTCTGGGGCGAACGACATGGGGTTTAGAGAGGCAGAGTGAGAAACGAGGACCGAAGAAGGTCTCAGAAAACAATGAGCAAGCAAGCTTCATAAACAACAAAGGGTCGAGCGGCGTAGATGAATTATAGGTCGCGAGACCACGTCGCTTTGCTTCGGCCGTGGTGGTGGTGGCTACGTGGGGCGACTGGGGAGCTGCATCAGATAGGTCATGTACTAACCAATCTAGGCTTAGACTGCTTTTCTTTTTTCCTAAGGCAATAAGGCCACCATTAGTGGACGCGCTCGCTCACTGGAGACTGGAGTCATCACAAAAGGTTGATACAACAACCACTACAGTCTTGACTTCATCTTCATCACAACCACGTGGCATTCGCCGCATTTTGTTCGCAGTAGACTCCATGTTGCACTAACCACTCCAGCAATTGCTCCCGTTGCTCATCGACCGCGATTCTTGCGTGCGCCACATATCAAAGATGGCTCAGTCAGCAAACACAACGCCACAAAGCTTCGAGGATATAGAAACTCTCGTGAAGCAGCTGTACCAGCCTGGTTCGGCAAAACAGGTGTCAAGGATACAAGCCAAGCTCCATCAATGGCAACGTTCAGATGCCGGCTGGGATGTAGCAGAGAGACTTCTCTCCAATGATGACGCTAACGTTAGATTCTTCGGTGCCCTCACGTTGACTATAAAGCTTAATGTCGATTGGTATCCACCATGAATCAAGTCAACACCACGAGCTTACTGTTTCTAGGAGAAAGATTGGCAGCGATCAAGAGCCATCAGGTGAGACCTTGTTGTCTGGTCTCGTCACCTGCCTGGTAAGATTTTCCAGCTCGCCCCTATCACATAGTGGCATAAATTTCGCCATCACTCTTCAGAGAGCTGCCTAGACATGTGGTCGGGGCTTTCACTAATGGTACAGATGCTAAAATGTTCAGATACAATTCGTTAATCCCATCAATCGTCATGAACCGCCATTCGTTATCAAGAAGCTTTGCTCGACCCTGGTAACCTTCTTCTGCAAACCGATACTTAATTGGTCCCTATGCATTCGACAACTTGCCTGTTCCCTTTACGAAGGCCGTTATGTGGAGGAATCGATGGTGTCTGGACTCGGCAATTTCATGGAGATCATTTCACACCTGACTGCACTCCAATTGCAATGCGTACTATGGTTTGCGACGGACTTGGCAGATGAGATAGGGAAGCTCGATGGCATCGAAAGGTATGCATTGCAAGCTCCGCATCGCTGCCATCTCCTCTGACTGACCTCTACCAGCCGCAAAATACATAATCATATGAGAGACAACGCAGAAGACGTGAGCTGGCTTATACAGTGTGGCCTGCGATTTGGTACCCCCATGGAGTCAACCGCAGATATGAGTACTACTGGTCAGCTGTCCGACGCAGCATATAGAGTCGTGCAAACGAGTTTGTCAAGCTTCGTGGTAAGTTAATACCATCTTGCTGAAATATTTAATGCATGTGTGCGAAATTGATCGATGCTGATCATGTCGAGTAGTCCTGGTCGTATTACTGCCAGCGCGAATGGATGTTTGATCCAGAACTTGTCCAAACGATAGTTGACGTGATTCCTTTGGCTTTGACTGCCATATATGTAGGAGTCGATGACGCCGAAAACATCTTCGTCGACTGGCTTGATAGCTCAGGGCCCATACTCCGATCCCGGTCCGCTCAGAACGTCAAAGAACATTTCTACGTGCTATTCACGAGCTCTTGGTGTGAAAAAAACGTTGCAAGCATGCGTGAAGGCGATCCCTCTTCGGTGGTCTTCAGCCGTTTGCTGATTGCTTTCGCGGAGATCGAGATAGACCGGTTGACTCAAGAGACCGACACGAGACTATCACGGTCTCTTCTCGGTATGATTCATGTAGTCCAGTCTCGCTGAAGCTATACTGACGATAAGCAGATTTACTCCACATGCTGCTGCAATGCCCTGGCACGCCTGGAGATGATGACGAATACGCACCACTAGGCCTCGAGTTCTGGGGTCAGTACATTGAGTCTGTCAACGAGCAGATGTACCAATCAGACAGTGGAGCTCCTCCATGGCTACAGTCAGCTATGCGAGAAGCTCGACAAGCTCTCCACGAACTCTTCGTCAAACTCAACTTCCCGCCAAGCCGGATTACCTCGACCTGGAGCAGCGATACTAGACAGTCCTTCAGTAGCTTTCGAACGGACTTCCAGGACATATTGCAATCAGCCTACACATTCCTCGGTTCAGAGTTGACAGATAGCCTCACGCAGACTGCTAATCATCAACTTGCGACCAAGGACTGGATGAGTGTCGAAGCTTCGTTGTTCTGTCTTAACGCTCTGGCAGACTCAATTAGCGAGACTCTTGTAACAGGGAGTCCGGAAGATGAGAACCTGCTGTCATTGTTCAAATCATCTCTATTCTCAGAGCTGTCAGCAGATGCCTCGATCCCAGGTCGAGTACGGCGAACTGCGGTGGAGTTGCTTGGGCAATACTCGCCCATATTCGAACGGAGGGTTGAGCTCCTTCCCAGTGCACTAAACTTCCTCTTCTCGTCTTTGACCGTTGCAAATCTAGCTATAGAGACCGCAAGATCCATTAGCAAGCTTTGCTCGTCTTGTCGCAGCCATCTTACTGCAGAACTGCCGGCCTTCGTACAACACTACGCGTCATTTTGCTCCTCTTCAACTGCAGACGTATTGACCCGAGAGAAAGTCATGGAAGGAATCGCATCTGTGGTTCAAGCGTTATCCAATGTCCAGGATCAAGTGGACTGGGTATCTCGTCTCTTGAATTTCATCGAAGATGACATAAGGGGTATGCTCGAACATGTGGCTGCAAATCGAATTGAAGAAGGTCAAGTCAAAGCTTACACCGCCATGGCATGCCTCGCAAGTCTGGGCAAGGGTATGCAAGCACCGGACGACGCCCACATAGGTGCAGTCATCGACCAGCATTTAAATCTCGTGTGGCATCCAGTCCATGAGAGAATATTATCTTGCATCAACACCACAACCCAGGTACTTGAGAATGACCCAGAGGTGATCGAACAAGCTTGCCAAGTCCTGCGTGCTGGATACAAGGAGAAACTCCCAGGGCCTTTCGTACTCCCCGCAGATGCCACCACAAAATTCATCGAAAGAACGACCTTACAAACGCCGAGACTTCCGATTATCATGTCAACCGCATCAATATTCGTCAAATCCCACGTTGACCATGCGAATCCACAATTCAAGGACGCTGCACTCAGGATGTTGACGCACATCGTCAAATTGATGTGGCAACTAGACCAACCATCTGAAGACCCAGAGGTAGCACAGACCTGCATTGAAGTGCTTTCCAATTATATCTCTGGCGATTTTGCCAGCGTTCTTGTCGAATATGGAGTGGCACTGCGGATGGGTGTGGAATTTACGTTGCGTGCCTTACAAGGCTCGGACGTGCTTCCGAAGCGTGCGGCAGCTTTATTCTGGGTGAGTCAGGCTGAAGATATGACCATGCACTACTTATACTTAAACAGACCACTATCATAACTGCATCCGCTGAAGGGAGGCCTCGAATGCAGAGCATCGCCAAAGAAGCAACCACCCATTTCGGGCCTCGGCTTTGCGACGTCCTCGTGGAACAAATCTGCGGCGGTGCCCCAAAAAGCGCTCTAGAGTATCTGAGTGTCCCTTTCACGAAACTTATCCAAGTGGAGCCAGACTCCAGGCTCTGGATCGAGCGAAGCCTGGAAAAGGTAGTCTCAGATCCCTCTGGAGATATGCGAAATGCAAAAATGAAGTTTATGCGGTCGATCATGGGGTTAGTAACACTTCTACTGGGCATGAATGAGTGTGTATAGAGGCTAATATAGGAATGATAGTGCTCGCGGAGCCACAGCTCGCAAAATCATCTCAGAAATCTGGACTGCCTGCCGCCAACACGCGATATCAAACACGAGCACCGGTTCGCTCACCAATCCCCAGCTGATCGAATAGTGACATTGAATGGTTGTCTGAAACATCCGGTGGTGCTGTCTCTGTAGGTAAAAGCGGATGAAGGGAATGGATGGACTTGGAATGAGAGCATTTCAGGCCGGCACGCGCGTACTGCGTGCGCATTGCATGGAGGCAAAACTGACCTTACCGTACATAGCAGTCGAGAAAGTCTAGAAAATGCACATTATAGCACAACGGGCCCTCTGTCATTCAAAGTCCTATGCAGCCCTTGTGTGTTCATCGACGACGCCTTGTTGAGACCTCGCATACTGCGAACTTCGCAGCCTCTGCCCTAAACTGTTGGGCGTTTTCATCCCCTTCCACACCAACCCATATCCACGACATCTTCATCTCCAGCACACTCAACAGGCGTAAATATTACCTCCAGCGCACTATTCAAGGTCGTCACATCAGTTGATTCACCACGTCCGCTCCCTTTTCTATCCGTCCACGAATCGCACACTCACCCATCTAAACTACTGAACCCTTTCTAACCCATGTCACTGCTTATATCCCATGTGTAATCCTTTCTTTGCTCTATGCTTCGTATACATGTAGATACATACATCACAAAACCACCTCTCGATACATAATCCTTGCGTAGACAATCCCTTCAAAATCTGCACGGCACAGCAAATTCAAACACAGTCAAACACAGCACACCACTTACTCCAAACCATACCAACCATCTCAGCACCTCGCACTCTATGATTCGCCGCACAGTCGGTGCTGGTTATCCTAGCTTGTCCTGGCCAGATGCGAGTCTAGGAAGTAGTATCGTATATGTAGGGTAAGGAGATGTTCGTACATATACGTACATATACGTACATACATACAGCTGTTGGGCGGTGATGCGGGGTACTGGTAGCAAGGAGCAGTTGTGGTGTGTGTATAATGCTCTTTGTGGACGATAAGGAGTGAGGAGTGAGGAGTGAGGAGTGAGCAGTGGTTAGGTAGGCAGGTCGAAAGGATGGGGGGTTGAGGGGTATGATAGGTATGTATATAATTTAAATGGTGGTAGATGTAATGGGGACGCTGGGTTGCGTAGAGTAGGGGCTAGGTAGTCATGATATGGATAGGGTGTGCGTGTGGATGTGGTGTTGGATTGTATGTACGGCAATGGGTGGGCAATGTATAGAGTGGTGATGGGCTTGGTTTGGTTGTGCTAATGATAGTTGTGAGGAAGCTATATGAGCAAGGCATATAATGATAGCGTACGAGATGGTCCATGGGCGTTTCGGTAGTAGAAGAAATGGGAGGTACTAAGGGTAAGTGGGCGATACACATAGAGGTGCGATGATCACCGTAGAAATACGAAGATAGGAGATTTAACCGTAGACGGAGAGTTGATGCGTAGGGCTTGGACAGGACAAGGGTCCGAAAGAGTGATACGCCTTTTCGATGCCTGGTCGATTTAGCAAATACAAATCTTTCCCATGGACTAGATATAGGAGCCGAACAGGCGTTGTGCTCAGTCAATCGACGAGGATGGTAGCTAAAGACATGGAAGCGTCGGTGCATCTCGACACGCTGCGGATGTTCCTGTGATTATTGATTGCCTGTCCCGTGTAGGGCTAGTCATCATCGTGCTCAATCAGAGGACCTGTGGCGTGTCGATGGTCGTGTGATGGTCGTGTGATGGTTCAGACGATCTATAGACGGCGATCCTATTCCGACTTTGTCTGTACAGCTTGGCAACATGGGAGCATTGTCAGCACGGATGGGGTTTGACAGTAATCTTATCATCGATCGCGCGCTGCCATCATAGGGGCTCGGTAGCGCATATATAAAAGACCTATATGTGCTGAGCAACGCTTATGGAGAAGCCGATCACGTTGATAAATGAGAGATTTCCGCATCGATGGTTAGGTACCTACGGGAAGTGAGATTACTAATATTGCCCTCAAAGGCGGATTCCAATGGCCAATAAAGGCCCAAGATACTGGGTCGTCACGGTTAACCTTCCAATACTTGAACATATCCGCGATGCATATGGCTAGAAGTGGCTGATAAGGGCTCGCGCGACATCTACATTCTTAGGCGTGCCATACTTGAGCGAAGGTATTATTCATAGCTTTCCGCTGGGGAGAACCTCTTAAATAGATGATGGCACAGTGAGGATGTCCCTCTGCAGTCTTACTGGTCACTATTGAAGGCTGTTTGCATATCTTGGCCGTATCTGGTCGTTCTTCAATAGATTCTATTTATGCAGTGGTCTTGCCAAATCTGCATGGCTGCACCTAGGCCTACTGCCTATATGTCCTCTTGCCATCACTGTCCATATGCCTTCCCATTGTCCACTTCCCCAGCTCGACCAGCTTTCTATTCTTATCCCAGTTGTTCCACCCGTTGTGGCGCTGTAGGATCTCGAGAGGCTATTGGATCGGACGCCGTTCGACAACAGCAGCAGGGAGTCGTGTTCAGAATTCCATCGGATCTTCCACCACCAAAGCCTCCAAAGGCTTCCACGCAAGCTGGTTGGCTTTGTGGTTCTCACCTTCCGGAACGCACCAGAATTGGATCTGGATTCCTTCTTTGGCGCTGAGGCGGACGAGGTCCTCGATGCCAGACCACATCATCGAGTGCTTGATGGTCTCTCCGCGCAGTGCTGTCAAGCTGCAATTAACGGCGTCCCACGCCCACGATGGCCGGAGCGCACAGAACCCGTTGACGAAGAAGCTTGAGTCTGTCACGATGAGCGCTCTCATCTGTACTGCGTTGAGTCGAGCCCGCTTTGTGTTGTCCTTGCCATGGATAGATACATGCCGCCTACGTTCACTGTGAACTTGGTCTAGGATTTTTGAAAGCGCCAGGCGGATGACTTGCAAGTCTGCGAAGTGCTGTTCTTGTGGGCTTGACTCATCTAGGAGCATGGAGATGTTGTGTGGAGAGTCGTCATGGAAGAGGATTCCGAGTCCTGCGCGAGATCTGCTGGTCTCAGCTTGGTACACCGTCGCGCTTGTCTGGACCAGAAGGGTTCGGCGACTGCCTTCGAATCTTTCCCAGAAGTTATGGTGCGATGGGTGCTGCTGGGTGGCTTCAAGTGTTCCCTTGCCTACCATCCAGATGAGCTTACAGCTATCACATTTGTATCTGCTGAATGTCGCAAGAGGGCGTGGCTTGCTGGCGGTCATTGTTGACTTATTAGCCAGTTGTACGTCTGTGTCTGGATCGAATCGGGCCTCTTCACCCCAGAGAACCTTCACCTGCTCTGGGCTGAGAGTATCAGAGGGCGACTGGTTTATCTCGTCCGGGTCTTCCAAGTAAGGAAGCGTCGCGTTGACCTCTTCTTCGTCAATCTCCTCGGGAATATCGAAAGCCGAAAACGTCATGTTGTCGAAGCCGCAGTCGTCACAGTCTTCAAGTCGATGCATATAGCATACAAGGACTCCATCGTCGCGGAGAATTGAGAACTGATCGTATTCGATTAAAGGGGCCATCGTTTTGGAGACGTGGTGATGAATGAGTAGTATGAAGGTAATTTAGGTGAGAAGTGTAGCCCATCTATGCGCGAACGACAAAGATGTGCATGGTGTGGACTCAAGCATGGCAGTCTGTGTGGCACAACCATCCGTACCGGTGTGTGCAAGAACGTGAACAGGCGGTGCGTTGTTCAAACATGATAAACAGTAACAATGTGTTTCATGGATGATGGATCACTTACGAGGTACGGCAGTATTTTCTCCCTGGGACCGCCCCTACTAGTACGCCGTTTCTGGGCAATCTGCATAATAACATGCAAACTACGCCATTTTCACACATGATTCCGGGGCAAGTATACCGTTTTGGTATGTGTGTTTCAAGATTCTAGGCACGTCTAGCGGTATTACACGCAGTGTTTGCTATGTTGCTCTCACGGAAGCGTTTGTGTCTACTATCATATTGACTTTTTCTGAGCTTGGACCTTCTAGATGACGCTGGGACATATAGACTGCAACATCATCTCCAGGATACAGCACTATAGAGATGATTGGAGGATGCTATTCTACTGTCAAGTGCAGTCTGCGCCCAATTGCTGAAAATTGAGGAGGATACACCGGCAAAAGCAGCTTCCGACAAGGCCCATCGGAAGCTGACTTATCATGAAAACAAGTTTGTAGTATGGAAACAATCCCTCAAGGGTCTAACTCTTCTTCATGTTCCAGGGGTCAATCAGAAAAGAACTTTCTTCATTTCCAGCACTCATCCACATTGCGCCGGACACGGACAAGAGTGTTATGACTTGCAATGCGCGAAGCCCATTGCGTCGAGAGGCCCGGGGTACAATGCTCTCCGCATCGTGATTCACAATATGAACTCAATTCTCAATCAAAGGTATCTCTGAGGAGGACAGGACGTCCTTTGTGGCCATCCTGGGCACCTCCCTCCTCTGAGATCTTGCTCCAATGAGCAGGTGCATGCATGCTGACCCTCTCCGTCATTCTTTCAATTGAGCCTCAACCAACTAACCACAGCCTCCAAAGGTGCAACACTCGGAATAACAGCAGTCGAACCTTCTCCTACTTCTTCGCAGCCCCCAGCGAGCCTTGACGCAATCCGTAATATCATCAGGAATCGTCCTTGATACGTCCCGAATGGGATATCAATACTACCACTGGAATACACGACCAATAAAGAAGTAAACACTCTGGGTTATCTCATAACAGTTGTCCTGGAGTCGCATGCGTCCAACTGGACGACCTGAACATAAGAGGCAAGCCTGCCAAATCCATGATGATACCAACAACAACAGAGTGCTCAGGGACTGCTGGCCTTTGATGGATGAACTACAGAATACTCCGCAGGCGTTTCAAGATACTACTCTAAATGATAGTTAGGCTGTCAATGAAGCCGTTCGAGCCGACCTGATTGTCATACCCGTGAGCAGTGCGGATGTCTGTTATCCGATGTCCTCGCACATCAAGACTATAGAAGACTGGTCCTCCAGCGCCACTACGCAGTAAATATAGGCTCTACTGGCTTGTGCAGCTCGAGGTACAAGCCCTGGTGAGAATATTCATCGCATGAGATGTAGGTCAGTTAGCTACGATGTGTGCTCAATACACATGAATGCTGTAAGCTTGTAACCACAAACAACAGGGCGAACATGGTTCAACATGGCTATATACCTATCCACCTGGTACTGACATAGCTAGCAGACAATCCCACTCAGCCATGAAAAGCAGATCCTGAAGGTTCACTCGAAATCCGACCTCGCAACATACGCTGGTCCATTGATACAGCCATCTTCGCTCCGATGATTTAATTTGAAAGAGACTGGAAATGTGTAAAAGAGACGTTTGCTATACAAATACATTATTGCATCTTGCAACTCCATATATCCCTCAACAAATGACGATGAAAATGATGGAAAGCCCTCTTGGCCACCCTTGAGCATTCCAAGGTATTCCAAGATTCAAGTTATGACCTCATGTACCCCTCTTAATCAGCATCGGATTCTCAAATGCCATCTTGTCCCTGCAGATGACAAGTCCTGATTTCCATTCATCGATGATGCCAAATCGGTCTTGACAGTACAAACACCAGAACTACATATAGTGCACCTGCCTGCGCCTTATCCCAAAGACCCTCTTGCGAAACGACAAGCCTCTCCTACTCTCGTCGCACAAAGCGCCCTTCGTAACGTTCTATAACCATATTGAAAGATGAGAGATGAAAGATATCATCAAACTTCCAAGACTCTTGTCAATGATCGGCCTACCAAAGTGCTCTGGAGCAAGCATTCGAGCAATGCATGCCTAAGCACTTCCTGAAAGATTTTTAATGTGCTTTCTGTCTATGCATATGACTGGTTAGATACAAGCCTTTAGGACGCAGCTCTACCAGGAGTATATCTCCTCTAGACAAGCATATACCTTCTCAATGAATTTCTCCCAACAGCCGGAGTTGGGCAGATGTTCTTTGTTGAAAGGGCTGCCGCTGTGCCCGACCCAGCTCTCCAGGACAAACATGCGAGGGGGAGTCAAGGTTGATATACAAGATCTGGGTACCACACTGGTAGCAAAACTCCGTGTTGCACACACATGACATCTGAACACATCCTTCTCTGCGTTCTACCCAGACATGACAGCCAGGGCAGCGTTGATAACCCTCGTCCCGGGCCAATCGAGCAAGACCTGCTTCCTCTTCCGCAGAGATGACACGGCATTTGTGGCGTTCGCTCGGATCCATCATAGTTCTACAGTTTCGGCAGGTGTGTGCACCGCAACTGTCACAGCGACAGCTTAGTTCTGCCGGCTGAACAGAAGACCGCTGACAGGCATGCAGTGCCGCCTTCATAACTCCCAAAAGCAAAGCTGGCAATGAACGATACACCTTTGGATGCACAACGTAATTACGCGTGTGAGCAATCCTGTTCGCACAGTATATCCGTTTGCTAATATCTCGATCAGCAATCATCCACAAGCGAACCAACAAGCTCCTTACCCGCGTTCGACACGATTCTGCGCCTCCATCGTTTCATAATCGCGCAGAAATTGCGCCACAGGTGCCCTGTAGAAAGCCAAGTCATGGAATCTCTGCTTTGTGAAAAGATGGCGGAACGTATGCAATTTCAGAGGAAAATGAGGCTTGCGACAGCAAGTCGGAGGATACATGTCTTCGCGCTTCAAGGCCATGACAAAGACTCTGATAATGTCGTCTCTGCACATGAAGTGGCTAGGGCATGTGGACCATAAACGAGTTTCGTCTCTGCTGTCGTGGCAGATGACGCATCTATCAACTAGTGGCTCGAGTCGAGTTGGAAGGAATTCGGAATATCTAAGGAACGACATCGTGGCTTGCACGCGCACGTGGCGGTTTATCGTGTCTCTGTGATGTGTACCGAGGATTAGAAGATAGAGAATGGTTCAAGTAAGTGCTCAAGAGACTGATCCAATGGATGGTAGATTATCTGAACGAACAGAAGGGTAACCAGGCATCAGTGTTGGGATCAAATTCTCTGGCTATATGGAAACAGCCTATGCGGACTATTCCGGCATCGAGTGGCCTTTTCATGAACATCAGCCAATGGTGATGCTTGCAAGCAGGTAGTCAGATATCAAAACATGGCAAAGTACCACCTATGGTACCATGGAACGTCGAACACTGTCCTGTTCAACAGTAGTTGTCTGTCCTTGATAGACGCTAGTCAACTCGAAGACACTGGCAGCGTGCTGATGGGCCGACTGCCACGACTAATCTATCTCGTACAGTATACACATTGAGTAGTTGATCCAGAGGAATACTTCTATTGCTATGCCGCTTTGGGCTGAATTGAACCCCAATGGATGAAATATCAAAATCTGACTCCTGCATGACAAGTCTTTGCTAATCGACTCTGGATAACAGCATTATGAATGAACCATTGGCTGCGTCTCCTAGGTAGCCTAAGAATTCCCGTATGCGACACAGCATAAAGATAATGTTCAAATATGTTTGTTCCTTGGGGGAAAAATTTGAAAAAAAAAACCCCAACCAGATCCGACCCGCACCGTACCGGTCTTGGTGTACCACAGTCTGCAGCTCGCAATATTTCATACAATCGACATTTTCCAAGAACAGAAGCATATCAAAGACCTCACCAAACTCACTTCTATACAAATTCTATCTCAAGAGACGCTGCACATCAATACTTCTTCTCTACTTGTCCCGTCTCATCCTCTACGAACCACAACACACAAGCGATCACTTCCTTCAGGATACCACTACACCCTCCACGAATACATACCTTTCACTCTCAACCTACATCACCATCTCCATTCTATATGTCAACTCCATACGCCAACAGAATGCTCGCCTTCTTGGCCGACAACCCAATCGGCATATGCCTTGCTCTCCTTTTCCTCATCAGTAAGTCCCAAACCATTCTTCAATCTGCATTGCTACAAGACTGACAACCACACAGCCCCGTTCTTCTGGTGTTTATTTCTGCTAGGAGCCGTGCGGATCGCGATATTGGCCGTAGGGTTATTATTCTAAACGGGAACGGAAAAGTCTGATTAGGCGGATCTTGTTGGACGGAGCGGCACGAACCGCTGTGCATATCATTCATTCATGTAAACATCTGTGCGGCATCAGTGGCGTTTGATTGGGGCATTTTCATAGGGCGTCTAGTTATGGGAAGCGAGCGGAATGGAAAACGGAATGGAATGTGGGCATCGAAACGGATCTCGCGGATCGAGATAGTCGTCATTTGTATAGCGATTGAATATTTTACCCCCCTGTTCTACACCCATCACTCGGCCCCTGCGGTACCTGTGCTGTGAACACACATATAAAACCCGCCTGGCACATCACTCTGAGCATACCCAGCAGACAAATACTCTACTTTCCTCTCTTCCACAGCTACAAACCCACATACCCATCCCCACTTCTCCCCTTTCTCCTTTTCTCTACACCACCAATTCTACTTACCCATCCACGCTCAAAGCAACCTTCCAGACCACACCACCACAAAACCTCGCATATCCATCGTACGAAACCATGGATTCACCCTCCTCCACCCTCATGACCCTCACCACCCTCACCAACACAACCACCACCACCCCTACCCACCCAGCAACCCTCCCCTCCGCCGCCCGCACAATAACAAGCATCCTCACCCTCACCCTCACACCCACCTCCACCCCTTCCTGCACTCCCCAGGATCCCTGCTCCCCACCCCAACACATCCCCCTCCGCATCCGCATCACCTGTAAGTTCCCCTCCCTTCATAACACCCCTTTCAGCATACCCAGCACAACAAACCACCATTCCCCCGCCCTCTCCACACCAATATCTGCTTTCAAAGAACCATATAAACTAACCGCCCTCCTCGCCATGTACACAGTAATCAGCATGGGCATCATAACGGCGTTTGTAGCGGTGGGCTTTGTATGGCTTTATGGCAAGGCAGTGTACGTGAGGGTAGCGCGGGTATTTGCGAGAGAGGAGGAGGAGCAGAGGGGATGGAGACTGAGACGGGAGAGGGAGGCTGGGGCGGTGGTGTTGTATGGGATTGCTGTGCCCGTTTCGCAGGATGGGAGGGAGGTGGAGCGGTGATTTGTAGCGGTCGAGTAGTGTGATTTTTTGTATCGGGTGTGTATGTTATGGGGTTTGATGGGTTGGGAATGGGTCTTTTTCCATGTCATTCTCCCTGGAGAAAGGATAAGGGTGAAAAAAAATTAATTTATTTATTCTTCGATTTACTGTGAAAGTGAGATGTATGTTGAGGTAGTTTGTTTGGGCACGGCGGGCCAATCGGGGCCGCGGATGGGACTGCCGGAATGGGATGACGTCGCGGGAGGATCTCGTGTTGCCGAGGTGTGGCTCAGTGAAGGTATGGGGATGGAAGGTGTGGAAGGAAGTCACAGACAATAGTCGGGAATAGATCAAATCTTGCTTGTTTTCGAAAAAAAAAAAAAAAAAAAAACGTGGTGGATGCAGTGTATAGCAATCCCCTCTCTGTGCAGGCTACGAACAGTATTCATTTCTCGGTGGAACATCATGGCGTCGGGAAGATATATCATCAACACACAAGCATCGAAAGCCAACATGAACTGAAAGACACATTCAAAGGAGTACTAAGCGCTCAATATGCTACACAAGTTCACAAGTCATCATCATGATTCTAACAAGTCTACGATCACCTACGTACATAGAGATAAGACAACAATACCTAGCAATACTGTATATATCCAACAACCACCATAACTCAAACCGACATGCATGCAGCAGGCCTTGCACCATATTACCGACCCGTCAAGCCTAGATGAGCCTCATTCGCCGCGCAGTCGCCAAGGACGAGACCACAAAGAACAAGATGACGCCAAGGATACCAAAGAACCAGCCTAGACTATCCGAGTTCATGCCGGGCACTGGGACGTTCATACCAAACAGACCACAGATCAAATTGAGCGGAACGAGGACCGTCGCGATCAATGTGACTTTGCCCAGCGTCTTGTTGATTTCGTTGCCCTGTGCGGCCGACTCGACATTGATCTGGGCGAGATAGTTGCCATGGCTTCGCGACAGCATTTTCTCGAAATGTCCCAAGTTCGACATCATTGTTACAACGTGGTCCTGGATGTCCGACAAGTAGAGTCCAACATCGCCTCGCGGGGTGACCTCAAACTTTTCGTTACAGCGCTTAGCAAAGCCCTTGACAACGTCGGCCTTGCCACCCAACAATCGAAGCAGAGTCATGACCTTCTTGCGAGCATTTCCAATGCTCCTCAAGATATCGCGAGAGTCCTCCGCCCGGGCGATGAATACAGAGTCTTCAATGGCGTCCGTTTCGTCTTCGACATCCTTGATGACTGGGGCGAAATGATCGACAATGTCATCGCTAACGGCTTATAAGTACATGCTCGGTGTGGACAGTCATAAGAACACTTACATGAGCGCGTAGCAGATCCAGTCGGAGCTGAGTGAAACATAGTCGCGAAGACGACTGATGCGCTTGCGTACATTGGCAGCGTGTGGATTAGCCGTGAAACTGAATGTCAATAGGCCTTCTCGGAAAACAACTCCATACACGTTGACAGGTTCAAGGTAGTCCTCGCTCGTCTTATCGTTTTGGTCGAAGGAGCGGAAACAGAGAAAGTAGTATCTGTTGAACAGCTCGACCTTCTCGCGAGCTTCCTGTGTAGTGATGTCTTCACGAGTCAGGGGATGGACTCCGAAGGCTTTGCATATAGCAAACACTTCCTCTTCGGTCGGGTTGCTCATATCAAGCCACCATACTCCACCGTCTGGCGATAGCTCAAAGAGATCACGGAAAGTCTCCCCCGGCATGAGAAGATCTCCAAGTTCGGCTGCGTGAATGGTATCGTCCAACTCAGAGGAAAAGAAAGTCCACCGATTAGGCGTTTCGGCTATGGACTGTTTAGCAGCAGTAGATGGTGCTCGCGATCCTTTGATGGAACCTGTCTCTTTGTCTACGTAATCTGGAACATCAATGGCCATATCAGGTGTGACAATCGTTGGCACTTGCCGAATAGCACGAAGGTCATTGAAAGTACGCTTGGACGTGCGAGAAGCGTTACTGGCATGGCGGGTCAATTGCCTGATGGGTGTTTTTAGATGACTTTCGGCGACGAACTCCTCTAATTCTTCGTAGTCGATCTGGTACGTTTTACCAGCATCTTCACGAACAGGAAAGCAGACGTCGACTTCGGCTCCGCTGTGCAGAGACGAAACATCGGTTCCACAACGCAGAGGTCGTTCATCGCAACTGAAGGTCGGGCGTCTCTCATGAGTACCACCAGAGACTGTACGATGGAGAGGCAGGTCGATATTGGAGCGTCCACTCGTTGCCGTCCCAGCTCGTGGCCGCTGTCGCTCAGTTGCAAAAGCATCAACAGAATTGGGCGGCGACTCAGAACGAGACGCGTGAGAGCTCCCTCTTGATCGAGGCGGCATATCAGGGTCGCGGGGACGACGGAAGGTGTTCCTTCGGGCTGTTGGGCTCGCAGCTGATCCACGTCGAGCATATGCAGACAGCGGGGTATCGTCGTCAACAACGGCACTCTCTTCAAAGTCCCGGGAGATCAGTCCATGCTGTCGCAAGTTTTCGTTTACAGCTAGGAGATCAGGGTTGTGGGATTCATTATTTGCACTCGCAATCGTCGCAACGGTTCCTCGGCGCGTTCCGGGATGGCGCGGGCTGGACTCAACGGCGAGGGGCAACGATTGTGGTTGGTTGCGATGGTCGTCTAGTTCGTTAACAGGCGTACTGAAACGCGTCTGTGACCTTTCGGTTCGTGGGGAATCGGACATAATGATGGCCTATGACAAAAATGCCGCTTTTCGGTCCCCTTCCTCGTTCTTTCGACTCTCTTTTCAGTAATTCTGCACGCGACCGATCCACAGCCCAGCGACCAAGGCGAGTCGCCTGTGAGCGCTCACCGCCTAAGCGCACTCAATTTGAAAGATGGCTTCGCGTAGGGAGGTCCCCTACACTAGGCCTGATGGTTTCTTTGTCTTTGAGGATGCTTGCGTCCCTCCTCCGCGGACCAAAGTGACTTGGGTATTATATTCAGTATTCGATGGTGTATAATAGAGCAGCGAGTTCGGTCAAGTTATGGAGGCTTCTTGTCGCCTCCGTAGACCCAAATCTTTGGGCCGAGGAGAGGGCGGATGAAGGAAAACCGAAGGATGTTGATGCCCGCCAACTTGAAGGTGTTATTCGTCAAAACGCCGAAGCGTTAGGGTTCGTGGATACACGTAGAGAAAGCGCGACTGGCAATCTCCAAGGATACTTCGCAGACGGGAGCTGCTAAGTGTGAAGGTTTGTGGTGTTGGCGAATATAGAGCGTCGTGCCACTTGGGCGAGGTTGTGCAGCAGGGAGAACTCTAGACTTCAGCACGATACTGTCGCCAACAGTCCTAAACAGAAACAATGACAGTGAATGATAAGTAGAGGTCCGTAATGGACGGTAAGGTTTGTAGGGGAATGAAGGAGAATTTTCAGGTGGGTTGATATTTCCTCAAAGACCTGGAAGTTCGGAAACGGGTCAATTTTAGCGCGGAGAGTGGTGGCTGGACCGCCGCACTGCTACTGAAGCCCGAAGGAACCCAACCTACCAGTCAGAGGGCCATGCGTCATTCATTCATAACAACAACAATGACAATAATAAGGAATGTCGAGGACACCGGCACGTAACTCTGAAACACTCCTTGATTCCCTGAACTTAATCTCCTCCATACCATTCTCTCGCGGACGCGATGCTGCTACCCAACACAACATCCTCAGACCAACCCATCTCATCTCAATATCGACCGCCTGTATCAAGCTAGGACAGTAATGACTCTCACCTCTATGAATCCTTGTATTTGTTCGTGTATGCACTGGGTTTGCTCGGGATGCACCTGCGTATGGATTTAACGAATCTTACGTGCCGAACCTCCCACATGCCAACGGACCCACTAGCCATTTGTGTGTCAGTTCGGATACCGATATGAATAAGAGGACGATGAATGGTCATTCGAGCTCAGCTATAGCTAGCCGTGGCCAGACATCTATATGGAACTAACATTTCGTCTACATTGCGGCGCGGTTGATGCTACGCTGTATCTTGCGTAGCCAGATTTGGTTCCGCAGGTAATTAAGGCTGGTCGATGACTTTGCGTCGGCCGGCGAGCCTAGCTGGCAACGAGCGCATCTGCCTCGCTTCGATCTGGCTGCTATACGCGTTCACAGATTGCAGGCACAGATTGCAGGCACAGATTGCAGGCACAGACGCTTAGTGATCAGAGCGAAACACAGATGACGTCGTCGTAAAGGTAATTGGTGCACGGGTCGAAACGTTCACACCGGCCGACTTGAGTCGGCGTGAGAGATACATTGTAGATTCAAGTGCAACATCGTCAATATTGCATTGCTCGAAACGATTTTGTCCTCCAGTCTCTATCGATATCCGGCCACGGTCGCTCATCGTGGCCCATGTGCCATTCGTGACCGCTTTCTGTCTGCCTCGTCAATGGGGACTATTGTACGGCGTACACGCTCATTTCGTGCTCCATCAACCACAAGATAGGTCTGAGTTGCCCCATTGTGACCTCGATTGGCCTGACTAGCACCCATCTAAATGGGCCATGGCCCCGGCGAGACTCTTTGAGATTCATCCGACTGACATTGCCAGTTCGATTGATCATATAGTCTTCCATGAGTTGTGTTTCAACAGAGTGTAAGGTCATGTGGGAATGCCTTCTCGATGGTGTTGCTGGCAATAGAGGTAGCTCGCCAGAGTAGTGTTTGTATTGAGACAAGGAAGAGTTTGGACATCAGCCATTCTTGAACTTGCTCGCTCGTTTCTCCTTCATGGCTTGGTAGTGCCGTTTCTTCCCACTGGCCTTTGCCATCTGAATATCGCTAGCCTTCTTCTTGAAACGTCCACTCTGGGCCTCTGCAGCAAGAACTTCGTCGACAAAAGTCCGCTTTCGGTCTTTGTTCTGAATCCGAGCACTATAGTATTCGGTAGGTCCTTCAATAATTGTTCCAATCTGGGAAAACTCTGGTGCTTTCGATTTTCCAGACTCTTTCTTGTAGTGACGATGTGGGTCAAGGACACCCCTCATCTGAATGAGTTGAAGATCACGCTTCACTTCAGGCGTCAAGTCTGTCTTGGGCAGATTGTACCATTGCGGACCGGCAGAAGCTTTCTTTTCCTGACTTTTGTCAATCCCATTATTTGCCAAAAAAATAACGGGCAAGTGCGAAACAACTGAAATGTGCCTCAGAGTAACTATGAAAAGAACTTTCATGTTGCAGGGCGATTCCATAACGGAGCGCTGATCTGCATCAAGGAATGATTGGGTTTATCTTCCTCATTGGCAACGAAAGGAATGGGCAGTGCTTACCTCGACCTTTCTCTTCTTGAGCGCAACAGGGTCTTCCACTTTCCGAAACCCGTTGGCGAGCTTTCTCTCTTCATCCGAGAGCAGCCGTGCTGAGTCGGCGTGAGCTACACCATTTTTGTTTTGGACGTATGGTTTGTTGACTTCGCCAGCATCCAGCTTCGGAAATCTGAACTGCTTCTCGGAAAGCTGTATGGTGGATGACGTGGTGCTTGCACGCTCGCGAAGGCGCTCCTCTGCTTCTTTCAGCAGGCCTTGTATCTGATCTTCTGAAAGATCATCATCAGAGTCGAGAGCTAGGTTCGGCTGACTGATTTCAGTCATGCTGGGCTGAAAAATTAAAAAGCTCGACCTGAGAATTTTGAGAAATCTTACCCTCGTACTAAATTAACGAAAGCTCGGCCCCCTACCGAAGTTATTCCGTCACGCCAGGCATGAGTTCTGATGCCTTAATTAGTCTGAGAACCACCTCAATCCATGGATAATTAGATCATTGTAATATCTGGGTATCAATATTACCAAAAAGAGACGAAGCACCGACAAGACGATGACCATAACAGAAACAAACACCGATTGTACACGTATGTCCCCGACAGCTTTCAAGGTGCACACTTTTTGAAGTCATTCGACCTTGATGATATGTTCGTGCAGCACAATCTCGACGCAGTGTGATCGCGACGCTGCAAATGCCATCCTTCGACGTCACCCCATGAGCCTATACAGCCAGCTCATCGAGAAAAAGTGAAGCTTGCAATGCTATTTACAGATCCTGACTGCCATGAAGAAAATCTTGCACGCTAGCGGATGCATTGTAGGCAGTTTGAAGGGCAGAACAACGCATCAGTGGCATCCATTTGGGTCAGCCTCGCCAGCAAATCACATTCTCAGCCAATCACACCCACGCATACTCAGACGGCGCAGCAAAGTGCAGATGTTCGCAATGCTACGGCTGGGGTATGCAAAGGCACGACACGATCAAGCCTACCTAGCCTTGTTGATGTCTTGTGTGGCAGGTGAAAGAGAGGGAGGGCATGGAGGAATGATGGAGCGAATGGATGCGTTGTCAATCATGGTCCTCCAGCGGCGGCTGTAGATTGCCAGAAGAAGGTAATTAGGTCCACCAGCAGAGAGGGATGGGGTCGGTTGGAATAAATAGATGGGATGGGACTGCTAGGCTGAATATGAAGGTAGAGTATATATAAAAGCAGTTCATCCAATCCTCCCCAAGACAAACTCCATATAGTATTTACTCAAAAGTGCCGAGCTGCTCTCCATTGTGGTTCGCTGGGCCAGCTATTTCTACCCATAAAGCCTCCCGATTCGCCGCCCTACAACACCAGCCAGGTTTTGAGAGACGCGACAAGCAAGGAAGCTTCTCATTCGACGACGAGCTCGACAGCTACCACACCATCAAGTAAACACAGTATACACAGCTGCACATCTCAGCGCATTTCCATCTGGCCTTGGTCTTACCTTTGGACGCGCATAATCCCACACGGACAGCCATCAGATCCTCCTCCATTCGGCACAGCACCAATTTCCCCGCCCGCTTCCCTGATCTTAACAGTGCGTTCTTAACAAGCTACACCATCATCCAGCGCAGCACTACTCACTCGACATCGCATCTCATACATCCTCGTCTGCACCAGAGCAACTGACTCATCCCTCTGGCGGATCATTTCGATTGCCCTTTACCTTCTCTTGATCTCTCATTCTCCTTGAGTGACGCACACTCTAGCCCTCTTCCGCCCACCCAGGCGAGCTCCGTCGCGACAGTCCGGCGCACAAATTTCGCGACCCATGGACCCCTCGAGCATACCAGGCCAGCAAAAGATGCGCCAACAGGCGCCACGCAGATATGACGGGCAAAATGGCAATCCTGCATACAAGACTGAGCATTCAGGTCACTATGGTACGTCATCCGCTGGTCGCGACGCGCCCAAGCTCCATCCTGCAATAAAGACACAGACTAGCTAGAGACTGTTTATATACTGACTTCATCAACAGGTGCGAGCGCGTCAGTACGTCACCAATGTGGAATCGAATACGTCTCATATAAATCCTCGTCGCTGATTGTTTGGTCCAGATAGCCGCTTCAGGCCACGCGCCAGATCCACAACTATTCACAGGCTCGTGGGCCAATGTATACACTCACCTCCCTTCTGTGCAACTGATATGTGCTTACGGTGCTCTAGGTCAATCAAGGTCTTAACGGACAATACCGCGATATCCTTAATACCTATTGGCAGCATCAGATCACGAAGCTGGAGACGGAGGATCATGACTACAAAATACACCCTTTGCCTCTGGCAAGAATCAAAAAGGTCATGAAGGCCGATCCAGAAGTCAAGATGATATCCGCGGAAGCCCCCATTCTTTTCGCAAAGGGTTGCGACATCTTCATCACAGAGCTTACCATGCGTGCCTGGATTCACGCTGAGGAGAACAAGCGCCGCACTCTACAGCGTTCCGACATTGCGTCTGCGTTGATCAAATCGGATATGTTCGACTTCCTTATCGACATTGTTCCACGCGAGGATGCTAGCCCACACAAGCGGACTGGAGGACAATCAGCGCCTGCGCCAGCTGCACCAGCTGCAGTCCAGCAAGGTGTTCCACCGATGGGTATGCATACGCAGCAGTATCCTATGGGACCACCGGAACATATGAGTCAACACATATCTGAGCAAGAGTACAAGGGACCTCCGGGAATGTTCCCACCAGGTGTACCAGATCCATCAGCCGGCTACCCACAGGCGCAGCAGCAGATGTTTGATCAGAGCATGTACGCACCGTACGGCATGCAACAACCGGTAAGTCACTGCGAAGTCGGCAAAACTATACATTCTAATATTGCTAGCAAATGTACTCTGTCCCCCAGAGGGGACCTGACCATTCAGGTGCACAAGACCCGCAAAACTATCGACAACATGATCCGGAGGCTGATGCAGAGGGAGAGCGCGAGGACTATGGTCCTTGATGCATGCTGTTGACAGTGGCTCTCGCATGACGATGTTTTGCATTTGCTTTTACGTCTGTTGACAATGTGTATTCTTGATTGTCGGGCACTCTGGTTTGTCATACAGTCGGGTCCGCAAGACCCGTCAGGGCAAATCAAGCAGGCATTGTATATCTTCTGTTCTGGCGTTCCAAGGCCATTTCTACGAATTGATGGGCAGGCTTTGACAGCTACCGGAAACTGGTTGTCCTAAAGGAGATACTGAGTGGAGTATGGTGCAAGCGGATCTTGGACATCTCGGAATGTCACATATTCATTCTTTATTTCGATAAAGTGGACCCAGTCGAACCGCGGTCTACATATAGTGTCTGTCTGGCAAGGCGTTGATTGCTCTATCTCATGTATTTCGAGCCCGACTGTTTCCGAGTGTACACTTCACATGCCTTGGCCGAGGGTGTCTTGGGGTGGTTTTTCCCGGCCGAAGACACGGATTTGAGAGATATAAATGGTCTTGAGGACTACTGGCATGACACCTGGATTCTTGAAACATTCGCAACGTCATTATTTGAGGACCGGCCGGTCACTATATTACTCGAATTAACGACCGTGCGCTTGTGTACCTGCAACCCTACTGAGCAGCAGTCCGTGTGCCCCGCATTCATCCCCAATCATCCAAAACACCCCGCCCAGCCCTTGACCGCCGCAACCTACCCACTCTTCCTCAAAACTCACGCTATACTTTCATCTGCCATTGAACTCTGTAAGACTCTATGCTGTCTCATACATCTTGAGTAGATTCTGATTCTCATCCAGGACTCATTACAACTTCGATTTCCGTACAAAACCCCGCCCAATCAACACAATGAAAGCCGGTATGGGCTATTGACAGATCATATGAGCTTCATCACCGCTGACCGGATCTCACATAGTCGTTGCTGGTGCTGCCGGTGGTATTGGACAGGTAAAGCCCTCTAGCAGTGCTTCTAGACGGATTGTAATTGACTAGAGATTCATAGCCGTTGTCGCTGCTCCTCAAGGCCTGCCCCCTCATCACTGAATTGGCTCTATACGATGTCGTCAACACGCCCGGTGTCGCAGGTAAGCCCACAACATCATTTCATAGCTATCTTGTGTTTCTGCGTCGATACGGAATGACACCAGACCAATTCGCTGCTGGCTTCATGACGTCGAATTTCAGATGCTGACAATATTGATAGCCGATCTCTCTCACATCTCCTCTCCAGCGGTACGATCGAACGATAACTTTCCATACATACAATTAATGCTAAGACTGTGTAGAAAATCACTGGGTACCTTCCCAAGGATGATGGTATGAAGCAGGCTTTTAAGGGTGCTGAGCTCGTTGTAATTCCAGCTGGCATTCCAAGTATGTGTCCGCCACCGAACCACACGAGCTCACCATACTCATCACCTACATACAGGAAAGCCTGGTATGACCCGTGACGACCTGTTCAAGATCAACGCTGGCATTGTCCAAGGTCTCGTGCAAGGTATCGCCGAGATCTGCCCCAAGGCTTTCGTCCTCATCATCTCCAACCCTGTCAACTCCACCGTCCCAATCGCTGCCGAGGTCCTCAAGCGCGCAAACGTTTTCGACCCTACCAGACTCTTCGGTGTTACCACCCTTGATGTTGTCCGTGCCGAGACCTTCGTCGGTGAGATCGTTGGCTCAAAGAACCCATCAGAGCTTGTGATCCCTGTTGTGGGCGGTCACTCCGGCGAGACCATCGTCCCTCTCTTCAGCCAAGCTCAACCGTCCGTAGATATTCCTGCTGATAAGCTCGATGCTCTCATCAACCGTAAGATATCCAACTCGATCGTTGAAGCAGTCGCTTAATTGTGCACTCAGGCGTTCAGTTTGGCGGTGACGAGGTCGTAAAGGCCAAAGACGGTGCCGGCTCAGCGACTCTCTCCATGGCATACGCTGGCTTCCGGTAAGTTGTCATTGGAACTGTCTGGACTATATGCTAACGCTTTCATAGCTTCGCCGAGAAGGTAGCAAAGGCCGTCAAGGGAGAGTCTGGCATAATCGAGCCATCATACGTCTACCTGCCCGGCATCGAGGGTGGCGAAGCTATCCAGAAAGCCGTCGGTGTTGACTTCTTCTCCGTTCCTATCGAGCTCGGCGTAAGCCTCGACACCCACTCATGGTAGTTTTCAGCTAACAGTCTTCTAGCCCAACGGTGCCAAGAAGGCAATCGACATTGTCAGCAAGGCTAACGACGCCGAGAAGAAGCTTCTTTCGGTTGCCGTGGAAGGTCTCAAGGGCAACATCGAGAAGGGTGTCGAATTCGTTCGTAACCCACCCCAAAAGTGAGTACGCCTGTGCATTTCGAGCTCCTATCATCACCTTCGAGCTCCTATCATCACCTCTTGTCCCCCAACCGCAGAGAGGATGCGACAAATGGCCGGTGCTAATGCTTGGCAGATAGATTATAACAGCTCCTTCCTATGAAAGACGCTCAGATTATAATCGTAAAATAGATACGTAAAGTGTTCGGTGAGCAGACTTAGCAGCCCAAATGACAGACTGTTGCTCCTCTTCTGACGTCAGTATGTACGCACGATGCTTCATGCTGTGTCGAGTGAAATTGAGCATGAGAGAATTGTGTCGTGATGCTTAGATATGTAACCATTCCGGGTATTGAGCCTCCCAATGCAACGCCGCGCTAGATGCGATCAAATATGCCGTACGTCAATTCTATGTCCGAAAAGCACGATCAAGGCCGTGCCCCAACCGTCTTGATCTGAAAAGTGGCCCCTGGTAAAGCAGTAGTTTCCGCCTGCACCGTCGCGTTAATTCCCATCGACGCCAAAGCCCCTCTCAGCACGCCCGAAGGGAAGTACAAGAACTGTCCAGCCAACCAGGTCAGCCAATTTCCCTCACTCAACTCTGATCTCCCTTCATCCAAAAAAAAAAAGGTTTAACGTACCGGCTGTGCCCGCGCCAGCATGCTATCGCCCTGCCCTCTCTCCGCCGACATGCGTGTCAGCGGCTTGAACGCGTTGTCCGTCAGCACGTATATGCCCCGGTGATTCGTCTTGAGATTGTCAATCTGCTTGCGGAAGACGAGCAGCCAGATGTCCTTGCAGAGAAATTTGATGGTGTCGAGCGCGTCTGTGGAGCGCGGCTTGTCGCGGGAGAATCTGGGTTGGGTCAGTGGGTGTTGCGGTTAAGGGTTCTTGATTTTCATTTATCGTTCATGGCTTTGGTGGGGAAATGGAGAAAGGAGAGTAGATGAGGGGGGAATGAGAGTGCCATACCGCTCCGTGATCCCCAGTCCGACGCGGTACCCCAGCATCTCCAACCTGTAGAACACTGCCTCGCGCGTCTCCTCGTCGTCTACGATGGCAACGCTGCCGGCCGTACCTCCATCTCCACCTCCACCCCCTCCTCCTCCCCCAGTCGTACTCGTCGTGTCCTGCGCTCGGGAGGAGGTGCCAGTAGTAGTGGTGGTAGTGTTTAGAGCGCCAATTGGCCGTGTCCAATCTTCCTCGCGGGCGGAGAGTTCGGCGGCGATGCGGTATGCCATGGGCACGAGCTCGATGAGGAGGAAGTCGAGGCAGGAGATGGAGACGAAGGGGTCTGTGGTGGTGGTGGAGGAGGAGGAGAGCTCGGGCTGTTGGGTTGCCATGCTGGAGAGGTGGATGAGTGACCGGGAGGGGGAGAGTGAGAGGGGAGGTTCGGTCGTCTGGGGCGGGTCGAGGATGGGTTGATTGTGTGTTGTTTGTGATATACAGTGCGTTGCAGAATCGGTTTGTTTCTGGCCTTCACAAGCAAGACCATCCGCTTGCGTCGTGTCGTGGGTTGACATGGTATTCCGCTAGTCCGTATACGATCTAGCGTTGCTTTGGGCCTAACTACATTTATCATCTAGAACACTACTAACATCCCTCTCTATATTATAGCAAGATCCCTATACTATAAGATTCTTTTAATACTTTTCATTATCATAAGATATTTCTATATGTAAGACCTTAGATAATCTTAAGGATTATATAAGGACTCTTCAAGATTTAGTATATCTTAAGTTCTACTAATAACTTAATATATATGAAGTCTCTCTCTATACTATTACCAGAGAGACTAAGATTAGATATAGATCTAGAGTAAGTGAATAACCTAAGTATAAGGGAGTATATACCGCGGACGGTATGTGTTAGCGGGCCACACTTCTAAAACTCAAAAGTTAGAAGTTAGAAGTCTCTACAGCCATTTTCTATAGAAGTCCCTTCTAGACCTAATAGTATTAATTAGGTAAAGTTATTAGCTTAAGATTTCTATAGGATTTAAGTATAGATTTCTTTAATTTCTACTACTATATATTTATAATGTAACCTTTATGTGTCGTACGACACCTATCTCCCTAGAAATCCATGCTAACCAGTTCTTTCCTAAGATTATGTGATACGTTTTACGCTAGGAGGGCTGCTAAGGCTACCTACTACACGCTTACTAGCTAAAGATGGGCGGGGCTATGGTAGACTATTAGGGAAACGGCGCGTAAACTCGTCGTACGAGAGATCCTTTATATCCTTAATCTTATAATTCTTACTATAGCGGGTAGTTACTTCGGTATATATATAGTTAGAGTAGGTATTATTAAAGTAGCTATATAGACTAATATAGCCTACGTACGTCTTAAATTCATTTATACTATTATAGGCACGAATATATCTATCGCATGGTATAGTATTCTTAAACCCTAGGTTTAATATTAGTATATATACGATAACTAATTCTAAAGAAGGTATTACTAACCGCGAGAGTGGATAATAAAGGCCTTTATATATGAAGCCCGCTATAATAAGAGAGCCTTAGCCTTAAGGGCACCGCGGCGTACGATAACTAGAGTAAGGGTGCTATTATATATAGCGCGATTCTCCCATGTTCGAATAGGCCAATTAGTAGCTTATATAATGATTAGGTTCTATACTAAAGTTAGTATTAAAGATCTATAGTTAGAATAGCTAGTACGAATACTAAAGGTAAAGATCTCTAATAGCTTATTAGCTATAATAGGGTTATAGAAGAATACCTACTCGTACGTAGTAGGTGTAGGCGATCTAATAAGGCTAAAGGCAGGAGCTTAGCCTATATAAAGACTAGGGTCAGAATTAGTGGCGCCGGGTGGGGTTTTAAGGATCTTATCCGCCTATTTAGTGAAGATCTAGTGATACTAGATATAAGAGGTGATGCCTAGAGGGCTAGAGAAAGAATTTAAAGCTATAATAGCTTTATACGAGGTGTTAAGAGAGAATTTTAAAGTTTTAGAGGTAAGGTTAAAGGTATTAAAGGTAAGGCTAAAGTGGAGCTTAGGTAGAATTAAATGTGGGAGCCTAGCCCCGCACTAGGCCTAGTCTAGCACTAGTATATATTATATTATATGACTTTAAGCCCCTCGTACGAAAGAAAAACTTTAAAATTTTAGAGTATACTAGAATATCTACTTTGCTATTCTCTTCTATACGAGGAGTAATAGCTCCTAAATCTATATAATTAGTTGGCTTTCTCTACTAAGACTCTTTTCCTTTCCCTTTTGACCTTATTATTATCCCTATAGATTAATTCTAGGTAATATCATCCTCTTTATTACTCTCTCTACCTTCCTTCTTAATGGATGATTATCGTATAGAGGTTTCAGCTTCTACTATGGATATTAGCTATATAGAAAGACTAGAAGAACTAGGTAGTATAGGGGGAGAGCCTTTAGTACTACTCGTATAAGTAAGATCTAATATATGAAGTTTCTCTTTTAGAGAGGGGTAAGAAGGCTTATTCTTGATATCCTTAGGCGTCTCTAACTTAAGCTCTTTCTTGATTTTTATTTTTAGCGTACGAGACTCTCCTTTAGTTTTAACCTTTATATAACTTCTCTTGGATACTGCCTTCCGGATAAGACGCTGGATTTCTAGGTCTTAAATTAGATCCTAGAAGGGATCCTTATCCTAGATTGTTTTAGTCCTTAGCCTCTTTTATATAGATGGTGCTAGGCTCTTAATCTTATTCTCCACTACCTCTAATACCTATCTATATATATAGACCTGGATTAGCTTCTTTATAGTACCCTCTCCCTCGAAAAGCTTACTATATATAAAGAACTCATCCACTATATACTTCTCGTACATGGAATTTAGAAGGTTAGTTAGTTTATTCTACTAGCCCTTAATACTAGTAGAGATATATAGAGAATCTATGGCCTTGAACTTATTTAGCTATAGAGATACTCTAAACTCCCATAGAAGTATATCTTGTACGAAGCTTATAATATCTTAGAAATAGGTATTAACTACCGGGATTATTATAGCTTCTATTAAGTAAATAAGTATATAAAATAAGAGAGGGGAGAGAGAGTTAACCATGTACGACTATAGCCTATTATTCTTAGAACTATTCCTTCCTTTATATATATAGTAACATAGTAGTATATAGAAAGGAATATCTTGCTATCCCTCTTCTTCTTTCCACTATAAGATATAGTCATACGATATATAGATGCTTGTCTTTCCTATTTAATAAGCGGGATGTTTCCTCTTATACGAGTAATTATCTATACGGTATCTACTCTAGCCGGTGGCTATAGTATAAGAAGATATTAAGTTTATGCCTTAGGAATAATAATTACTAGCTGGCTTAGAGGAGGTACACTCGTACGAAGAGTAAGGGATTAAGTATTTAGTATATATAATCTTAGATAAGGTGAGGGAGATCCGATTAGGGATGAAGTAAGATTAATAATCTCTATATTAATAACGAGGGTTTACTAGTAATCTAGATAGGTAGCTACTTCGTATAAAGAGTGGTGCGTCCTAGTTTTAGGGTAGTAGTTATAGAAAGTATTTAATACTGGTATAGCTATTTAAGATAAGAGTGGAAAGGTTTTTATATAAGGAGAATATTAGAAAAGAGAGATAGGGCTATAAGTTATAGAATAACTAAAGTACTCCCGTATGACGCTACTTCCTAGATTATCCTTTATCTACCCTATTATTATTAAGATTAGACGCCTTAACATTCTTAAGAGAGGTTCCCTATATAGTCTATTAGTATACCACTCTTTATTCTCGTACGGAAGAATAATACTTATAAACTAATTAGGATCTAGATATAGATATACTAGGACTTCTAGCCGAGGGGCTATTCTAGTATAGATATAGTCCTAAATCCTACGGCGTAGCTGAACATAGATATCCATAAATGGACTTCTCCGTTCTTTAGCCGTACGAAGCGGTATACCTCTATTAAAGCTAAGATCTTTAAGCTAGTTCGTATACTATAGTAGTATATTAGGTAGTAGATATATATCTATATCCTAAGCTCCTACCTAGCCTCGGATAGTAGTAAGAGCCTCTTAATTAATAGGTACTACTCCACGTTTAATACCTTTAGCTAGTATAAAGTAATTTCGTACGGGTGGTCTAGAGATAGTAGATAGTCGATCTCTCTATTTTTAAATAGGATACTAATTCTATATCTATACGAAGCTTGAAACTTCCGTATAGAGAATTGGGATATAGATTACCTAAATAGTAATCCGATCTATATAACTCTATATATTAAAGATACCTCTCTACTTAAGCTCTAAGAAGAAGTTCTAAATATCTATTAGCTAAGTATAATATACTACCGTACGATACATACCCTCTATCGGAATAAGAGTGCCTTAGAAAGCTATGCCTACTAAGCCTTAATCCTTTAATTAGATATACTTATCCTAAATATCTAGTATTAATTTAGTAGAATCTCTAGGTTATTAACCTGGCGGAGATTCCACTAAATATTTACTATATAAGTTATCTTACTACCTCTATCACTTCGTACGAAGCGTGGCTAGATACCTCTAATTCTTAAAGTTTCTAGAAACTAAAAGAGATAACTAACTGCTATAGTAGATAAGATACTAATATAGGCCTAGATAATATATCTTAAGTATATATCTATATAGGCATAGATCTTAATACCGTATAAGCTAAGCTTATGGTACCTATCTATACTCTAGATATAATTAGGACCTTTTATAATATACTAGCCTCTATAGCGCTGAAAATCATAATAGCGGCGTCGTACGCCCTCTGGATTTAAGATCTTTATAGCCTAAAATAGCCAATCTCTAGATAGATTCTTAGAATAAGTCTTTATATATAGATAGAAGGGTATAGATACCGTGTAATCTAGACTCTAGCTCCTAGGAAATATGTATGGAGTAGGCCTCGACTAAACCTATTAATTACTCCTAACTCTAAGCCTTCCTATACGAGCTGTATTACCTTCTTACTTTTAGCCTATTATATATTAATACCCCGTACCTTTTATACGATACCTATATCTATATAATAGTAATATAGAGAACTCCGTAAGATCTTAAACCCTTCTTCTTAAAGGATCCGAATAATCTTAGTATCTAGAAGAGCTAGTTTAAGGGTAAGAGTACGGATTCTATTCTATAGGCTCTCTCGTACGGAAGAGGGAAGTAAAGAAGAGTCCTTTTAAATCTTCTATATAGAGAAATAGCGCTTAAGCGTACGATAGGATACTATAATACTATGTACACGCTTAATCTAGGCTAGGAGATCATTCTAGGTATAACTAGAGGTATATTTTAAGATAATCTCCATCTAGAGATAGGCTATCTATTACGCCATTATATAAAGAGAGAAAATATATATAGATAGGCACGTATTACGTACGAAGAGAGGGATATTTAGAGAGGGGGGGAGTAGGTTTGATGTATATGAGTATGCTTTCAAGGTGTGTGCCCTCGGCAAAAAAAAAGTGTGGCCCGCTGACACATACCGTCCACGATAAGTATAGAAAGATCTACTCTCGCTGTAGTAATACTAGAACTTAGTGTTCTATACTTAAGTTATCTTTTACAGACTCAACTTCTACTCAATACAACTTCTTCAATCAGCAAAGGGCAGCAACATAGGACCCATGATCAAGGGTCTCACTGGTCTGGAGCGCCACACCTCTCAAACATCATGGCCCGTCTCGTAGCCTCACGTACATCAAACTCCATCGTCATCTGTATGTCAGCTGCTGTAAGGATTCACAAAGACGTGGACCAAATGCCAGAGCTGTTCGAAACAAAGTTGTGCGTTGACGATTGATTACACGAGCGCTGCTGGTCCTGCTGGCCTCACAGGTGAACTGCCGCCAATCCGGTCGACCTTCACTGCCGCGGTCGACGGCCGAAATACCAGGTAATGCAATCGCGATAGAAAGTTCCACCTTGCTTCCATGAATCGCTTCCGCGCTTCTTAGTATCGCCTAGTTTCCATTGTCAGTTCAGATCATTCCATAATTACGAGAGCATAATTCGCCAATGTCCAACCAAACTTACAGTTATCGAGTGCGTTTATGAGCCGCTCATTACAGATGTGCTCGAACCTATCCGTTGATGCATCCGTGGAGGGGCAGCCGTCGAGTTTATCGTTGGCTGTAGCTTCGACAATGATCCCAACACCCTCTACGGCCATGTTAGAGCCAAGGACCATGCCAGCACTATGAGTTGCCGAGCAGAAGTTGGCAATCGCCTGAAGACCCGCTTCACGGGGGAAGTAGTACATCTCGTCGCCATCGTCGTGTTGGACGTTACAGGTCAGAATACCGAGGTCGACGTTGACTGGAGGAAGTGTTGTCGGGCTCAAGCTGCCCTTGTCGGCCGGACACGTATCCCTTGTGATCTCTTCTGCCGGCCAATGCTTGGCGATCTTTTTCGCGGAGTTTGCCTCGATCTGATATAAGACGAGATTCGCGATGAGTTGATGGCCGTTTGGCCGCGGATGGAAGACTCGACCGTAGCTGTCTGGGAGGACGCCGGCGGAGTAGCCGATCGCGAGCTGTTCCTCCGTCGCCTGGATCGTATCAATTCTGGGCGGGGCGCCTTGCGCGACTGGCATGTTTATATGCCAATCAGGGTGCTTTGCCATGTTTTGCCGCACGAAGTCGTTGATGCTGCCTTCGAACGTGCCGTTCATGACGAGGCTCGGCGTGAACGTGCTTGGAGATCTAGCATCCGACGTTGTAAATCCGTCGGTCTCGTCTGCGTTGTCGTCGGTGTTCCACTCGTAGTAGAGCAAGCCGTAGCGGTTCGGATTGGTCTCTTTGTACGCGTCTTCGCAGAAACGGCCGCGACCCTCCGCGAAGTACTTGTTGTAGTCGACAAATGTTACCAGATCTCCTGAAGCGCGACCAACGGCATCGCTCAACACCTTGTTCATGTTTGTGACTAATTTGTTCATCCGTCTTCTCTTGTCCTGGGTAAGGTATTCGCGCTTGCCGATCTCGTACCAGAATGCCTACGTTGCATGAGTCGGCTATACCTGTGTCGTTTGTATGGTCTTCTTACCCAAGTAATGTCATCGCACTGCTTGCTGTCTTGCCCAAAGAACTGTGCATATCCAACGTATATGATCTGGCCGCCATACCTGAGCTTTTTCTTAGCATTATCAATGAGGGTGTCCTGTATTTATACACCTTAGAAATCGTTTGCTAAAACAATAAATGTCGTTAGATGAGTCACTTACCAGTTTCGAATGGAAGTCCGCCGAGTCGATGGTCGCCTGCGCTTTATCGAGCTCACGTTGGCAAAACGAGGTGAGTGGGTCGGCGTTAGAAAGCCATTGGAAGACGCATTCGTTAAGCATGTTCTTAAAGTTCGCATCATTGCCGCCGCCGCTGAGCGTGATGAGGTCCTGCGATGCGTCCGGCAGACCTTTGACTTGACTTGTGATGCCATCTATTGTGGCTCCTGAGCATGGCCGATACGTGAATTTCCGACCTTTGGAGCTGCCAAGGCGAGGGTCGGTGTTGATGAGCACGGGGAACGACTGATCATAGCGCGAACAGAAGTAGTCGCCCCATCCGCCGTACTTTTTCCCTGCTCTAGACACCATCACTTAGCATCAATACATGATCGTTGAGTATCGATACTTGATTGACGGAAGGTCAACACGTACCCGATGCCTGCCGAATAGGAGTCGCCGGCAGATGCCCAACTCTTGATCCACGAGAGGTCTGCTGGATCGGGGTTGTTTCGACGTAGAAGAGAAGTTGCTGGAGTGATATCTGAGGGCAAGCAGTAGGATGTAATTACTAAAGATGCCCAGAGGGCAAAGAATGAAAGAGACATCTTCTAGCCTGATGGTAACAGGAAGAATCAGATGAAACTAAATTGAGCAAGCGGAAAACTGTCATGGCATACCTCTACACATCATATAACATCTCTGAGCAGCAGTCGATGAAGAAGCACATTGTGTTACGCGCGATTGGCTCGTCCGGTCGCCTTGCCAGAAATCCTGAGGATTCGGTTGGTCCTAAGAAAAGTATCCCCCACACATCAGCCTTTTCGCTTCTCGTTATATCATAGTACGGCGCAACAGAGGTGGCCTGAGCTGATGAGGGCCATAGCAGTCGATGAGGTATCTGCACCGGTCGAGTTGACATTGCAGCCCCTGCCAAGAAAGGGGCGGAGTTGTTCCAACATCTACAACAGTCGAGGCCCTGGTAGGAGAACCCGGTCAGTTCCTTCAGGTAACCACGTCGAGCATATAGCAGTAGACTTACAACATATTTGACAGTCAAGGCTGGTGTGATGTACGACTGACCTATTTTCGGTCTTTAAGATCCTTAATCCTTTTATAACCATTTGAAACAACGTTGAAAATGTATAGATTATCATATTCAAATCTCGCAAGATTCTCAATCTATCCAAATCTTCAATGGAGTTCAAAAGCATTTTCCTCCTCTTTTGCCTCTGCCTGATCCAGGGATTTGCATCTGCAACACTCGATATCAAGCAGGGTGAGTCCAACATGTCCTCAAATGCCGTGAAACTTCCCTGAATATGTGGTAGATGAGACCGACGCAGGATATTTCCATTGGTCCTCGGCCAAGCGCTTCGCCGAAGATGCAAACACCGTCCGCAATGCGCTGCCTTCGCTAGCTAGGCAAGCGTACGAAGAGATGCGAGACGATGCTCGGAACAAGGGCTTACCCGAGGGACAAACACCTTCTGCCATGGCTGCCTTAGCTGTCGGTAGCGATGTCTACTTCTCATCCGGCTTAATAGGAAGACCATACCTTGTGCATCCAGGAGAGGTGCAGAACTACATCCAGGAAGGGGTACGTAACCTTGGAAGGCACCTGTTAGCAATAGCTTAAACAGCATCGAAACGACAATTGCGGAGATATCGTTTGATGGTGTCTCAGCGCTAAGAATTTATCGAATATCCCTTCGATGGGTCATTAGGTGCACACGTCTTCGACATCGCTCGAGATGCTGTGCGAGATGGCCCTCAGGCTTACCTGCTTTTGGTGTACTGTTGCTGATCTTTGGCAGGTAGCCAAGGAAGTCGAGCTGGCCATTTTCCGTTGTCAGCAGACGTACCAGAGCGAACACCGCTATGATATGCGTTGTGCTGAGCCTATCGCGACACAGCAATACCTCGTCAACAACCCGGACAGGTCTATCGTCGGCCAAGGGAAGATCTCGACTTATGGCATCCTCAACAAGAACGATGTGACCAACACAGGCATCCTGAATCCTTGTGAATCTAGATACGGTCGGTGGGGCTGCCAGGTCTTTATTGACAAGCTGCAGATTACAAGAGTCGGGAATCAAGGTGACAAGCCTGGATTGCCTTCGATCCAGCCATCACAAGGCCTTGAGCATTGCTTCTGGACATAGAACCGAACACTTCTCCAAAAGGTGTACTGATCAGGCGCGAAACGTCATTGCTATATGACTCACGCCATTGCGACGCAACGTGTTGGTAAATCGAGTTGGAGAATTTATAGAGTTGTCGAAATGCATCTGTTGATTACCTGATGCTATTCAGAGACTGTTAAATAGCAATATGATTTGGACAGATTAATGCTACTTGTGCCAAGTGTTTCAGATACTTTTGTGTTTACTCACACGAAATGGAATCTTTGTAAGCAAATTGGCTGCTAAGGCTATAGTATAGCTGAGCTATTGGCAGCAGGTTAGGAATAATAAAGGTCTTCTCATCGTTTTGAATCTGGAAGGAGTAAAGAGACGGTATCTTTGAGTTCACTCAGGTCTTCTTTACTTCGTAAATTGCTTACAAAGTAGGACTGAGTCGTGCCGGGACAAGCCCTCGTGTCACAAGGCTAAGGCACACTGAGAATCATAGTCAAAACTACAGATCACCCTTACCAAGACTATACATAGATCAGCCCGGCCGACCCGGCCGTGGACTTAAATATAGGCTCCAGTGTAGCCAAAGGGGCCGATTCTGTACTGTGTACTCTGCCTAAACACGACACAATCAGCTCGCAAGTTCGTGTTGGGTTCAGACAATCGGGCAAACAGGCAAACCAGAATGTGCTAGGATTGTCATGTGACTTTGTAGCAGCTCTGATCCGGGCATTGCAAACCATTCACGGTGCCAGGCGTCATTGAACTCGAGACGTACGAGCCTAGAAGCACCGTAGAGACCTCACGGATCTACTTCAAAGGTGATCCTACAGCCGGACCGCTTTCCGGCCACCCGTTCGATCGGCCGTTCAACGATACAGCCAAGTTCTCTATCGACATAGTTAGAGACGATGATAACTCGACAGTAACAAGTGAGCTAATGCGTGAGTCCTTCTGCCGCAATCTATATTTGTGTGCCAACACTGGTTTCTATGTCGTCTTCGTCAGCGCAGATAGAGCACTCAGAGATTGCTTGACTCTTTGTGGGTCATATGGCAAGCGCAATATTGGGAGCGATTCTGTTGTCAGAGTTGACATGGTGGATAATCGTACGACCGCGCCGCAAAGCCCAGCGTATCGTGCTCGAGTAGATAGTCGCAAAGCCAGTATACTGGCAGTCCCTCGTCCGTATGTGCGAGGTGCTGAAAAGCCTCTTTCTCCCAATGTCGTGTTCTTGAAGTAACGGCCTTGTAACTGGTAGGCCTACACTCCGCGTCCTCGTCCGCGGCCTCTCCCTACGTTGCCTGTCCCGCGACCCCCTGCCAGCTGAGGTCTGGGTGCTGGTCTGTTGCGATCCGGATGGATCTTCTGAATCGAGCACGGCACACCAAGCCCTTGACAAGTTCGAGACAACTCCTGCTGCACTGGCTCGTTGAAGTCGGAATCAAGCTGGAACAAATGTAGCCCAAATTCTGCAGTCTCGTCCTCCCCGTGCAAAGCCGACAGCCACTCTAGAAGCTTTGTAATGACCGGCATCAAGCTCTCATCCTTCCAACCATCGACGAGACAATTGTCACTTAGGTTGTCATTCAAGATGATGTGGCGGAGAGATGAAGGTAGGATCTCATTCCAATCCCAATCATAGTCTTTGCGGGTCCAGCCGAGTAGCGTCGCATAGGGTATAGTCAAGGTGTGCAATTGTGCAAGACTCGACAACTCCTTTCGTAGGCGGAAAGGGGGTTCATGGCCGGCAGCATAGCCCCTCTGAAAATGGATGCTGTCCTCTTGGATGTCGTGCGATGTGTGCAGCTCTTTCAAGCTATGAGCCACGTGGCACAGTCCGTCGTATAGAGGATCGAGGCCCACAGCATGTTCCGATATCGCCTGCCTCCGGGACGAAGTAAGCCATGCGTAGTCGGTCACGGCGTGGTACTCAAGGTACTGTAAACCAGGCGTGGCCGCGAGCAAGGCAATCATATCGGAGTCGCCAATCTGGTAGTGATACAAAACCAGTCGTGTGACTGAGGATCCGCCTGGTCGTAGGTGGCGGACGGCGTCCGGCCTCAGACTCATCACTGCTGCAACACTCTTGATGGCCGGCGCCATGAATGGAAATAGCAACGCATTATCCCAATCTTCTACGACGCTGGCGTGGCGACGCTCTCCGTATAGCAGGTCCAAGCACAGATTGCACCTCTGAAGCTTTTGGAAAAAGCCCTCTCTAGCCATCTTTTGCAGGGTGTCACGGACCTCCGGCACCCTGAAATAGTCAGAGCTGATGTTCGAGTCCTGGATAGAAGGCGTGAGACGAAGGATGTGAAGGCAAAGTGTCCATATAGACACCTGCGCCTGAGGTAGAGTCCGACTCGCGGAGGAGAATGTGGCGACGTTGTCGTATAGCCCAATCTCTTCTTGCGTGAAGTCGCTCAGATTAGCAAGTATATCAGGAGGCGTCTTGCCGCGAAGCGGAGCTTCGACGCTTTCATGTCCTCCTACCGGCGAAAGCGTATTTCTCCAGTGCAGCAAAGGGTCGCCAGCCAGAGACAGAGTGCGGACGGCATTGGCGGCTGTTCCGCGCGTGAGTAGAGAGCGGAGTAGCAAAGCGGCTCTTTCATCAGACCGTTCGGCGCCATAGAGATCAATGGCGATATCTCTGTAGATGATCTCATTTGCATGAACATTCAAAGCTCGCGAAAGGATGTTGATCTTGAGCAGATCGCGGTAGTCGAGGCATCCAGCTATGAGGTCCGTGACTAGCAAAGGTAATCCGCGTTGCTCGCAGAGCTTGTGTACAAGGCCGCGGATATCTGGCATGACTGTAACCATCGTGGTATTTCTCCGTCATGATCTGGAGATGTCATACATGCGACGAAGTCACGAAATGGTGTCGCTGAAGAGCGTATGGGATTTCTATTATGTCATCCTTGTTACTCAGATCTTATTGAATATTAGACTTATATAATTAGAGTATAGCTAGACTAGATAGAATAACTGATTAACTTTATTAACTCTAATCTATTGAATCTCCTATATCTAGTAGCTAAAAGCTACTTTTTATTCTTTGTAAACGGATTCGGAGGGCTCCGTGAATGCATGTAATGAAACAAGCGCGGCTGACTAAGTAGTAAGCCAAAGCAGGTCTAGACTATATCAGGCTAGCAAAATGCCAAGCAGACCACGATCATCGCTGCGATGTGGTGCTAGTCCTGATACGGCTTAGCGCCGGCATTGATGGTGCTCCCCCGGGCTGCCTTCCGTTTCTAGTCAGTTTTAGACTTCGGAACTTGATGGCGTGGACTTCTGGGCCGAGTGGTATGATGTGTTTGCTCCAATGTTCGCACGAGCTGCTACAGAAGATGTTTCTGCAAGGGCAAGGGTGACTTTTCCCGGAGGACAACTAGCCGCTTCCTGGTCTCGAGACGAGACGTCTTCCTTCACACGGCTCCAACCAAGTGGCAAGAACACGATCAGATCGAAGAGGTCTGCCGCGCTCCATCGATGTATATCGAAAGCATCACGATCTCACCGATTCATAGCTATCTATGACGTGGGAATAATGATGAGCTGATCAAAACGGTTCACGAGGAAGACAGGTCTGTAGTTTGGTACGAAATTCTCGGCATAGACGATTCCCCCTTTAGGGCTTTGAGGAGAGGACAATGGTCTTTAGAATTACAGATCTAAGCTGGCTAACGCCACTGGGATTCCGAAGTGTCTGTTCCATCGAGTGTCTCATCGTCTGAAAAGCAAATGAGATGAGTCTTGCAATGGAGGCATACTACAATATGATGTTCCTCCTCGTGGACCCTACCTTTCTAATACTATCTCTTGCTTTGTTCTGCTACCCTTTCATTATATCAAAGTCAAAGTACAGTCATCTTAAGGATGTCTCACTGGTCAACCCAGCAAAGCCGTTCTTTGTGTCCACTGAGAAGGCGAGGGTGAGTAGCTTTGTCCAGTCAATGCCAGCGATCGATGACTTATTATTACCTTAATCGATAGAGGAGGTTCATGAGATCCAGTCTAGAAATTGTTGCAGAAGCACGGAATCTGTATCCATACAAGCCCTTCCGCATGTATACTGATTGGGGGGAGATTCTCGTACTGCCGTCGACTTTTGCTGACGAAATTCGGAATGATCCTCGCCTGAGCTTGACGAAGGCTCTAAAGCAGGTATGTCTCCTTTTCAGATTTCGCGCAGATTTTCTACGACTTAACACCATGCAGGACCATCATGCCAGTCTCCCAGGCTTCGAGGTTGTTAACTGCATTGGGAGGGACGACGAATTTGTCCAATCGGTGGTACGCAAGTGGTTAACCCAACATCTGTGTGTCGTAATTGTGCCGGTCTCTGAAGAGACAGCTTATGCTCTGGACATCAACTTCGGACCCTCAACTGGTGAGACTCCTTATAAACAGAGGCAACATCGTACTGACCGTGCAGAATGGCATGAGACGAACCTCAAGGCAGCGGTGTTTGACATCATTGCTCGTATGTCCTCACGTATCTTCCTGGGATCCCAACTTTGTCGGAACGAAGAATGGCTCGAGATAACCAAGAGCTATACAGCGATCTTCTACACTGGATCATCACAGCTACGTCTGTTTCCCAGGGTACTTCGGCCCATCGTCCACTGGTTTCTTCCCAGCTGTCGTAGACTCCGCGAACAACAGAGGAAAGCGCGTCATGTGATCCGCCCACTCGTTGAAGCTCGTCAGAAAGCAAAGGAGGAAGCTCGTGCTAAGGGTCAGCCTGACCCAAAATTCGAAGACGCACTGGAATGGGCAAGTGAACAACGCGCAGCAACGGGCTCAGAGTGCGATGATGGTGTTTTCCAGCTCACACTATCCCTTCTGGCGATCCACAATTCGTTTGATCTGGTTCAACAGACCATGCTTGATCTGGCACAGCATCCTGAATTTATCCCCTCGATCCGAGACGAGCTAATTACCGTCTTACGCACACATGGGTGGAACAAGGCTTCGTTGTTCCACATGAAACGACTTGACAGCGCTATCAAAGAGTCGCAGCGTCGGAAGCCCAGCAGCATTCGTAAGTCTGACTAAGATCTCCTTCTGCACCTTCATTTGACCAACGACCTCATAGTAACCCTGCGCCGCTACGCCACCGACGACGTCACCCTCTCCAACGGCCTCCTGATTAAAAAGGGCAGTCGTCTCAACGTTGATTCAATCCGCATGATGGACGAGGAGCTATACCCAGAGCCCGAAAAGTATGACGCCATGCGGTTCTACAATCTGCGCCAACAGCCCGGGTGCGAAGCCACCGCGCAACTCGTCAGCACGAGCGCCGATCATCTGAGTTTCGGCCTGGGACGGCACGAATGTCCTGGTAAGGTATTCGCTGCTAATGCGATCAAGATAGTGCTATGTCATATCATTGCCAAGTATGAGTGGAAGCTTGCTGAGGATACTACGATTGTTCCGGATACGAAGGGGATGACGAATAAGGCTAGTCCATGGACGCAGATTATGGTTCGGAAGAGGGCTGGTGTGGACATTGAGCTTGATGGGCTGCTTTAAGGTAGTCAGGCCCGGCTTGCGGGTTTTGTGAGTTCAATAAAATCATGCGAATCTGTGAAGGTCTAGGCGATGCTACTGTAGTCTTTTTTTTTGTTTTATTTGGGTGGAGGAAATGACAATACTAAAGCAAGAAATGATCATTTTTTCTTATTTGTACTTGACCATACTATCAGTCATTCCAAGGAAGCTCATGAGCTGGGAAAGTGCAAAAGCGTGGGAAACAGGCAGAGGATGTCACGGAGGAAAATATATCTGAGAAAGCAATCATATTGCGACAAGGATTGTAATAGTCTTTACGGATAATTCGGTGCTTGACTTGAGCTGTCTGTCATACAAGCTTCATCCAAGGACTAATAACGCAGAGAGTGTGATATGGAAGATATATTAAGTAGAGATCCCAAAGACCACATCGAGAGGCTATCAAAGCCATATTATCGTTCAATCATAAAAGGTTCAGGCGTCCACATATCAAACATCACTTTACCATTCTGGCGCCTGCGACGCCCATCTCTCAGATGATAGCAATATCATCTCTCCTCCGAATGGCAACCTTGGCCGTCGGATTAACCGTCATATTAAGCCCAAACCGACGCGGCGTCAGGTCCGAGCCAGGCACAGTCTTGATATCATATTTCATCAGCACATGGCAAAGCACAATCTTTATCTCCTCGGAGGCAAACGCGCGGCCGGGACACGCATGTAGGCCATAGCCAAAGCCCATGTGATCAGGCGTTGTGCTGACCAGCTGAGACAGGTTCTCCTTTGTCTTGTCCCCTTCCTGCCGTCGGCGAAGGAAGCGGTAGCCGTCGAAGACTTCGGGATTCTCGTAGAATGCGGCGTCCCAGTGCTGGTTTGCAGAGACGACGGTGAAGCGGTTCTTGGGCAGCACGTTGCCGTCGGAGAGCGTGATTTCGTTGGTCGTGTATCGTCGCATGCTTGCTGTTGTGCGTTGTCAGTGGTGTGAGCAGTGTGTGCTGCAAGCTGGCTTACCCATGGCGATGGGCTTGAGACGCTGGCTTTCTTTCAGGACGCTGTCCATCAGTTTGAGGTTGTATAGCGAGTGTTTCACCCAGCCGCCTTTCCCTACCACCTGCACGATTTCCTCGCGTAGTGGCTCGATCAACTCTGAATGAGCGGCGATATCGAGGAGCGCCTGTGTAAAGCAGTCCGTCGTACCTGAATGCCACCATCAGCACCGACGCTTAGGCATGTCAGAGTCCTGGACATACTATACAGTGACGCCACCGACAGCGAAAGTTGCGCAGTAGCAGGATCATACTGCAGCTGCTTTTCCCGCGCCAGACCCTCAAACCAATCAATCGCATCATTATACTCACACTTCTCGCCTTTGAGCGCCGCGGCTGTCTTCTTCGAACGCCTCGTCTCCAGCAACGGCTCGATGAGACTGCGCGCCTCCTGCACCATTCTGCGCGCTGCGGTACACTGGGGAAGGAACCAGTGCACAACATCACGTAGCCAGGTGGGGAAGTAGCGTAGTTCTTCGACGGCGCGGAAGACTTGCACGGTGTATGTGGCGGTGATGCGGAGCCAGTCTGGGTTGCGACACATCTCCTCGCCCAGGAAGATGCGTGATGTGATGCGCGCCATGAGCTGTAGATTAGCTGGCTTGATCTCGACTTCATGCCAGTCTGATGAATGGTTAGTATATGGTTTCAGCTCTTGAATGTGTAAGGAGTTAAGGGGCTAGGGTAATTTGCCATTACTTTTGTCGTCTGTGTAGATATCTCGCAGTGCGGCAGCCGCCTCCTCGGAGACAGGCTTGGTAACTAGTGTAAGCTGGTGCGTGAGCTGGTGTCGAGCGACGAGCTTCATGACCTGGCTCTCCGTGGTGCCCTCTCTGAAGCCTTCGAAGCCGGGGAGATGACCATAGTACCACTGCTCATCATCAGTGTCATCAACGTCTCTCATTTCCCTAGAGATCGCCCAACGTCCGAGCTATACTCACACGATATGCAGCCTGAGAGAAGCTAAGATCGCGATGATTACGCAGCTCATGTGCATACTTGGGCGGAAGCACGATGATCTCGCCCACCTCGCCGATGACGCGGAAGATCTCGTCTGGGGCGGCCTTGATTTGTCTGGAGATCATGTCCCACGCATGGGCCATGAATTCCTTCTTAGGTCGTGTGTTCAGGAGCTCGAAGCCTTTCTTGCCATTGAGTAGGGGGTACGGAGATGACTGGACATTCTTGATGGCGAGAATGAGGACGGTGCTAATGAGAACTGTCACGATCAGAAGGGATGGTATGGAGAGTTTGTGCGAGACATGGAGGAGTTTGTTGACCAGCACTTGGCCGGCTACGGCTTCGGTTAGTGGAGGTAGCATTGTACAGAGTGTGTGGAGTTTTGATTTGGAGTTAGAGACGTTAGTAGTGAAGTGTGATCTATGAAGTGTCGACAGTGATGTGATATTACTATAGATATCTTTTCAGTGTCTTCTGTCTGTTTCCAGCGGCAGCGGTGGGAAGCAGTGGTGCTACTGAAAGAATGTGACATATTCTGCTCCTACAGCTGGTATCATCGGCGATTCGGCCAACCGTCAGGCCATCTCCTGGCTTGTGAATTCGATCGAGTCTTTGGATCAACGAACCATCGAGTATCCTTCGTGATACGTATCAGGTCGTACATTAAGCAACTGATCGATGCTGACTAATTGTCCCTCTGGATAGCCACCATTCCCTGGCCATATCAAATCTCCCAGAACCATTCACGATCATTGAAAAGTCCTGCAAATGCCGTATATTCTCATTCAAACATGCAGAAATGGACAACTGTTCCTCCGGATCGCCTGATGTTTTCTCTATATACATACATCCATGATACTTTGCATCGCCCAGCCGTTATCCCTCGAGACGGCGACCATATTCATCCATCCGTGTTTCTCTCCATACTCCGGGGACATGGACACATTACACACTACTAACTACGGAAGCTTTCCGCTAAAAGATTGTAGTAATTTTCTCCGCCAAGTCAATATTCCGTGTCTCTTCTTACATTACAAGACTTCTCATTCCCTGTATGTAGATATCTCCTTGACTGATTCCACAGTCTTGATAGTCTGGGGCTATCTTATGAAATCTTGCGCCAAACAGCTCTAAAAGCCCTATATCACATACAACCACACAGCGCCTTCCTCGCCGGTCAGCGGCATTCTAGCCGTCCTGAAATATAGCCTTGACACCCCTATCATTTCCAATATATGCACATGAATGCCAATAATCTTTACTCCGAGCCTTTACCCCTTTCGAGCTGCATGACATCACATACGCACACTTGCACATTTTATGAATATATCTTGTCGATGCATGCCATATATCCCAGCTTCGGCATCACTGTTCCGTGGTCTCGTGCACAGACGCACTTCCCTGTACAATCGCCATTGGAAGGCAGGGATGGACGTTGTGCGTGATTCTGTATACTGAGACCCCTTAAGTTTCACGTGTCGGGTCTCGTTTGGTGCTCTTGATGTGCCGTCTTTCTATGCTTCTATATATCCCGTCCACGGCGTCCAGTCATTCATGCATTCATCCATCCATGCTGTCCTTGCGTCCGCACTTACATACATCACTACCCGTCCTGATAATTAAACATCACTAGCTAGAATGCATCACCTGAGCACAACAGACCCAGGGCCATGGCTCTGTACCACCTAAAGGCCCGACACCGCAGCATGTACTATGTATGTACCCCACACTCCATCCCCCACACCATAGCCCTGTACGTATTATCGATCCGTATCCACAAACGTCTGCCGGGTCATCAACTTTGGACGATGATGAATAACGTGTCAAGATACTAGGATGAGCACTGCAGAGTGAGGGGAATCGGGGCCGGGCTGCTGTGCATGGCATGGGATCCTAGTCTTGACTGCCATGACGACGTGGGGGCTGGGATTTTAGGTTTGAGGGGGTGAACTTGGGGCTTTTTTGTTGGATGTACTGATGGGTTGTGGTGGTTAGAGTGTAGGAGAGGGGAGAATTCGGAGAGTTAGTAGTTTAGTTGGTGGGAAGAAAAGGGGCGTTGATGGTTGGTACTGTGGATAGGGGAGAGGGTCGGATAGGCTGGGAAGGGTATCTACTATAGATGTGTGTTTCTTATATGGGAATAGATGCTCGAGATTGTATTGTGAACGTGGTTACTAGGAAAAAGAAGAAAGAAACAAACAGACATACAAACACAACGTATTCACTACTCTTGCATCCCACCATACTCGGAACAACCAACATCATCACAACACCACTCCATTCCCCCAACCTACCCCCTAACCCGCGCCGAAACATCACACCTCGCATAAATCTGATTATACAACGCCGTAACATCACAAAACAACCCCAAATACCCCATCTTCCTCTCCGCCCTCCTCACTTCCCCAACATCCCCCCTCGCCGCCCTCCCAATCTCACTCCGCAACTCACCCAGCACATACTCCAAGCACCCCCACTCATGCCGCCCCAGAAACTCCAGCGCAGCCCTACGCTCCGCAGCACCAGCACAAGCGTCAAACTCAGGGAAATCCATGGCGTTGAGGTTATGCTCTGCAGCGTCGCGTGCTGCGCTGCCATAGTCGTTGTATATGCGGCATGCGGTTGCGAGGTGGCGCACGGCGTGCTGGACGAGGTAGGACTGGGTGATGCTGGGGTAGAGAGGGGTGCCGTGGGTGAGGGTGGCGGATTGCAGGCATGCGGCGAAGGCGTGGGAGTAGGCGCATGCAACGTGGTCGGCGGCGGTGGTGCGGAGCCAGGTGAAGAAGGGTGGGGATGTGTTGGTATGGGAGTGGTTAAGAGTGAGTTGGGTTGTGTGGGCGTGGAGGAAGGAGGATAGTTCGTGGCGGAGGTGGGTGCGGTCGGAGGGGCTGGCGCGGAGGATGGTTGGGTGGTGGAGGACGTAGGTGATGAAGCGGGTGAGTTGGAGGGTGATGTTGGGGTCGGTGTTGTTGGTGTTGTGTTGGGTGTGAAGGACGGTTGGGTCGAGGCTGTCGCGGCGGTTGTCGGGGTTGTTGGGCTTGTAGGCGATTTGCCCGATCGTGTCGTCGATGAGGCTGTGGAGACGCTGTGTGTCGGTGCCGAATGCAGGAGCGGCGACGGTCTCGATGAATTCGTCGACTTGGTAGCCGTACATTGATAGGAGCATCATGTCGTATATGAAAGAGGTAGAGACGAAGGCGCCGGAGCGGTTGTTTGGTCCAACCCAGGTAAAGGGGATCATGTTGATGTAGGAATCGTTCTCCAACTGGAATTTGTCGCGGGAAAATATACTCAGTCTCTCCTGCTGGAGCAGAGGTATAAACAACATAGATTCAGCCATAGATGCCTGTATCTTCCATTCAGGGACACTAGAAAACATAGGCGTCTGGTAGAGTAGAGTCGCATGTTTTTTTATACCTCTTCTCAGATCATCAAGCGACAAGGACTTCCCAATCTGAGGCTGTGTCGTGTCTCTGTTACTGCAACCTACCCATTGTGCAGCAATCAGATATGCTTCAGCTACAAAGCTGGTTCTGTATGCCGTCTTCGAAGTCCAGTTATAGTCGAATGACTGGTGACCAACGGACTTGAGAAAAAGCACACCACGTTGGATGGCCGAGAATATGGGGTCCTGTAGCTCGGAGAACAGACAGATACGGCGCGCCTCTGCCAGCACCAGGATGGCATAAGCCGTATGTTCAGGCTTGCCATCCCAGGATCCGTCCTGGTCCTGAGTCTTGAGCGTACGATTACAGGCTTGGAAGAGCGCTATCGCCATGCGCAGCTGCTGTTCCATGGTCAGGAGATGTGGGAAAGAGCCGGTATCAAGCAGGGACAGAAGGTCCGTGAACGCTTCGACCATGAGCATTGTTGGATACATATGACTAAGATTCTAGCATCTGGTCAACGTTGTTCAAGTACTGGATGAAGCCTGAAAGGTGACTTACCCACTTATCCTTCAGTTTGCCATCATGTGTCCACCACCAGTCGCAGAGGAACTTGACTGTCTTACAGATCTGAGAAGTATATTTTCCAGCTTCGTCCTGATGGAGTAATGCCATGAGAACGTGACAATTTGTGGTGAAGCTTGCATCGCGCTCGGAACCAAAGGTAGAGAAGTGATTGTCGACCTCGAATCTACGTATCATTGGCTTTGGGCTGACAGTCTCACTTCGACCAAGCAGACTTAGGGTGAGAAGACCCTTCGCAGTGTCATCGGCGTCCACGGCCCGAGGTGCTACAGACATTGAGTGAACAATCTCAGACTCGAAGTGCTCTATACACCCACCGAAACCAATGACTCCTTTCTCGTCTTGGAAAGCCTTGATGAGGATCTCTGTGACTGTGTGAAGCTCCGGACAGTCCAGGTCTTGATTTGTGACTCCAGCTCGGAGTAGGGTTGTTATGGTCTGCACATATGATCAGTTTCATACTTGTTGGTTGTTGATCGTTGCAACTGACCCAGTTAAACTCAAAGTTTGCCGTTGGGAATGTACCTGGTATGCCACCATCACCGTGTCCGGATCCGACACTGGAAACATGTCGCAAATATGCCTCTGCTACGTCGTCCCAGCAGGAGACGTTCATCAGGTAAGCAGCTGTGGAAGATGGCGAAGCCATCATAGATCCTTGAAATACATGGTGAGAGACCTTGTCGAAATCAATTTTCCCAATAAACGCCTCCAGGGAATGTAGAAGAGATAGTGGTTTCTGTCCATACAGATACTCAGGCTTGAAGCTTGCTAACTTAGTGTCGCGTATGTGTAGAAGGGTCGTTCTGGCCTCGAACACGAAGTATAATTCTGGGTCCTCCAGTGACAGATACTCGAGAAGGGCAGGTACAATAATCTCGACACCGATGTGGTTGCTTTCCTGCACGTCATCCCAGTTGTCAAGCTGATGACGGAGCGATTCAGTTGCTTTTTTAATACGTCTTTTGAGCTCTGACGGGGAAACGTCGCAGATCTGTAGAGGCTGATGGTAATGACGAATCAACGCAAGCAAAGCAGACGCTGTGTCCAAGATCCCGACTGTTTGAGTGTCTGGGTGAGCTCCCCAGCTGCCATCTTCAGACTGGGTCTTGAGTAGGTAATGGAATGATGCCGGAAACAACCATTCCTGCCTGCCTTGGGTCGTCTTCGAGATCATGGACACCCAAGCCGTATCGTAGACCTGGACACTGGTAGTACTGAAGCCATAGTCAGGGTGGTAGCTGGTGAGCATTCTCTGAACCAACGATCGTGCAGTTGCAGCCAGTCTACTAAGTTCGCTGGTGCTGTTCGCCGGAGCGGTGCTCATCGTATCTCCATTCATATTTCTGGTCAGTTACAATAATGGCTATAGAGCTTGGGATCTTTATTTTTGATCGAGAACACCATATTGTGCGGTCGACACGACTATATATCCTAGCCTACAATAGGAAAATCATGGCTTGACTACTTCGAACTTTCTTAGCATACTCTCCCGCTTGTCTATACTCACTAGCAAGATAACGTCCCGTGTTTTGACAATGTGTTGTTATTTGATAGAGAGTCTCTTGACTGTCTGATTATCCGATCGACTAAGCGATCTTCACTACCCTGTTACCCTGTAGTCGGCTTGGCTGAAGCATGCGGAATTCGGTGTGATGATATGGCGGAAAACTCCGATGACTTTCCACTTAAATGTGGCTTCCGATCAAACTACAGTTATCAAGTGCATGAGATTCCAGAAAGGTAAGCATGGCCTGTCGAGCAATAGGAAATAACATAGTCTAGTATTTTTGAATTTTACCCCGAGGCGGCGCACAGACTAGTAGTCTATCGTAAGACTTGGTTTGTAGAGAATGCCAGGTTCGATCGCCTCTCTTAGGATGCAAAAGAGTGTTACAAACAGAGAGTTATGGGACTCTATCTCCACGCTATACAAACCTCTCGTATGAAAGGAAAGGAAAAAACTAGTATGCGACATACTTCAACACCTGTAGACACTAGCCAACACATACCGAGACGAGGTTCTTCGGCACATCGTCTATGCCCAAAAGCCCACTTGTTCTGTGAGTGGGCATAGCTCCACCTAATCACATACTTGGATTCAACCATACTTTCACGCAACTGTCGATCATGAACCTAACTTAGATCATTTGAAGAATAATCTAAAAACGATGTATTCAGCCCGCGAATTCTAGAATTCGAGGCGAAATGCGTCATACGCGGCACCGCAATATCCTAATCCTAATGGATCATTGATAACGTATGGTCTTCTCGATACGGTCTGACGCTAATAACATTGGTATGCGTGCGGCTCGTACTTGAGGACGTAGACAAGCTCTGAATGACTCCAACTACCGGGAATCGGTTACTGAAACCTGGCTAGGTATTCGACTATAGTTTTACAAGGTTAGGTTCCTGACGCATCGATCCATAATACAGACTCGTACGTCATGAGCCTGGAGGAGTCGAGGCATCGAATAAGCCACTACTATCGTGCTAAAGACATACAACCAAGGTAGTAACAACCCTAGAACCTTGCTACGTTCATGGGATATAGGATCGACAAGAAGTGCTAAAATGGAAGGCAAAGCCCGAGACATCTTGAGAATGCTCTTGGATCGAACTTCATCTGCTATTGTGGCTGCGAGTGACTCGAGGATGATACTATCTAGCGAATCGACGAAGCTTCATTTGCTGTCGTAGTTGTGAGCGGCTCGAGGACAATTGGGTCTGGCGGATCGATGGAACTTTATTTGCTATCTTAACTGTGAGCGGCTCGAGGACAACATTGTCTAGCTGATCGTCGTTGACTTATGAGAGATGCGTACGAGAAGGGACGTACTCGTCATGGTTGATTGCTTGCTCTCGACAGCGCATGGTGTACGATGTGTGAAATTGGCCGTGGTCATGTATGTCGGCTTATAGAGCTCTTGACCTGATATGGTTCCGTGTTGGTGTGTATAACAAACTGTCAAGCCAGTCAAGCAGCGTTCGTGTCGGCACTTGTCTTTGTTCCTCGAGTCGCTCCTCGTCTTTTGGTCGTGTCTGTCACATCTTAACTATTAGATATGTTTGAATATCACCACGACTCATTAATTTCAACGTTCGATGTGAACATCAGTGAAGCAGGCCTTATACCAATCGTAGCTGATGCTTCGGCATTGCTTGAACTTGGAAATGTCGGGACTTCAAAAGCGTGGACAGTCTTGTTCTTGTTCAGTTTACTCTACGTGTTCAACCTCCTGAAGTACTCCTTCGAGGAAAAGGTCAATGCCCCGGTCGTGGGCCATAGACACCCTCTCGAGCCACAATGGCTCGTCCGTCTACGCTTCGTACGAGGTAGCCGCTCAATACTGCATGAGGGTTACTCGAAGGTACAGTTTCCAGGACCCAAACATCTAGCATCATTCTGATCTGGGCAAACAGTTTAAAGAATCGATGTTCCAGATCCGCAGAATAGGCACCGACGTGCTCGTCATCTCGCCCAAGATTTTGGAGGAGATTCGGAGTATTTCGCGCGACAAGGTCAACAGTGTGGAACCATTTATCCACGACTTTGTGGGCGAATATGTGTGTGGGAAGCTGTTCCTGGAAAGCGACCTGCAAAATCGCGTGCTGCATCAGAAGCTGACACCGAATCTGGGACGTCTGGTGCCAGTAATGAAGGAGGAGTTAGATTGGGCGTTGGTAAGGGAGATGCCGAATTGTCAAGGTTTATCCCGATTTGGATGAAACATTCGCTCATTACACTCACATAAAGCAGGAAATTGGGTCGAGCTCGACATCGTGCCCAAGCTTGCACGCATAGTGTCGCACATATCAGCGCGCATCTTCCTCGGCCCTGCTGACTGCCGCAACGAGGAATGGGTCGAGACCACCACGCAGTACACAGAGAACCTGTTTGTCACAGGCTTCATTCTCCGCCTGGTGCCGAAGATATTGCGTCCACTAGTGGCTCCTTTGCTGCCATCCTTCTGGGGCCTAAAGCGAAACGTATCTGCATGCCGCCGTATCGTGGGTCACATTATCCAGACGCGCAGAGACCTCGAGGCACAAAGCGGGCCTGGGTACCAAAGACCAAATGACGTACTTCAGTGGATGATGGACGCAGCAAACACGCGCGAAGCTGAGGTTGGAAACTTATGTCAACGAGTGCTTGTGTTGAGTCTTTCGTCTATTCACACAACTGCCTTGACTATGAGCCAAGCGCTCTATGATCTCTGCGCTCATCCAGAGTTCTTGGAACCTATTCGGGCTGAGGTGGTCCAAGTGTTGCAGGAGGACGGAGGCTGGGAGAAGAAAGGTACATTAGGTCGGCTCCGAAGACTAGACAGCTTGTTAAAGGAGAGCCAGCGGTTCAATCCAGTGTTTCTGCGTTAGTACAATAAAATACTCAAGGCCGGTCTACCAGCTAATATGCGTATAGTAACTTTCAATCGCATCTATCATAAGCGAATGAAGTTGTCTGATGGCACAGTGATACCCCCAGGCACACGGGTCGCAGTGCCATCAAATGAAATACTCAACGATCCAGAGCATGTCCCTGGAGACGTCGGACCAGAGCTATTTGATGCTTTCCGCTATTTCAAGGTGCGACAGCAGCCTGAGAATAGCAACAAGTATCTGTTCGCAATGGCGGATGGCAGTAACATGGCGTTCGGATTCGGACGCTTCGCGTGTCCCGGCCGCTTCTATGTTTCCAATGAGATGAAAATGGTTCTAGCACATTTGTTGCTGATGTACGATTTGAAGTTCCCTGAAGGTCAAATGCGGCCTGAGAACTTGACTGTGGACGGGGACCTATACCCTGATCCCAGAGCACGACTGCTGATCCGGAAGAGAACCACTTTCGCGAGCGACATGGACATGCTGCTTAAGTGAGACGACTTGATGGCATGAGGTGTTGTTGTTCCGATTACCGGCACAACATGCCGTGAGGTGATGAGATGAATTGACTGGCAGACAAGCCAAGGTACACGAGGCTAGCATACTCGTCGTCGAGATAGGGGACGGAGAATGTCGATAGTGAGATTGGGACCTAGCCTTTAACGATGACATACGCGGAGCCCTAAATAGTGTTATGTTGCGTAACAAGTATTATATGTGAAATGTAAGATGGTACGAGACGCAAATGGGAACCCTCGGAAGAACAGGAGGTATGTGAAAAACAGACGCTAGTCCAAAAGTGTACTAGCGACATTGTTCCTATCATCACCGTCTTTCCCCAGCGACACGAACCAGTAAACAAACCAAAACACACAATACACTCACTCTCCTATCAGATCAAAACGATATATTCCACAAAGATACCACCATCATGACCATCCCCACCCATCCATTCACTCTGAAACTGCCTAGTCCCTGCCACTAACCTCACACGATTTGTCACACCTGCCAACAATGTCCTCGCCTGGCTCTGGTGTTATTGATGCCTCTTGCCTGGGAGTCCGCCCTGGACGAAGGAAACAAAGAAATAAAGACACATCAGCATTCTCACACCTCTCCCGCATCGAACCGCAGAACGACAACACATAAATACACTCCCGCTCTCAACTCTCCAAACTACTCTCATCCTCTAGCACGCTAAAACGCCTAGGACAATCACGCCGACGCCTCGATCCGAGCTCCGCCCCGCCACCCGCCGTACGTCGTGCATCATCAACTCTAACTAGACTTGATTCGACTCTCACAAGTCACGCAAGTCACAAGTGCTCACTAGACAATCACCTTCGTCACACCTGTTCACGTTGCTCAACATTGCATCACCTTCACTTCGCTCACGATCTTCCTAAGAGTCCTCGAGCCGCCCAATTTCTTCCAGCCACCAGCCGTCGTCGCCTCTACCGCGCTCCTTACAGCACTCACTCTACATACACATCATGGCACAACGCATACTGATGAACGAGTTCAAGACTCTGAGCAAAGAGCCGTGGACAAACATCGAGCTCATTCACGAGAACATCCTCGAATGGAGCGTGGCCCTCATTCCGCTGAACTCCGACTCCCCATACTATGGCGGATACTACAAAGCGAAGATGACCTTTCCCTCAAACTACCCATACAGTCCACCAGGTATCACGGGCCTCTCTCTACATATGCGACACCATTGCTGACTCTATAGACTTCAAGTTTATCCGGCCGCTCTACCACCCCAATATCTACGCTGACGGCCGCCTTTGCATATCGATATTACATGCTCCGGGCGAGGATGAGATGTCTGGGGAGAGCGCTGCAGAGCGATGGTCGCCGGCCCAGCGTGTCGAGAGCGTCCTTATCTCCATCCTATCGCTCCTCGACGATGCCGAAGTCTCTTCTCCTGCGAATGTCGATGCTGGTGTCATGCTCCGAAAAGATCCGGCTGCGTATAAGAAGCAGGTAGCAAGAGACGTCGAGAAGAGTAAGGAAGACATTCCGTCGGGCTTCGTTATGCCTACGTCTGAGACTGCCTTTGCCAAGCGCGATACGTTTGATGACGACTACACCATGAGCTGGGAAGATAGCGATGCGGAAAGCTTCGGCGGGAGTGACTCGGACGAGGACTTCGACATGGGCGATGACGATGAGGACCGAGAAGACGACTCAGGCTCAGAAGGAGAGGAGAACGATGATATAGCGTGATGAGAGCTGTCTTCCCTTTGTGCATCACCTAGATTTCCTCTCTTGGAGCGCAGGCTTGTTCTTGGACATGGTCTCAGTTTCCTTGCAACCGCTTCGGTAGTCTGCCCGTACGTCTGCTGAGTTGCTCGCGATCCTTTCATCACCTGCATTTACATCGGCGTTGGCAAGCATGGCGTTCCGAACCTATACAGCTCCACCTTTTACCTGTCCAAACATGTTTTTGACTACTGATAGATTAGTAAGGCAAGAATCCATATTGTGTTTCGAGGGTCCGCCATGCATACCCATAGTGAATACTCTTAGACTTGATCCTGCTCTTGTATAGTCTCGTCTTTATTATGCTAGACTAACCTCACGACGATACCATGTCTTGATTCTCTTATCGTCCTCTATACTATTATGTTACTTAAAGCTATATGTAATCAACTTATTAAAAACCTTAAGTATATATATCTTGTTAGTATAATTATGACTCTATGAAAGTTTTAATCCGTCTCTCATAATTAATAGTCTTTGGTTATATTACGATATCCAATTGTAGGGTTTTTGTTAGATATATCAGTAATGATGTATTATCGTTGTTGGTCAATGAAACCTAAGCTTCTATTACTGTCTTATCCATCTTCTAGTCTTCTACCTCTCTGAGCCTATTGTTTAGATGTCTTCTAAAGAAAGGAAATATGATAGTCAATGTCTGTATCCTTGATTCGATAGTCGTACGCGACGTTATCGGTTAGTCACTTGATTATATATAGATGTGTATATAACTCGCGTTCGTGCTGATGCTACTTCTTACAGATATAAAGTATAGGATTGCATCATGGAAATCCGATGGCAGAATATATATACAAGAAGAGCATCTTACACGTCGTGCAAGATGCAACACCTTCGCAGCACAAACAACTACAACCGACAATACGAACGCAACAAGAAACCAAACCTTCATCCCATCAAGCACACACACAAAGAAAGAGAACAACACCACTCCTCAAAGCCCGCCCACCGCATTCCGCCCCCTAATCCTTCCCTCCCCTTTCCTCACAACCCCATACCCAGACAACGCCGCCCGTCGCTCCTCACTCGGCACCCCATCCACCAACCCCCCATCCCTCTTCTCCGCCGCCGCCTTCCCCTCCCAATACTCGACCAACTTCTCCTCCACAACCGCCGCATCCGCATACGCATTCAGGCTCGCAAACCACGCCACCTTCTCCGCCACCGCATCCCGCGCAAACGCATTCGTCCCCGCCGCCAGATCCCCCTGCGCAAACCCCACAGGCGCATACTCGGGCGCCAGCGGATCGATAAACAGGTTCTGCTCGTTCAGGTCCAGATCGGCGACCTGCGTGACGTTGAACTCGGCGAGCATCTCGTGGTCCTCGTGGATCAGGTTGTGGCAGTGGAACATGTAGAGCCCGGGCCAGGGCGAGAAGCGCGCGATTACACGCACGGTTTCGCCGGGGCCGAGCCACACGACGTCTTGCTGGGCGGCGGATTCGTAGGGGAGTACGCTGCGGTCGCTGCCCGTGCGGCTTATCACTTGGAAGTCGACGAGGTGGACGTGGATTGGGTGGCTAGGGGGTAGAGGTGTTAGCATGTATGAATAAGGGGGATAGGGATGGCGACATACCTCCAGCCGCCGCCGCCGTTCTCGAGTTCCCAGATTTCGATGGAGCCGCGCTGGGGCGCGGCGAGGAGACGGTCTGCGGTGTCGTGCCAGCCGATGCCGTTGATGACCCAGTTACTGCCGCCGCGGCCGAACTCGAAGTGGCGCGTGTTGACAGACTGATCCTGGGGCGGGAAGGGCACGTCGCGTAGCTGAACGGGCACAGCACCATTGTTAGAGGAGTCGGACACGGTTGTTCCTACGATGAAGCGCATCACTCGGTCTGTGCCGAGATACTCCGTGTCCGGATTGACTTCCTCGTGGTCGTTGCGAAGGGTGACGTTCTGGCCTGCGAATTGCGAGAAGTCGATGACTACGTCCCAGCGCTCTGCGATGGAGATTGTGACGAGGTCTGTGACGACGGACTGGGCGAGCAGGCCGCAGTCGGAGCCGATGACGTAGAAGGGCACGCGCTGGTTGTTTTTCTGGTCTGCGTTTAGGAACAGCTTGAATGTACGGCTGATGCCGCCGTCGAGCAGACGGAAGCGGTATTTGCGGGGTTCGACCTTGAGGTTTGGCCAGGGTTGGCCGTTGACTTCGACGACGTCGCCATAGATGGACGTATCCTCGTCGTTCTTTTCGGGATCCCAGAGCGTACCGTCGCTGTTATACTGGCGGGCCATGATAAGCAAGGGAATGTCGTATTTGCCGGTTGGGAGGGCGAGGTCACGCTCGTGCTGATCGTGCAGAAGGTAGAGGCCGGCCATGCCAAAGTAAACGTTCTCAGCGGTGTGGTCGACGACATGGTCATGGTACCACAAGGTTCTAGCGTTCTGCTGGTTGGGGTAGTAGCTGGATGATGTTAGAAGGGCTTGAGATGACCAGAGTGGGCTCAAGTACTAGTCTTTGTATTGACCAACATCAATGTGGTCATCGGCATACCCGTCGAAAGGGGCACGACTATAGCTCCCGTGAAGATGAGTCGACGCGGGACGGTCCCCATTGTTGATATACCGCACAACAGACTCCCTACCCTGTTCAATGTCGATGGTAGGTCCAGGGAACTGACCATCGTACCCGACCATACGAGCAGACTTGGCCAGATTTGGATACTGCTTTCGTTGGAAAGGCTTGATCTCCAGTTCATAGTAGTCGATGGGACCACCGGTCTGAGGATTCGTGAAAGTACTGTTTGAAGTTTCAGTGGACTTACTCATGCTTCATTGATGACTTGTATGACAGCTTACTACTTTGGGGCTTTTACCCCTGGGATTGGCAAAGGCTGACTGAAAAAGCTTTGCGTAGGATATGCAGGGCCTTCCCAATCTTTGGCCACGACTGTAGTTGACAGTGTTAAAAGTGAAGCCATCAGTGTGACCCATGGTTTGCTAGAGGCAACCATGACTGAGATGTGTTTCAGCGAATCAGTACCTGAATATGGAAACGAATGACAATTAACGATGCAGGCTAAGCTTCCTGGTATGCTTGTCTGTAGGCTTGAGAAAGAAGAGACGACGGTGAGAGGTATTGAGCATATTTATAAGATAGGAAAGCCACATAGGGGCATCGCATATGCTCAGCTGTGCGGATAATATAGGCATTTCAGGTCCAAGGCATACCTACCGTTGCCTGTAAGTAAACAGTGGCTCATCCCTGTACGGGGGAATATCCCTTCCTCTCGTATCTTGGCGTCGCTGAAGGGGATGGGATTGTAACATGTCCGTAGCTGAAAAAGATATGTAAAGAGGACTTGGCAATATCAAGCCCGCGTCTAGAGTCGGCGGTGGCGTAAATCTGTCTCGAAGTGTTACATGGAGGTTGCATGACTCAACACTAGCTGGAATTCGTATATGCAAGACAGAGCATCAACATTGACCGCAGGCACCAGTGAGATGGAGTGTGATCTTTCGGAAGAGCTGGCACAGGCAGCAGGCCAGTAACGGCCGATAGGATCGAACAGCATACAAGCAATAAGAAGATATGCCGACAGATGATTATTGATCCGAACATACCGGATGGGAACAACACTGGAGGTAACCCTTACTGACATGGAGACTGAAGGAGTGCTTGACAAATAAGTTTATGCGTTTAAACACGGGTTTTCTCCTCATATGGCTCGAGCCATGGAGGAACGGATAGAGCATGACCAGACTTGACAAGCTTGTAGCAGATATGAGAGAAACATTTGCCACGTGCAAAGAAGTCGAAGTTGAAAGACTGATTGAAAACACGGATAGCGCCTAGGGTGAGAAACAGGGTGACTGACTGTCAATGAATTGCTACAAAGCCCAATGAACAGATCAGAGTAGGTAGCATTCCAGCAATCCGATCATGATCCCGTTCACTGACAGCTGGACCACGGCCGACCGTATGAAGGCTTATGCAGGAACAAGCCACAGTCATCTTGGCTCTCGTGAGACGGTTCAGGAAGCGGTCATACGGTGAAAGAAAAGCTATGTGCTCAAGTTCAGTCGGAAGTCCTTAAGACATTGGTTGCCTGCGGCACGATCGTAGTTGAAACGTGCCACTCCAGATCAGCCTGTGGATTGAGAACTCTATCCGTTTGTTTGTGAGTGTTAATCCTGACGATAACACGAGTTAGTGTATCGAAATGCCATTGCAGCAAAATATAAATATGTACTTAACAGGTTGGGGACTATGTTTTACGCCCACATAGATTTCGTAGGAGTACAGCGATTAGCGAATATCTGGACAGATCCAGGAACAAGGATACATAAGTTGTCGAATGCCTAAACGTGGCTGTAAGACAGAACGAGTATACGACAGGGGGGTGGTATTAATTAGGCTCGGAGCGAGTCCCGCCGTGTTCCAAGAGTGAGGCCTGCATAGCGGAGGAAGGACTAATAATAGGAAAAAATACGAGACCGTAGAAGACTTGGTAGTCACTGAAGTCTTGGCAGAGACATCTTGTACACTACACCACATCGATAGAGCTTCACTCTGGTCTTGCCTCGGTCGCAAGCCCTGGTCACTCGATGAGCAAGCTTTCAACTAGCAGCGTAGCACAGCCTTGTCTCAACTACGCATTTGCAAGACGACGAGACTACAATCAACCAGTAAGATTCTAGTATTGAGTCACTGCCGGCTGGAAGACACACACACATGCCACTGTCAGAACATAGAAGCTATCTGCCATGCAACTGGGTAGTAATAGTAGTTTTGCACAGAAAGACGAACGGTGAAATATAGTAGTCACGCCGCATTTTGGTAAAAAAGATGCCCTGGAACGCGCTCGAAGGTCATGCCAGTAAATACGAAATATGCCTTGGCTGCGAGACACCTTGTTGGATCGTCCACGAAAGTTTTCATGGCAGGCACGGTCGTGGGAGGCTGAGCGAAGCTGCAAGATAGACACGTCTCGAGAAACAAGATCAGATGCCACCACAAGGCCTTGAGGTGCAGACCCGAAGGCATGGTCGGATGTAACACAGCCCAACGGGATGGACGCCCGTAGATGTTCGATCCAGGATCGCTCTGGAAAACGTATGTAGTACTATAGGACATGCATTAGTCCTCAATGCTTGTGATTCCTAAATGGCAAGAAGCAGGAATAAGAGCCAGTATTGAGATGCACACGGGAAGGATCGCGTGTGCTCCATCTCAGGCAGATAGGACAGGTGATTCTACAAGGACGGATCTGAGTCCATATTCCTTCGATATGTATTTGCGGACACCGTGCGGGGGTATCCTTGATGGAAAGGTATACACCAGATCAGGGATCAACTATCGACTTCATTCATGTGAGGTCGACATTGGGCACAAACCGGTCATGCGGGTGTTTCGTTATACGGTAGCCCTTCGCCAGTTCCGTAGATAGAGCTTGGCAATACGACGCCTCGGAAAGTGAATAACAGGGTAGCACGCCTCTTCATGGTATCAGAGATGGAGAATGGCTCCTATGGGCTTTCCGCGTGGTGTGAAACGCGAAATATCTCGTATCGGACTCCAAGGCAGCGGTCTATGACGAGATAATTCGAGATGGAATGGCAGGCAGCTGGGTCGCGCGGTACCATGTCAGCATTGGATTAAGAGGCCGAAGTATAGGGAACGGAAGCGAGGGTTCGAAGACGGTCCAGGAACGTCACGGGATCTAGAATCGAGGGATAGGTACCTGAGGGCAGAGATGGCCGAATGCTACTCTGCTGCGGTAGAACAGCAAGGTGATGCAAAGTATTTGCGAGCAATAGCAATAGTAGTGGGGCTCTTGGCTGTTGGTGGACTGCCGGCATAAGCAACCAACAAGTGGCGTACAATGCTTATGGCATGTTGCAGAAGTATAGCAATGCTTGCCGTGTCCATGCCTTTGCCTTTGCCCATGTCCATGATTTCTCGGATATAGCACATAGACGAAGAGGACGGACAAGGATGCAGAACATCCCGGCAGGTCTTCAGCCGCCTCTGTGCCTCGTGTTGGGAAGCTCGGATATTGTGTGCTGGTCTGTCGAATAGTGCATCAGCCGAGACCGCCGTTCGTCTGGACATCCGTATGTACTGATGATAGCATTTCGCAGTTTATCGCCGAGGCTGCATATATTTAAGATGAATGCCAATATGTTCCAAATGAATGACCCACGCCTCCGCAGACGTTGATCTCGGGCTGGCTAAATTTATGCCACGATATATCATGGTCGTACATCTTTGAGTCTGTTCTCGTTCTTATTTATGTCTGTCAAGTCTCGTCGTGATCTGGAGAGCTGTAGAGCCGATTGAGGGGATTCGGATATTCTTCGTAGGTACTTGCCATGCCGCGCCCTGGCTTGAAAAGCAGCAAACGATGTCGCATTACTTGGACAAGGACAGAGTCATGCGTACTTTCTAAGAGGTGTCATAACATCTAAAGCTCTCATAGTGAGATGAATGAACAACATCAAGATGTGGTGACTGATGCCGCTTGGTGTTGATTCGTCGTCGAAACAGAGGTTGACTTAGTGCCTGAGGCAGAGACGCTAAGATAAGTAAATAAGACGGGGCTCCTAGGTTGATCGGTATGTATCCATCACCATCTCGGCATTTGGTTGCTACATTCATTCTTGTCCTCGACTTCATCCTCATCCTTCTGTCGCTTATGGTCCACACTCCTACACTCTTCATCTACGAGGCTTCTTCAAATCCAGTTGTAAGCGCTGTTCAGCCTCATCAGCCAGCCTCGTGCGGTACGCGATAATTGCCATTGTCGATTCAGGGCACTACTTGCAACGCTTCAGACCGCGTCCGATACTACCGATACTAGAAGCTCTGACAGCATGGCTCGAATATATGACCTCCCAACTGAGACTCTGCTTGATATCTTCGACTATCTTGCATTGTCAACATTTCGATACGAATACATAGCTGCCTTACTGGTCTGCCGCCAGTGGTACCATGCTGGCCTACCAAATCTGTACCAGCATATCGCATTGGTGTCGAGGCTGGGCGATACATCACAACTACCGACTTTCTACAAGAAGAATAACGACCTTGATCTCGTAAAATCCATGACCTATCACGTTACCCAATCACACCTAATGGGATTTGCAATCAAACTTCCCAAGGCTTCCCATAGACTGACCCAAATGATCAGTCTTCCGCTTCGTATGCCAAACCTGACCAGTCTGTCTATCATTCATGTGGTACATGCTGGAAGCAAGACATACGCCTTTCCTGGTGCCGAGCTTTTTGGAGTCTTGAAGTTACTTCCTCTTTCTGTCACCTCTCTGGAGATAGACATATTAGACCGATACATGGACCCACATATGGACAATGGACCTAGCGAAGAGCATATTTGCACCGCTGTTAGCCCGTTACTACTGCGTTTACGGCACTTGAGATTGAGACCTGCTCGCTGCTGCCCTGGTCTCTTTGCTGCTTTCGATGGCTGCTCTACTCGGCCAATTTCACCACTCCAGACTCTTACACTGCGGACGGACTCCCGATTGACGGGGCACAGACGACCATATTATCCTCGGGTTTGCGCAAGAAATACCACGTATTCACAAACCGACGGCCAGGTCAATACTCCGGGCGCTGAATTGCCGATACCTCAAAACTTGGCTCGAGAAGCGCATCATCTATGGCAAGACGGTGCATTCCCTCATCTTCGTGCCGGCTATGTCATCGGTCATCAACCTACAAACAACGATGCCAATTCATTGCCACCCGCCACGCCGTTGTTGTTCACGGCCGGCACTACCTACGATGCCTACAAGATCTGGGATTTCGTGTCCAACAGGACGCAAACGTTACCAAACCGAGCGCGTGGCGGGTCTAGTGAGCTAGTCATGATACGAGCCTTGAACAATGTCGACTACTTTGGGAGTGAGGAGAGTATTGATAAAGCAATCGAGCCGTGCCCCTGGAAGCAAAACACGCTTGGTTGCCGTCAACTTTCGGAGCCACTCCTTGCATTGGACTCAGGTTTCGAAAGTCTCGGGATGGATACCAGTGGTCTTATGAACCGTGACACCGCAGTCGCTCGACACGACGTGAAGTGCGCACTATGGAACCGCGAAAGGCAAGTCGGCGCTTTTATGATGCAAGCTCGTCGTGTAGAAGGTCTTAACGACGACTTTTCGGTGTCAGAAGTCCTGCCTCGCGGATGGGCCGAGTACCAGGACAGGGACGACAGCAAATGGAGGATCCATTACGTCGGCACAGGCGATTGAATACCTCCTACTTCTTGATACTTGTCTTGATACATAAAGTTCAAATGTGCCACAGTTCAAACCCGCCCACGGCGTTGTGCCGTTGTCACAGCGAACTTGGCACTCGTGACGCCACTTTATCAATTGAACTCTCTTTCCGCCACGGCATCAAAGCTAGAGTTACATCCGCTTCCGCAACGCACTTCCTGTGTGTAGGTCGACCTTAGGCCTGCCATATGGCTGCTTCGGTCCCTGCCGATACCAATGCCATCTCGCATAGACCTTGTCCAAAGCATCTTCTGATTCACTGGGCAGCTTCAAAGTTTGTTCGACGCAATGTTTCGTGAATTGACCTTTCGCATACCGACTACTCTGCAACCCAACACGATCTCGACGCTCTGTCCGGACGTTCAGAATTCAATATCTTGGACTTGTGTATAGCGGATTGGACAATAACGTACTTGCGGAGGTTATGGTAACTGCTACCTGTATGGAACGCAGTTTCTCGTCCTACGATCCTACGAAGAGCCTATAGCTTCCATATGCCAATAGACAAATTTTCAACGTGTATATGCCCCAATACTGTCATTCCGCCATACCCATCAACACCCACATTGCCCCTCTGCTCCCTAATCCATCATCCATCGCCCAACGCAGCAACTTCCTAAGCACCCCAAACGCCCCCAACCACCCTCGCCACCTCCCGCGCAACCAACCCCTGAATGGCCATCGCGGGATGATAATCATTAAACCATAAACAACTCCGTCCATCTTCATTGAAACACGTCGCGTCCGGCGCGCCATATACCTCCGGATGATCGAGCGCCGTCGCGAATGCAGGCGTCGTGTTTACAACATACACGTGCGCGTCTGCATGTGTGGTGGCAAATTGGCGTGCTGCGGTGCTGAGCGTGCTATTGAAAGTTGCAATGACGCTGTCTTCGAGCGCGCGGCTTGGGGCGTCGGAGGTCCGCAGGACGAGGGGCGAGCGGGTAATTGCTACAGGTCGGGAGTGTCAGTACTTACGTTGGTGTGGTTGTGTATACACGGGCAGATGGATTAATCGAATAGAGAGATTGAAAAAAAATAGACGGAGAAAGGAGCGCGAATACTCACGCGGCACGCCCAGAAACACAAAGCGACGCGCACCAGCATCGTACAAGTCCGCTACGAGCTCGAAATAGCGTGCGATTATACGCTGCACCCGCGCCGTCTCGTCGTCCATCCACCAACTGTTCCCCACGTCATTGACGCCAATCCACACAGCGAACGTGCTCGCGCCCGCGGCGCGCCAGTCAACAAGGTGTGCGTTGTCCGTGAAGATGCGAACCTGGTCGCCAAGGCTAAGCACAGAAGGGGTATACGGGGCGACGAGGGCGGCGTCGACGGTCGCGCCGCCGGAGGCGAAGTTGTATGTTAGGACGAGGGAGGTGTTGTATCTGGTGGTGAGGTAGCCGAGCCAGTTTGGGCCGCCGGAGGTGGTCCAGCCAGGGAAGGAGGGGTTGCCTATGGGGTTTGAGCGGGAGGGCAAGGCGAGGGAGATGTTGAAGCCTGTTTGGGAATAGGAGTCGCCGAAGGTGAAGAGGTGGTGTGGTGAGGTTGGTGATTTGGGGGATGTGAGGGCGGTGCTGAGGGCGGCGAGGAGGAGGGTGCTGAGGGGGGTGAGGAGGAAGGCGAGCATGGCGTGGAGGAGTGTGTGAGTATCACGCGAGGGGTCGGTTTGGGTTGCGGAGCTCGATTGGGAAGAGGGTTTATGTATGCCATTGTTATGGCGGTGCGGGTGTTTAGTAGTCATGGATGATGTGGGTGGTATATAGCTATAGTGAATGGCCTATGGTGGATGGGTTTTACCACATGAGAGTTCGGAAGGCGAGGCCGTTAATCCTGGTTGTGCCGGTAGAGATGAAGGCTAGGGACTATGCATGTTAATATCCATCCGGGGTGTATATCCGGGAGCGAGGGAAGTGATGGCGACGGTGTATTCAGGGTTATGAAATTGAATAATAGTACGTACCTAGCTTTGAAGCAGAAGTGACGTTTCCATTCATAGTCCAAACAAATATCACATCCGTACCCCTTGTAGCGTGGCTGTTTGCCTTCTTGACACTGTCCGAAGATGAATTTATCATCAACTTTGATGAAAGAAGTCAGGTGGCCATGCTCGGTTGTCCAAAATATGTAGTATGGATTAGTATTAAGTATTCTTAGTTTGCATTTCCGCCAATCTAGTGGAGGGACCAGCATGCACGAGCCGATCCGATCCGCTTCGGCATGGATTCTTCCGGCCGTAGAGAAAGTCATTGCGACTTAGACCGCACTGTGAAAGTGTAATGGTACGCAGAGACTTTTAGTTTTCCATGTATACACTTTACATTGTGGCATGGATCCCCATGGCGAGTTCTTGCAGTATAGCTTCTGTGACTGGTTACTATGATTTAGTCTAGAAAGGAGAACCAAGTCTCTGTAAGGCATGCTATGCACAGCGACCTTTTTGGGAGTCTGCAATGGATGTTTCTGTCTTCGTCTATATGATGCCATATTTCGTGATGCCTCTTGGCCACGGATACGTATATGCGTTTCGTAACATCATATCTTCGTGCTTTGTCAATGCTCTGTTCTGAATTCAGATCCTGCCTTGATCCCAATCGTGCGCCTGTAATCGCTGAGTCGCGTTGGCAGGATGAGATTGACTTGATCGAATGCCTGAAGTGTGCTTAGAGACTCGAGCGGTTTCGAAAAGCCAGATGTAGGATGCGATCATATACAGCTGGATGTGCACGCGATGCTCGTAAGGGTGGTAGAAACTACAGCATGTGAACAGTCCTGAGTAGTTGATTGGCTTCCATCCCAGTCAAAGGGTAGTGCCAGAGTACGCGGGGGAGCGGCTGAAGCGCATCGCAGCTAAAGCCCGATTCCAACCGTAGGCAGGGAAGTTCTGTCGCAGGAGGTTTGAAGACTGTAAGATCAGAATATTTGCGGTTTTGGATGTGCACAGTAGAGTAGAGGATCAGTGCGATAGTGTGATGTTGTTGAAGCTTTAGTATCCAAGTCTCGTTCTCGTTGATAGCACGCTAACCGTGAAAACCTACTGCCAAGAATTCGTTCATTTGAGCCCACACACTTCATCTTTTCCCATTATCTTCGTCTTCTTCGTCCTCATCTACATCCTCAACTTTAGTTAACGCTACTCCATCATTCATTTCTTCATCCTCTCTCGTTAACGACAGTCTACGGATCCTTTGAGTATATCATGGTCCTAGCAGAACTGACCTTCGATTTATAGTCTCAACTCTTAAGTCTTCACTTTGCACGTCAAAGTAGGCCTAGCAGACAGCCTGAGCATGTCAATGCCGTGATTGGAATTGGCAGTATACATTTTATCTCATTCTCATTCTAGCTCTCGCTCTCTATTTTCTTCTTGCTCAGCTGTGGCAGTCTCAATTTATTCTTCCTATCTTCTTCTCTTTGCGTCACAACACAGCTACACTTTTAACTGCTAGAGCCTCCATCGTGAAACCACGAGAAAGAGCATGCAAACCCGAGTGTACTGCCAATCTGAGACTGCTATCATCTGAAAACTTGAACCACCCATATGATCAATACCAGGGCTGACAATGGACATGCAAATCTTTCGTCCCTGGACTGCCAAACGGTCCAGGTAGTCTTGACTAGCACTGCGTATTGACCCCTAGAGGCCTTGATATCTGTTCATGGTGTTAGCATGTCTCTCACCACATCTTCGAGATCGTATCCAAAAAGATTCCAGCATCAGAAATGGTTGTAGTTTTTTAGTTTTCATTGCGCACGATGATGACCAGAATCCACCCCTCAGAGGCTTTATGATGACAGTGTGCCACCTAGAACCATGCTGAAGGGCCTGAACTCCGTGCATTATCGACGCTAAACCTGTTCTTTTTATACCGGACGGTTCGTGGATTATGTCGCCTTCTGTGGTGCAATAAGGGTCAACAGAGCCACGCCTTCCTGTACCGGTACAGTGCTCATCATGGAGGGTATAATGCAAGGCAAAGGAGCATTTGAACAGTCTTACCAATGTCCAGATATACCATGGTATATCCCGCCTTCTGACCGCCCTCACTGGACATATCAGGTCGCAAGTCCTCCACCTCAGACAAACTACCCTCGGACCAAATGCTCTGGGTGCATTGCAAGAGAATGTACTCGACGGTTACCGACCGCATCCCACGGCAAGGAGTATCCTCGACGGTGCCTGCGCAACTCGTTAGCATCTTCTTCAATTTGAGTGTGATGTCTGTTGCCAAAAATATTGATATTTCAGAAGTGGTAAGCAGTGTAGAAGTTTTTATTCACAGTGCAGACGACAGTAGTCAGGAACCCTCCGTGCCCTATTGTCGCCGCTTCAAATGGTCTTTTCCCCCCTAGTATGAGCGTAGACCCGTCACACCTGCTACGCTTTCCATAACTCGGAGTGGTCCGAAGACATATTCCAACAGGTGCCACACATCAAATACTAAGGGAAGAGTTCATCATAACGGATGTTGTAAGGGAGTAGAGTTGACTGGAGACTCTTACCACAATGAGGTCCATCAAGCTGATTGATGACCCACCTTGGAACTTTTCTTGTCGTAGCTGCTACTACACTTCCCAAGCTCTTCGATGTATACTTCCTAGCGTTCGTCTCGCGTGAAAGCTCGATTCTGTTGACGAGGTTTTTTCTCGACTAAGCTTGTTACTGCTGAGCTTGCAATGAAGCAGGTACAGACGAATACTTGAAAGAGATGTGATTGCGTCACATGATGCCAAACTTTCATGACTTCGACGGTGTTCCATAAGCTTGTGATCAGGGCGATAGTAAGGTGAAGCGAAAGGTACATACCGGCCGCGAGAAGAGATTTTCTTGCTTACTCTCACCATTTCTCCCAGAGACACGAGAGTTCTTGTGGACTGTTGCCCATGCGGGTTTCGCATGGTAGCGATACAAGTCGCGGGTCCTGCTATCACGTCAGCTCCTATGGCAACTATAAGGACTTGGCCAATTACCTTCGAGGTAGAGTCATAGTAAGGTAAAGTGTACCTCAAGAATCGCTGGTGTCCATGACGACACGATGGTGACTCAAAGGCTCAGTCGATCGAACACTGTGGAAGTATTCAATGAGATAGTGACGAACAAACCGTTGGAGCTTCAGACGTTACCTTTGTAGGAGCTATGGCGTTGATGCACGCTCTGACGGCTTCTACAATACGTAGATTCGCCAGTGAGCTCTCGAAAGTAAGTCCTTGCTGTGATAGGGGGTGTGTGCCAATGGCACAAGTATCGCAAGCCATGTAAGCTCAGCTCACTTGACTGTAAGGTGAGGAAGGAATCATCAGCGTGAGAGAAAGTCGTGCCACAGGTCGTAGGTGTGTGGGAGAGATGGGCGGGTGTGTGGTCAGGTGAAATTGTTTGTTTTGCTGACAATCTCAATCCTGACCTGTGGGCTTGGCAGGGCGCTCGGTCATCTCGAACAACCACCCACACTCACTTTGTCGTGGAATATAAGTCCCTTTGCAAGTGCATTCTTCGCCCTTCGGGGCAGGCCCTTCGGGGTCTTGGACAATTTGAAACGATACAGAGAAGATTAGCACGGCCCCTGCACTAAGGATGACGTTCTTAATCAAAGAGATTACACATTTTTTTTGCCATTTTTTGGCACCGGTTCGACTCTGGGCTATGCTCCTCTTTTGCAATGATTTTATTTTCAGACACTGTAGGCGGGGAAAGGGGGGCATGGTATGGGCTACTATCAGCTGCCGCGCAGACGGTAGACTGTTCACAGGGACGCAGCCAGATCAACTTTTTGCCTCAGATCTGATGAGAGAAGGGAGATTGCGAACTGACTTTCTTCACGCCCATTTGAGATTCTGCCGCTTGATGCTCTACTTTGACACAATCATGATGATGGTCTTTCTCCTTGAACTTCCGCCCTGGACGCCCCAGAACAGTCTCGTGTCCCTCCACACACAACATCGGAACACCTCCATCTGCTGTCTCAATCCTCCTTTCCAATGGCCCACGGTAAAATCGAACCTTCGTTGCTGAATCACCCATCACACATCCAGCGCATACAAGATTTGTACTCCTCGCTGACCATCTGCCCTGCATCAGGACATGCACGACACACCTCTGTAGCCTTCTTCACCAGCTACTAGTAAGCAGCCCCATCCCTCCCTTTTTTCTCCCACGCTCTATTGCGTGCTGCTACTCCTTATTAGCGACTCGGGCAATCAAGAGATGAACAAGGTCGCTCATATACATATCTTCAAACCTCTCAGACACCAAGGCCACGCACTGTCGTGAAGAACGCAATGATGACTACAGACATAGCAGCTTCGATAAAATCACACTGGTGCTCAATGAACCGTTTAAAGTCCAGCATATAAGAAACTGAAAAATGTCGACAGGCTGGCGGAGTGCACGTCGTCGAAGCAAGCCGGCCGTAGCAATTTGGTGCCGGCTACCTGCTCGTGGTGGAGTATTTACAATGTGTTCAGCAAAGGGTGGAGATTGGTCGTAGCCAGGTGGCTGGATTAATGCTTCTCCTGATACACTCTGGCTAGAAATATAAGAACATAATGGGTATAGAGGAAGAGGACGACATGGTTTTGTAGGCTGCAGAAGAAGCTGTCATTGAAGATATGGACCTCGCCCGTGGGCGGCGGCCCTGCTATGCGGTTAGGAATGATACGGGCTATATGTAGCTGTGAATGAGTGCAAGAGAGGTAGTGCTGGACGGTTCCGACAGTACTGTTTGTGTATTTCTACGCAATACGAACCGACCAAGCTGGAAGAGACGACGGGCGCAGTTTGCGTCATTGACAAACAGGAATTGGTTTAACAAATCACATCGTATAGCTCCGTTCTGCGATTACCTTGGAGAAGATGACAGAAACCTTGCGGGTTCAGCGCTTGTCAGAGCACAAAAAGAGTGGTTGTGCTTCGATTCCAGCTTCATGCTCTCATGAGTTCGATACTATCCTCCCGAAATGACTTCAGGTCCGCATTTGTAACATGCTGGAATACGATTGAGATGAGTGCTGCTGTTTGTCATTGTACAACCCTTTTACAATGCTCCTAGGATTCTCGCGCACCTACCCAAACGCACCACTCGGTACCAGACATCTCACCTTACTCCTCGCGTTTTCGGCAGTACTTCCTGTTTCGACAGACGTACCTTATTAGCCTTCCTCATCAAAGCACCCTATGGTTAAAACACTTCTCATCGATACAAGTTGGCTACACAACGCGACATGGCTCGACTTAAGATCACACACGGCATACATGGCCTTGAAAGATGAATGTACTTCCAATCCTGGCTGCTCCTATTCGCAAGCAGCATTTTGGGAGCAGATCTAATTAGCGCTCCTATCACAGCAATCAAGAATGAGCCATCATATTGTGCGACAAGTCAAGGCACGCGACTCCTAGAATCCGAATCAGAATTGGTTGACCAAGACGAACTGAATGAATTCAGCGGGATATCAGAATAGTCGGATTGGTGCGAACTATGCGCTTTGCCGTCGCCATCTCAAGGTAGCTATATATCTACAGACTTTACGATCTTAATTCTAATGGTTGAGAAAACAGTTACCGGGAGCGCATCTCCAACACCCTCTCCACCACCTCAAAACAACCACAATCTACGCAAACGCCAAAACTGCCAACCTCCCTGTCAACGCGCCCAACACGACAGACCCAGCCGCAAAGATCCTAAACCTAGTCATGATGCGATTCGCCAAGCTCTGATACAACGAATGCACAACTCGCACCGCAACATAACCCCAGACACCCGCAAGCGTATACACACTGTCATCACGCACGAGCGCCAGTGCCAGCGTGACGGCATAGAACACCGTCGGCTGCTCGTGCAGGTGGTTGTAGTTGTTTGCGACGCGCCGGTACTCGATGGGCACTTTGGTGGCGAGCTCGGCGTCATTGATAGAGGGGTCCATGCTGATGTTGTATCTGCCGATTGCCTGGATGCGGGTGGTGTGCATCCAGATTTGCTGCACGAAGGTCCAGCCTGCGAGCGTGGCGAGAGGCTACGGGGGTGGGGTTAGTAGGGTGTGTGATGGGAAAAGGGAGGGGATGGACCTTGATGAGGGGGGATATGCTGTTATTGTTATTAGAGGCCATGGCTGCGGGAGGATTGGTAGAATCGGGGTGTTTCGTTGTGTGATCAGATACAGACTGGGACGAAGAGTAGCGCAGAGACAAAAGAGTGGAGTCAGTGTGATGAGATAGGATGTCTATATAAGCATCGGAATCAAAGTTTGGATGACCTCGGGCAGACGCGAGCTTGCCTAACTGCGTATAGTTTCCGTTTCCCCGCATACGCATAACATACTACCTGATCTGGAGCTATGAAGCTGGGGTTCCCCTTTGAAAATGATCCTGAACCATTACTGCAGCATTGTGTTCTGAATGTACTATGATTCTGAAGGCCATTCTCACTCAGGTCATTCATGTTGACAGAGCGAAATTTGCTGTCATCAAGCAAGACGATTAAGAGTACGAGCAATCTCCTTTTTATAAACCTGCATAGAGAAAGGCTTAAGTCTAATTTGTTGCATAGAAAATGTTTGACTACTTCGATGTACATCGTCTTCAAGTTTTGCGCGGTCTCTGTTGCGTTTCCCCTTTTTTATGTTGAACACAGAGATGACGTCATTGCACACTGTGATTGACCTGGGCACGAGCTCAGAAGTATCTGCCATCTCTGACAAGGTTACCATTAATATTGGGCCATTCCATGTTCTGTCATTAGGGCCTGCTCACTATTTTAAGATTGTAGCTAAGAGAATATGCTCAAAGATCATATATTCCTAAATCCATAACATGCTCGGATATATGGCATATATAGCACGCTGAGGAAAGATATATAGCAGGCTACGACATAATCGTCAGTCATACACAGAGGCAACTATAGAATGATCCTATTATTTAGAGCTGACCCTGTGTAGAGGAAGGTGCGATATTCATTAGGCGGCATGTGAAATGAACCTTTCTTGCCAGTAGTTGAACATCGTACACATGAGCTCGATGTGGAACATGACTAATGATATCTTGTCTAGTAGCCGATTCACCATTGTGTTTAAAGTTCACTTGCGAGCTTATATATCTTCATCTTATAAAATGCAAGTCAAGTTTCTGTGTCTTGTAGTACCGATACACCGGATACTATGAAGCTTCTTGCGTAATCGTGCTTAAAGACCTTGGTGAATACCTGTGAACCCTTGGTTAAATTCTGTTAACACGCTCGTTCTATGTTTCAACCTCATGATCTGACTCTATTTTTGGGGCATGCGCAACCATTCTTATTTCCCACAAGTAGTATATCGAACCCATTTTGTTGTGATGTAGACATATATAGCTTGTGTGGCAGTGATGCATCAATATACTTCTTCTACAACATTGTCCGAATACTTCGACGATCCCACCCGGGAAGACTGGAAAGCTGTCGTGAATCTAATATATGCATTGTGCATACTACGAGTAGCATCACTACATTCAATAACACGCACTCATATCGCGGCTGTGAAGGAACTTCTTACGGCACCAGACCTTTCACAAGGTATTCTTCGATTATGTGACTTGTTATTCGACTCACTTATTTAAACTACAAAGATTCGAGTTCTACCTCAATATGATACATGATCTCCAAGTCACACATATTCCCATCTGTCCACAAAATGAGCGACCCAACCAGCGCCTGGATACGTCTTTACCAGCAAGGAGGAGCCCCACTTGTATTATGTACCGGCTTGATCTCGTTCGTGAGTCTATTTGAAAGTCGCTACTAGCTTTTATTAACATTTCTAACGGCTTCAGGCTGTTGGGATCTTCGTCGGTCTTGCTGTTTGCAGCGAAGAGCCACCACCAGAGCCAAACAGTCTTAACTCAACTGTAGAGTGGGTCAAGTGTAAGCAGAGAGTTTCAGGGGTGCGACAGTCTGCAGACGCGCCCCCTCGACCGGACGGGGTTCCTAAAGGAGAACCGGACCACTTAGAGGGGTGGAGAAAGTTTGTCGAGATTTCAGAGCAACGGTCTTCCAGGCTCTTCGGATGAAAGGTAGAGCCGCGGCAATCTCAATTTAGTTCAATCATGTTCGTAGTGAGACACTTGCATTATTCTTCAGGCACATGTACACTAAGAGAATGAAATAGAGACAGTTTTATGAAAGCAACATTGTTCCGGTGCACTATTTGGAGAGCCGGAGGGACGATGGCTTGAGAAATATTGATCTGAAGCTCTGAGAACGAAGGAATGCATCCATGCATCAGATCACCGATTTCCAGTTTCACAAAGTCCCACGCCCAGACATAGAGCCTAAATATGTGGTCAGTATCATCTATAACACATCTGTATATAACATTTAACAAACAGCTCCCAGAATGGGACTCAGAAACTCATTTTGACGAGCATTGGATTATGAAGGCATGTCTTTATTATGCTTTTATAACTTCGTCTCCAAGCTGTCGTGGAATGTCTGATGATAACGAAGTAAATGGTCTCTAGGTATATGTATATAGTTCTCCATACGATGGTTGATTCCAAGATTAGGACTCTCCTTGATCTCTTGCTACGCTCACTGCGATCTCCGAGTCACTTTCACAAGCACTCGGTCCAGTCTCGCCCCGGTCTTCACCATTTGCAGCAACGTCTTCCGCACTCTCACAAGCCTTCATCGCAGTCTCACCTTGATCTACTACACTCACAGTGATCTCTGACTTGATCTCACCAACCTCAGTCGCGGTCCTCCCTTGCTCTTCTGTAATCACAGCAACCTCTTCCCCACTCTTACAAGTGCCCGTCACAGTCTTCTCTTGATATTCTACATTCACAGTGACCTCCTTCTCCTCCTCGCTCTTACAAGCCCCGGTCTCGGTCTTTTCTTGACCTTCCGCATTCGCAGCGCCCTCCGTCTCCTCACCCTCACAAACAAATCCAATCTCAGCGAAGATTTTGTGGACTTCTTCCTTGTACCTTTTCTGGTCTTCAAGCTTCTTGTCTATAAAGTCGAAAACGTTTGTATCCCAAAGGTTCGCTAATGCTTTTCCCTCAGGGTCCATTTCAAACTCCGTGTAAAACTTCGGCTGGAGATGCTGTTCAAAAATCGCCGGAAACGCATTGATGCTACCTAACGCCATGGAGAACCAAAGCCTCCCTGTATCCCAATCCTCGCGCAGCTTTTGACTGTACATGCTGGAATGCTGTCCCTCAATTTCCTCTCTTTCAAGAACGGTAAGGAACTCATCGTAGAGGGCTTTGTATTCATCAAGGTCCGGCCCGGCGAGTTGATCGACGCCTTTGTCACTAAGCCAATACGGCACATGATTCATCTGCACAGGACGAACAGGCGCAAACTCAAAGTCAATCAATCGCGTAATGTTCCATTCGTCGTCGACAAGAATATTGCTTTGATGTAAGTCAGCCAGGGTAAGAACGAAGGGACCATTGCGTGTGTGGTGGTCCCAGAACCGAGAAATCAGGCTTCGCAAGGCCGTAAGCGCTGAAAGTTGGTATAAGCCGTCAGTAATACTGAGGATGGAGTTTAGCTGGTAGCGCATGCGAGTGTCCTGCAGAGTAAGCAGGTCGTGAACAAACGGCTGCGTGGAAGAATAAGTCATGTTCTAAATGACTCAGTATTAGTAGGAGAGCAATGATATCAGACGTCCCACATTCCTTGAGATTTAAGAAGGGTTTTACCTACTCTTGGTATGTCTGTCGGAATGCGGTGTCTACTCCATAGAAGTGTGAGGTCCAGAAGCGGGCGATTCGTTAGCGAGATAACACCTCGGTCGTCCATTGTCCAAGAGCCAATGCGAGGGAGTGGTACGCTCGCCAGACTGAGCATGATTTTGGCGAGGCTGCGATAGAGATTGCCTTGCCGGTTTTCGTCCCCACGATGTTTAGCCCAGCTAGAAGAGAGCATTCTACCTTCTTCCACGTATTCCATGAGCAGATAGCCATGATCGAAGAGGCAGTTGCGTTGGTGGGCGAAGTAAGGTGGAAGCGTGCTCCCGTGCATCCATGTTAAGCTGCGTCGCACATACCAAACAATGCGGTTCCATAGGGATTCATTTTCGATCGCTGTAAACTGAAAGTCCATTCGTCAACACATGGCTATTAGCATTCACTAGGTTGGATAGATAAGTACCGACTGCATTCCTGGAAACCCCATCCCTAACAAGCGAGGGATAGGTATAGTAGGGCAGTTGCTCTGCAGCCAAATATATGTCGCTGCTTCGCAACGTAGCTTTTCATCAGCATTCCCGGGATCAAAGGTCTCTCCAACACCGAAGGGAAGCGGAAAGCGAATGAGAGCCCTTTGGGGAAGCTTCAGATGGTGAGTGCTGCTGATATGGATTGGCAGACAGATATTGAAGCTGCCACATATCCATTCCGCACGTTCGCTCAGCACAAAATCGGACTGTGATATACCTAGATGGCGATGAATGAGATTCTCGATTTCTGAGCGGCGCAAATTGAGTGCATCTTTGAATTTGATGGTGTTTTGTAAACTATAGAGCTTAGGGGTTATGTCAGCATCAGTATCCAGTGCCTCTTCTTCTGTAAGAGCCGTTTTCGGAGTTGCGACTTTGATTACACCCATCATAATATCGATCACGCACAGCCCGGTGGCATAACGTGTGAAATAAGATGGAAATACTAATGGTGATGCATGTTGATGATGGCAGGATTCAGCGCCTGATCGGAGTAGAGTTAGCGGAAATTGCAGTCGATTGGAGTAACAGGCAGCAGTGATCGGATGGGGCGTTTCACCCATTTCTTCGGAGTGAGTAACTTACTAGCTGGTCAAAGTCGCTATCTGGCCTAAATAGGCATAGACTGCTGCAGGCTTCACTCTTCCACCTCTGATACCCCAGAGTACGGCCCGAAGAGTAATTCTATAGAGTAACAAGATCATTTCAATAGAATTATAGGATATATCATTGATAGGAGACAGAGACTATGGAAGTGAGGTTTTGAGCAGGCCAGTTGCTAGTCCCGATTCGGCGGCGAAGACCGCCCAGTTGGCAGTCACCAGAGATAACTTGGCCTATCACGATGAAAATAAGGGAGCGAAGAGTATAAAGGTACTAGTCATTCAATCTAGAAATAGGCTAGGGACTGCGAGCCTCAATGGGGCGGCTACACAGGAACTCTTGATAGAAGCAGCAGGATGGGGGAAACATAGTCGAGCTCTGATACCTGGATCTAACATTCGAAAGAACACAAGAGGGCAATCAGGGGGAAAGCTTCGATGACCTGTAGGCTTTACATGTGGGTGTTTCTAAACGACCCCTGTACCCCAAATGAGCGCTCTGTGGGCTTATGTAACGTATTAATCTCAGACTGCCAGTCCGTAGCATTCATCATGAATAGATCTCAGAGGGTATACAGCCTTCGAGGTCTAAGATATATCTACGATATGTAGGGAGAGAAATCGCGCCAGAGAAAGTCCTGGGCTATTGACAGCTCCATAATTACGCATCCGCTACCACTTTCCTCATAAATCGCAGGGCTGTGCAGACGTACAAGGACCGCAGCTATATTGGACCAAAAGACACAAGTCAAGAATCAATAGCCAACGCAACACAAATCATGTACCGCCACAATCTACACTCACTCGCTATGCGAAAAAGATGCACATCATACATGCAAGTACCGACCCGGAAGACATGAGGAGAGACAGCCAGTCAGAGCCACGGTATATATTGATAAGCGTGATAACACTACACAGAATGTGCTATCGGAGACTTCGCACCTTCATACGACATAAAGACCGATATGATAGCTTCAAAACATGCATTGGTTGTATGCATGATTTGTCCAAATATCAACAGATTCCCTTATGCTGATGTATCGGCTTGCAGCTGCCTGTCTGTGACCTGGGATTGAAGGGTGTGTTATACCACACAGGACCCAAAGTTGACCAGGCCATAATTCGATGTATCTGTGGGTTGACCAACTAGCGTAGTTGCTAAGGTTGCTACAAGGCGCGCCACGACAATTGTGTCAGCAAAGCGTTTGGTACCAAGCGCTTTAGCTGCCCACGGTCCGTATCATCGAGTGTTATTCGAGAATTCAAATTCATGTTTTCGCTGTTGGATTGCTCTTCAAGTGCCACGAAACAAGAACTGCAAATCCTCTGGCGACAGCTTGTCCATAGCGACTTTGTCATTATTGATGGTACCACTAATCATAGCGGCTTTCTTCTCTTGTAATAATACCATCCTTGATTCGACAGAATCTTCAATGACTAGTCGTGTGATCACACATGGACGTTTTTGTCCAATTCGGTGGCAACGATCAGCAGATTGCCATTCCGCAGCAGGGTTCCACCAACTGAATTGAAATTAGCACTCACGCCGTTCTGATAGCAACTAGAATAACTTACGGATCCACGATGAACACACGAGAAGCTTCTGTGAGGTTGAGAGCCACGCCACCTGCTTTGAGCGATACTAGAAAGACTTCCACATCTGCGTTTTTCATAAAATATTCGATGCTTTTCTGACGCTGCGCAGGTGTCATAGATCCGTCGAGCATCACAGTATTGAAACCAGCACGACGAAGTCGCCACTCGATAAGCTGCAGCATGGACGTGAACTGCGAGAAAACAATGGACTTCAGGGTTTGCTTCTTGCTACGCAACTTGTACAGATCGTATACAAGCATCTCGATCTTGCTGGACGACGTCCAGTTTTCCATCTTGATGCGATTGATGATCGACGACTTTTTGACCATGTCTTCATCCTGCTCGATGTCCGGTTGTTCAAGGTCAATGGAAAGTGCAATGTGGCAACGTGGGCAGTCAGGACTATCATCGCCAGCGGACTGAATGTATGACTTGATGCAGGAGCGGCAAAACTCGTGATGGCACCGAGATCGAATAGCTTCCTCGGCCGGTTCATCGCAAATGTTGCAGACCAGGACATTCTGACCACCTTCACTGTGTTTCTTCAGGAGAAGGTCTGGATGGTTTGCGACCTGGCGCATCTGCATGATGAGACCGAAGATGTTGGCGTAGTTGTTCAGCATGACACCCTGCGCAACGTAAGTATCGAACTTGCGTGTCGTGTTGGTCATAATGGATGATGAAAAGTCTCGCTCGATCTCGCCGAAGAATTCGTTGTGAATGACTATCTCTTTTGGTGGTAGTTCCATGGACGAAGTATGATCGCGTTTCATCCGCCGCAACATCATGCGCGCAGTTATCATGTGAAGTTTGTCCATGGCGTCTGAACGGAGCGCCGCAACATCTCCAGTTATGGGGTTGAGGAGCTCTTGATTAAATATAGACACGTGTTCGGCACCACTATGGTCGCAAGCAGGACACATGTGTTCATCGTTAAGAGCCCAGTGAAGTTGCTCGCAATCGCAACTTCGGCAGAAGTAATCGGCAAATGGTCGAATTTCAAGGAACCTGAGCAGAGAGAAGAATTCACCGATGCGGTTCTGTACAGGTGTGCCAGATAAACACCACTTGTAGTCACCTTGAAGAGCGAAGCATGCTTTGGCGACTCCAGTATTACGAGATTTGATGCTGTGGGCCTCGTCTAAAATCAGTCTGTGAAACTTGATTGCCATCAGCGCAGATGCTTCTTTGATGATATCGTCACCACGAGTCCATCCCTTGGTTTCCTTTCTGTGCATTGACTCGAGGCTGTTGTAGGACACAATGATGACATCGTACTTTTTCAATTCTCTAACGGACATGTTCTTGGTTTTTGAGTTTGTACCATGAAACACAAGAACTTTCAGAGTGCCGTCCGTGTATTCAGCGATCTCATTGGACCACTGCATGAGAGCCACAGGTGGGACCACGACCAACGAAGGAGCCCTTGCCGGATAGTCGGACATGATGAGCGACACGGCCTGAATGGTCTTGCCCATTCCCATCTCGTCACCGAGAAGTCCCCCTCTATATTGTGTCTTCTCTTGTCTCATCATCCAATTGAGACCTTCAAGCTGGAAAGATTTTAACTTCCTGTTGATAGACGGAGGTTGGGTAGCTTCAACAGGTTTAAGGACCGGAATGTCTGCCAGATCTTGCCACATGGTTAAAAGTTTAGGATGCGCTTCTTCAAGTCTATCCCGATTCATAGCCCTTTTTCGGTCCCATCGATCACGGATGTGCGCAAACTTTCGCAGGCGCCTGTTAGACTCTGCTTTCTTCGCCCGCTTCTTGCTATTCGCAGCTATCCGAGCAGCAGTCTTGGGACGAGAGGGACCGGCATTCAGGTCTTCAAATATCGCAGGGTCAGGGAGCAAGTCTCTGATGGGTACATCTGAATCTCCATCGGATGCAATGCCCAGAATTTCTGACGTATCGAGGATGAATTCGTCCTCGGAGCCTTCTTCAGACACATCTTCATCGACGAGATCGGTGTAGGAACTTAACAGTTGACGAGCTTTGTTGCTGGCGCGCCGGACAACTTTACTCTTGGTGGGAGCCTTAGTCTTCTGTCTTTTGCGAGGAGGTGTAATGGTTTCAAAGTCTGAGCTGTCCAGGGACAATGCTTCGGAGAGTGCATCGTCCTCGGAATCATCAATGAAGCCTTTGCCAGCGCTCGAAGCAGCCCGATTCTTGCCTTTTGACATATCGACTTCGTATTCTTCCGCTTGGAGTGCCAAGGCGAGTCTGCGGTCAGCTTCCGTCTCTTCGCCCATTGAATCTTGGGCCAAAGCCACCGGGTGCCCAGGTTTCGAGCGAATTGCAGGAGTGACCGACATGCTTGTGCCAGGTGTTTCATACTCTGCTGAAGTGTCTCTGGATGACGCTTTCGAGTCTACGGATGCTGTTGACGTGCTATTTGCCACGCACTGAGCTTGTGGCTTGCGCATATTGACTATTGCAACCTCTTTAAGGAATCTACGATTGTGTCTCTTAAGTCGTGGTGTTCCTGTTTGACGCTGCCCGGTGGTGATGTCATGGACTGGATCTGGAGGTGTGTGGGCCAATGACGAGCGCAAGGATCTTGAAGAGCGTGTTATGAGTGTATCAGCGTTCTGCTCAGACTTGTGTGCGGAAGCTGCAAATGCATTAGTGGCAAGAACATGGTGTTGTGTTGTGGGGTTGCGGGTTGCCGTACTTGGATCTTTCCGATTCATTGGTGGCCTGCCTCTGGGAGCCATTGTGTGAATTTATGAAGGACTGACTGAGGGAAGCAAATGATTGTGATTGAGGACCAGAGATGTGAGAAGGAGAGACGGATGCTGTGACAAAAACTCGCAAAGGTTATAACGTACATGAGATGATAGATAATGCGTTTGCCGCCCCCCTAGGCGTGGCTAATCGATCGTCCCGCAGCGATTGGCGATACGGAGACGCGCTACTAGAGGAAACGAGCGAGTGGCGACCACGAATTGGACACGATGCACCCAGAAATGTGAGGTTATGATGAGACGATGAGATGATAAAATTCAAAATAGAAGCAAAATAATTTGAACATTAATAAATACTAGAAACTACCAAGGCGCCAGACTTTCGTGAAGACCTTCCAGATTTCTTTGTATGGAGGGCTGCCTAATCCGCCACTGACGCGACGCATCACGTCAGCACGTGATTCATTTTCCGTCCGAGTCTGGCATAGCGCAAACATGTACAAGGTGGAAAGTTCCATCGCCAGGCCTCCAAGCCCGCACGCAAGCCTCCCTCGCCAAATTGAGACTTGTAGACATGCTGTAGGTTTTTGGTGCTGGATACGACGGACACAAGATCAGCATTCAGAATGCTGAGCATTGTGTATACACAGAAGCAACATGATACCATAGGACAATTTCATAGTTGGCATACAAGCTTTCAGAGTTTTATTACATACCAGACCAAGAGCGAGTGCCGTCACTCGCCCCAGTTTCTCGTTACAATATATACATGAGAGTGATGTGATGCTCTCTTAGTTTACATGTTTACCATAAAATGGAATGCCATATGCCTCTAAGAGTAGGCGCGCATCTCGGTCGTTGACGGCCGATGTGTGTACTGTAACATGGAAGCCAGGAATCATCTGAGGTGGATATCTAAGGTTATCAGTAATTGGCACTGGCAATTGGGGTACGTATGCTTACTGGTCGAAAATCGCCTCTACCTCGGGATAGTACGCAACTTGTTCCGGGGTGAACCCAAAGCTGATATTGCCACAGCTATCACCGGACGTCCCAGAAACGCCACTGTAATCTTTGATCTTAGGCATCACCATGTCTATGGTCTTGCCAAGGAAGTCGTGTGCATCATCTACATCTAGCTTCGCCTTTACAGCTACAGTCCTGCGCGCCTTGTAGGCCCATTGCTGGACGGTCGTTCTGCTTTCGTGTGTCTGACAGCGTACATTTGTAACAGACTGCACGATCATACTGGCAACGTGGATGTAAGCGCTTTCGCTAATGCCGTCTTTGCAAAATGAATGCACAGTGACCCCCGTAATGCGCGGGACATTGCGGAAAGTGATTGGTTTTCGGACCGGCGAAAGCGTAGTCCCTCCCCGAGGCGCTCTGAGAGGTCGGTTTTCAAAATACGGAGAGTCGCCAACCCACTCTCGTAGCCGTTGTCCCGATTTTGATGGTCGTGTGCCTGGAGGATAATGCTGGTATACCAAAGTCATGTAGTCTGCGGCTATAGTCGCTTCGTGAGTCTGTTCTAGACGCGTCTTCATGAAAGGACCAGGTCGAAATGCCCTAGAAGCTGGATCTGATTCAGGAGGCGGCTGATTGGGATGAAGAGGTCCACGATAGTACTTCGGGGGTCGGTAGCGGTATCTACGATCCGAATTAGCACGAGCCAACGGCCGCGAATGTGGATGCCAAACCTGCTCGGAGGAAGCTGTTTTTTCCTTCCCCTACTCCATGATAGTGGGTCAAATTGTGCCACCAAGTCCTCTTGAGGTGCACTCGCGCCAAAGGAGGATGACGGTTCGAGATCTTCTGATGCTGAATCGAGAGCTGCTGTAGAGTTGTATCGCACAGCAAGAGCATTAGTGTGATACTGGGGCAGTGGTCGCAAAGCCGCTCGTGAGGCAGTGCGAAATGATGACACTGCTTCACGGAGGGCCATCGTTGCCAATGTGGTTGTGATGAGAAGAAAGTTTACTCCACGTTCTGTATCCTGTAGGAAGCTCAATCTTAGGGAGCAGGCCTCTTCAGCGGAATGCGGGTACGCTAGCTACCTTAGCTTAAATACCTACCTCTACTTAGATATGTGGCTGAAATGGGGATATGTGGCTGAGACGGGGCGGGGATGCTGTTGCTGCCGACCCAAACAGTCCTTGTCCGCACAGTTACCTGATTAATTTAACTACTTTGCTGCTTAACCCATTCGCATATCCCTCACATCACATATCTTAATCGATTATACTTGATCCATGGATTCTTCTCCATAGTCCCCAGCTAGATACACCGCGTCATCGTTACAAGCGTCCACGAACTTGATACCTATCTTTACCTTTACTGCCTACCCCACCGGCTTGAGCACAGCATCCCGCCTCTACAAATGGAATAAAAAGAGTTTTGACAAGCCGATATCAACCTTCAACAAGGTAAACCTCATGGATGTCTTCAACACATATTCAAGGCAAAACTATCATGAATGGCATGACCAGGTTTCTGAGCCGGCGCGAGAAACGTTCGAACCGCCCTGGCCGGAGCAAGGAGCGTAATGTATGCTGCATGTTTCCATGTCGTCACCAGGCGTATTCAAGAGTATCATCACTTTCGCCTACACTTCCGCCGGTCACAGTGTCTAGCTATCGAGCTCGATTGAATCGACGAGCTCTTTGCAACCGCTGTTTCCTCTCCCAATTGAGACGCCTTACGAGCACTTTTGGTTGCGTAAGGCTGAAGCATATATCCCTAGCATTTGGCTTATATCCTATACCATGAATGAGAACATAGCTGACCGAATACCGTGAACGACCAGAATGCACCAACCGCATCCTCCGACTTGTACGGAGTGTTCACTACGGCTGAGGCCGTGAAAGGCGACAAAGAGGAAGAGAAGAAAGTACGTCCAACAAGAAAGTAGCTTATCGAGATTTGCAATATATTAATAATTCCTGCAGGTCAAAAGTCTATCCCAGAGGTTACACAAAGTTGGGATCACGAATTTGAAAGATGCCCAGATCGAATATGCGCTCCGATCGAGCCTCAGTAATGGTGATACAGAGCAAGCATATGATCTACTGGTTCTATTCGAGGATTCTATTGTGGGTATATTGAAAGAACCTGACCCAGAGGTGCCTATGTTGGGAGCACAAAACCGTGAAATGGTTACTTGCTATCTTGATGCATTACTCTTTGCGATGTTCGCACGCCTTGACAGCTTTGAAGGAATGCTGTTCAATAATTTTGAAGACGTGCCCCGAAGGCGTCTGACTGCGCTTCTACGGTTGTGGGTCAACCTCCTTCGCTCTGGCAAATTGATAACCACAGACATAGTAAGGCAATTAAGCATATTATCATATCTATTCCTGGCCTAACGAGAAATTCAGACCCGTCACATTCAGGAGTCATTGGCAAGCTGTGGGTGGGAAGAAGCAAAGAACATATCTCAACAGGACACGTCTGAGGCCTTCACGTTTATTACCGAGAAATTGGAGCTGCCTCTATTGACTTTGAAGATGGACATATACCACACTGGCAAGGAAGACGCCCAGGACGATCACAAATTCGTCAACGAGAGGCTTCTTGAAGTAGCACTGCCTGATGCAGGACCTGATTCGGGCAATAGCGTCACTCTCGAAGACTGTCTCGAGGCTTACTTCAATAATAAGATTGAAGTAAAACGACATCTGCTCCAACGCCGCAGTACTTTGCAGTTGTCCAGATCAAGCGACATTAACAAAGACCAGGCTGTCCATATCGAAACACTTGAGATAGACAGTGGCATTGATTCACCAGTAACAACAACCCCAACAAGCATTAGCACCCCAACATTCTCCAAGCGGCCCTCGAAAGGCTATCTTCGAACAGACAGCATATTCAGCGAGAGATTCGTGCAAGCAAGAAAGACAAGCCTTGAATCAGACCAGAAGGCTGATAGAAAGCCCGTAGATGACCTCGCCCTGGTTACCAAACGGCGAGCAAGGGGTGGGTCAATGCGGAAAGAGGTGATGATGCCAGCGTGGCAGTTTTTCAGCTTGATACGTAAGCACTGCATAGCTGGTCTGTATTGATGTTGAAGTTTCGGCTAAGACCTAACTATAGCCTGGTATACTGACAACGCCCCCAAAAGCGATGCACAGGTTGCTGCTCACTTCTCAGCCAAGAGGCCCATTCTCGGCATCTGCCTAAAACGATATACAATGCTATCAAATGGGACACCAAAACGAATAGATACGTTTGTAGACATACCACTCGAGATAGCACTGCCTCACTTTGTTTCTGATGACAGAATGGACGACGAAGGGCCTCTATTCGGAAATTTCAAACTTTCGTTGCAATCAGTAGTATGTCATCGTGGTAGGTCCGTCAACTCTGGCCACTACATATCCCTGGTACGAGGCGATGCACGACTACCACACGAACGTAATGTCACCGATACATCACTACCACCATATCAGTCCACTCAGTGGTTCTTGTTCGACGATCTTGCCTCCCAGCGTGTAAAGAGTATTGACATACATGAGGCGCTCAGGGCAGAGTCGCCGTATTTGCTATTTTTCCGAGTCGAACCTATCAATGACGAACTCGCTCGCGGCAGCCCACCTGGCTACTACGAAGCAAGCATGAACAAGTTCTCTGCTGACGTATCAAGAGAGGACTTCAATATTCTATCAGAGAAAGAAGCTGAATACATGATTCAAGGACTACCATATTCCCCTGCTCCTGCCCCTGGGGATACAGACACGATACCGATAATCGCTACGATCGAACCCACGTCGCCCCGAGTCGAAAACACACCAGAAGCAAGACCTGTTACTGAAACAGGACATCTCAACCACGTTGCATCTGATCCTACACCACGAGCACCTAGTCTAGACCTTCCCATCGCCACCGCGCCACATCACAAATCAGTTCCCGTGGGAAGATCAAGCATGTCTAGCAATCGTACCAGCGTGGTCTTCGAAGACGTTAGTACTGCTGGCTCCATCAGTACACGGGGCAATACCGCCCCTTCAAGTCCTACTGAAGACGGTCGATTCCACCTACAGCCTGCTTCAACGCGAAGCAGCAAAGCCGAGAAAAGCAAGTCCAAAAGCCGACCCCATAGCCAAAGTGGTGAGAGTCGTCTCGCGGCTACTGTTGGTCTGTTGACTGGACGCAAGAGCCGAGATCGACTTGCAGATAGAGACGATTTTGCCGTCGAGATCAGTGATTCTGGTCTTGGTAATGGTGAGGAGCACTCGAAGCACGGGTCGATGGGAAGGTCAAAGGGTAAGCGTGTCTCAAAGAAGAAGAGGTCGAGGAGCATGGGACCGGGTGGATTCCTGGATTCTAAGGACAAGGAGGATCGACCTGATAGAGAGTGTGCTGTCATGTGAACTGTACTGCTAAAAGGAGGTTGCTTGCAATGGGACAAAAGTACAGCATCAGCATCAAACCTATATATGGCGTCTGGGAGTTTCGTACTAGTTGGGTATTGTGTCGGGTCACGGTTACAGATACCCTCATACTACTACTTGGAATGGGACCGAATGAATAGGATTGTCAATAATACTTATGCTGTCGGGTGCTTTGTCCGAACACGCGTGTCACTCTTTACGTAATTTACTGCGTTCTATGAATGCTTTGAATAGGGTACTCTTTCTCGGTGCTACCACACACGACCTAGTTAAAATCCGATCATCTGCAATGTTGGAGATCCTTTCGACATGTATATAGCATTCTTGCCTACATCCATCACCGATTTCACCAAAACTATCTCTATCATCCTACGTCGATACATCTCTACAAACCCATCACAGTGCAGTCAATCGGACATCATGAACTTGTAAGCGCAGACAAACAAATACATCCACACTGAAAACATCCTGGTCAAAACTTTTACATTGGGCGGTCCAAGGAACAAAATATGGTTCATGTACACAATATGTCGTCTGTCTTATGTACTATTTATACAGAGCAAGAATCTGAAGCTTGCCTACTATCTGTTACTTCTTCTGCTGCTCACCGGACTCCTTCGGGGGCACGACGGAATCGGTCGTATTAGAGTCCTCTGGGGTTGTGGGAATTGGAGTGGGAGCTGGGGCTTCGGCTGTGGAAGTGGGAGTGGGAGTAGGAGTAGGAGTGGGAGTGGGAGCTGGTTCAGAAATATCTTCGACGGATATAGAAGCAGTGACTGGTTCAGATACTGGTACCTCCACGGGTGTGGATGCTACAGCTGGTTCTAGGACGTTTTCCATGGGTGTGGATGGTACAGCTGGTTCTGGGACGTCTTCCACGGGTTTGGAAGTAGTAGCTGATTCTGGCACGTTTTCAATAGGCGTTGTAGTGCTTGTTATCCCGGCATTGGCCTGCTTTGAAGCGGCCTCCACAGTCGCAGATTCTTCCGGTGATACATCAGTCACCACGGGAGTCTCTACAGGCGTTTCTACTCCGGGTTTGACCTCGTGTTCGCCTGGTTCTGCTTCTTTTGACTCATTGATCAAAAATTCCAGTTCTTGCTCGGCAAGCTGAGGCTTGTCCTCTTGGCTGTATGTGCCCTTGCTGGCACCCGCTGTAGCCTTCGCTTGTATAGATTCCAGAAGTGCTTTTTCTTGTGCTTTCTCCAGACGAGCGCGATCCTGCGCTTTTTTCTTGCGCGATTCTTCTATCCGCTTTCTCTTGATTTGTTCATTGCCTTCACGTTGCTTGCGATCCTGAATCTTGTGTTGGAACTTCCCTCTGTCCAGGGCTTGCTCTTTTTCGATCTCAGCCAAGATGCCCGTGTGTGACGGGTGCCGTAGCTGCTCGCGGACCTTTCTCGAGTTTACCATATCTGCTCTTGTACCAAAGTTTTGCCAGACAGCCTGTATATCTTCTTTCTGTTCGTCCAGAGACTTCTCAACAGCTTCAGCGACATGTAGGCTTTCGTGCTCCCAGATATTGGCCTTCATGCCCACACCATGGTATTGGTGTTTCTTCAGAACACCCAGCCATATGCGCACTGTTTCAGGGTGGCCATCTTGTATCTGTATGAGTCTCCTATGTGTGATTCGCTCGAAATTCTCCTGTGATTTCTTGTGGATGAAATTGCTTCGTGGCACTGTCCATCGTTCCGTGATCCGTGGGAGCGCAATTGGCCCTTTAGCTGGGAGTTTGAGATAGTATGCCGCCCGTAAGGCGAAGTCGGCAAACATGTCCATGTTCCGAATGCTGTATGTACGAAGCTGAAGGTCGCAGCATGGGATACCGTGAGTTGGGACGCGCCGGAAAGGTTGGAGGCGCATTGCCCTCAGATTGTAAGGCTCGCCCTTCTCCGCCATCTTCATAAGCCCCTCCATCTGCTGTTCCGTAACCCTGGAGATGTTAGCAGTCTTTCCATCGGCTCTACATTCTTAAGACTAACTCTTTCTTCATAGTACGGGCCTCCGTTCTGCCCTCCTTCAACATCTTCTCAAGCCGCTTCCTCTCATCCTCCGTGATCCTGGTATTGTCAGCGGTCATGGTGTAGTCCTTCTTCAGAAAACTGACGTCTTCGTTCCATTAGGGGTTTCCATCGTACCGCTCTCGAGCATGCCCTGCACATGAGCAATATCCTCTTCGGTGAGCCTGGAATTATTAGCCATGTGTTAATCGGGATGGTAATTTGAAGAAAACTTACTTCATCCTACGGCCAATCGTGATTCCACGCTGCCTTAGGCGATTGTCAGATAACGTGCATCGTTCCTTGTCACTTACACCACTTACTCTGCCAGATGAACAATGTCAAGACCTTCACTTGTGATATGTGTCTCGAGTAGTTCCGTCGAATGGCGAACCTGGGACACTGCAGTAAGGGTAGGTAACTAAGATGTTTCAATTAAAATCAGCCGAATCTCTATCATAATCTTCATTAACATACCTTTGGACGTCTGCCCACGCGGAGCATCGCTCTCACGCATGTTGGCACCGCCATTGCTGCGATGTGTACAGCCAATGATGAAGCTCTTCGCGTCGTGCATCAAGAGATTCTATCCCGGGTCGTGAACATTTCGGCGCTAGTCCTGCTTCGATTCTGCAGCGCTCACCGCCCGAGAATCGGTCGCTTTCGCCAAGGCTTAGTTGTTACTGCGAAAAGAAGGCACTAAGGCACGAGTATATTCTAAACATCATCTTACGCTTTCTTTTGCCCCGGTTTCATTATTAGATCACATTCTTCTTCAAAACAGACATCATGGACACATCTTTTGAAGCGAGCGTCTTCCAGAGAGCAACCGAGACTGCACAGCACCTTCGAAAGATATTGCCGGAGGGACTTGCAAAGCCCAAGATTGCGATTGTTTGTGGCTCAGGTCTAGGGGGTCTTGCGGATACCATCAATCCAGAGCCCAAAGTCGAAATTTCATACGGGGATGTCCCCGGTTTCGCTAAAAGTACAGGTACGTGTCTTAAATAGATTTCGAAGGCAATGAGAGGAACATGGCAAGGATGAGACACTTCGCCGAGATTAACATGGGATTGAACTGATACAGCCTTCTTTCAGTTCAAGGTCATGCCGGTAAACTCGTTTTCGGCCAGTTAGGGCCCAAGAATACACCTGTTGTGCTGTTCGTTGGCCGCGTGCAGTAAGTTCACCTTTCCTCACCCATCAGAGGAACTACAATGCCCCACGTGGTTCCTCCCTCCATCTTCCATGCTTCCTCATACATTTCTGCATCTCCAATATGACCTCCCGGTCTAACTCCAAACAAGTTTTTATGAAGGCCACCCCATGTCTCTCGTAACCTACTCTACTCGTGTCTGTTCCATCCTCGGCATAACAACCATGATCGTCACCAATGCCGCCGGTGGCCTCAATCCATCCTACGCTGTGGGCGACATCGTTTGTTTGAATGACCATCTTAACATCCCTGGCTTCGTCGGTGCAAACCCCCTTATGGGCCCCAATATCGCTGAATTTGGCGATCGTTTCCCTGGGTTGAGTGATGCGTACAGTCTTGTCCTGAGGCGATTGGCGCATCAGAGCTTCGTGAAACTGTTTGGAGGAAATCAGGCGAGAAAACTGCACGAGGGCGTGTATGCGTTCCTGTCGGGTCCAACATACGAGACCCGTGCAGAGTGTCGTGCCTTGAGGACTTTGGGCGCGGATTTGGTTGGCATGAGCACAGTTCCGGAGATAGTTGTTGCGCGGCACTGCGGGATGAGGGTTCTGGCGTTTAGTCTCGTAACCAATAAGGCAGTACTGGAAGGAGGATTCCATGGCGACAGTCCTGAGATTCAGGGGCTGACTGTACAGGAGTTGGAGGAACTGTTGGAAAAGGGCAAGGCGAATCATGCAGAGGTGCTGGAGGCAGGGAGGGAGGCAAGCAAGGATATGCAGGTGAGTGCTCCATACAATGAGCAGTATGGTAGAGCACTTGATACTAACATGTGTAGGCGCTGGTGAAACAGATCGTGATGGACATGGAGGTATAAGCCTAAAATCATCCTATGCTGCTCATGACAATGAAATCATCACATTTCAACAGTGACATCCTGCACTTTGAAGTCTTACAAGGACCGCACTTACAAGCTTGGTCCCTTAGTAGCACCAGTATGCCCAATGAGCGTCTCAACTCAGGTTCATCAGCAGCATTCACGTCATCCCATCTTAGGGCGTTCATAAGCCCTTCTCGTCCAACCCGCCCTCCAAAAAGTTGACCTCATTCGCGAAAACTCGACCAATGAACTTTCCACTAGATACTTGTCCACTATCTCATCATTTCACCACTCGTGTAATTTAATCCCGCATGGTGCTCCTCAGCATCACTATCATTTCTACTTTTTCAAACACTTATGCGACCAAGTCATGACTGAACTTTCGAGCTCTGCCACGTTCTTTCTTTCCTTTGTAAGATTATGAGACAAAATGCTATCTCAACATTCTCAAAATTCCTCCTTTTAAAACCCACTGTCCCGCGGTGTCTCTCTATGGAATGTTTAATGGAATGTTTAAATCACGACAGTAAGTCGCGAAACATAACGGGGCAAGGGCACACATCTGTTGTTCGCTGCATGGCCCGATTTTTAGGAACGCTGCATCATGCAACAATATGCATTGGGTTTGCCAAATGATTGAAGTTTGAATTCCGAAAACGATACCAATCGCAATGACAGGGCCTAGCGCTAAAAGAGCAGCAAGAAAATTTGTTGAAAATATAGCCCGATCATCTTACTGACGAAGACCACTTGGAGGCTCCCAGCCACATGATTTTGCCATTGGATCAGTACTTGTATAAGAAAAAATTCCTCCGAACAACATATCATCTTTTCCTGCGCTCTGAAATTTGCCCTCATAGCCACACAGGTTCACACCCCTTCGCACGTTCTTCAACGTAGACATGAGAACAGAAAGTCATAAGATGGGATAATATACCTATCTCGAAAGAACGTGATATTGAGATTCTTTTGGTAATAAATTCAGTTTACCATGAGCTTAACAACTGGTTGAGTAGAGCAGACGCTCCTCAGCTCGAAATGTCTCCGCCCTACTCAAACGTCGATTGCGCTTTGGATCTTGGCGATCAGATCCTGTTCCATCAACGAGACAGCAATACCGTCTGCAGGGTCGACTTTGCTTTGTATAACAGGGAGAAGGTTCTTCACAGTTGTTCGGATAGAGTATAAGAATTCGGTAGTCTTATCCTCCGAGATGGCCCTGTTCAAATCATCTTTCTACCCGATAGGTTAGAATCTAGCCTGTTATGAAAGTGTAAACTTGCCCCATCTTTGACTTTGCCAATATAGCTAGTGTCAATTGAATCGTGAGACACAAGTTCCTTGGTCACTGCACGGCTGTCGGCCCCTGATAGTGGAGTCATCAAGTTTGCATCTACCTCAAGCTTTTGGCGGGCCTCCTTGAGACCCAGCATGGCATCGGTGACTCTAGCAGCTCCTCCATCAGTCCCATTGAGTAGATCTAGGGACAAATCGAGGGTAAACGCGCGGATATAGTAGGTTTCGAGGTCTGTAATGAATTCAGATGCGCCGATTCGATTTTCAAGCCGTGTTGAAAGAGCTGATACCGAAGCTGAAAGGAGTAGGGCGCGAAAGAGCTGCATTTTCAAGTGGGCGTTGATAGGAATAAATTCGTAGGGTGGCTTTCTTACTGGTATCTCGGATTGAAGTCAAAGATGTGGATAAGTTTTGTGAGTGAAATACCGACGATTCGACTGTCGTTTTATACGCAATCATGTAGGCTTTCTGTTCAGTGATACGTTGTATTATGCGTACTTTAGTGACACTTTGCTGCAGCTTTGCAGCTGAGTGACGTTTTTGATGCGTTTGTGTCACTGGCAGTTTTGATATTGTCGATCGATATGCAGATCAAGATAATCATGATGCAGCAGTCATGAAAGCGCTTCTCAGTCCAGCGCATCGCTGCAGCATTATTTCATGCACTTGTCCATATACATGTATCGCCACCGTGTGCGTGGTCTCTTTCGTCTGAAGGTACTTATGTCACTCATGCATCACTTTCATGCATTGGAGTGGCCTAAGTGATCACCTGAGTCCCAACGAAGCACTGTAACGCACGTAAACAACCTCCATGCATGCAAAACTGCATACCGCTGATATCATTTTACCGTCAAGGGAATATCGTCTTCCGATCACAATGCTGGATTCAGACGCAAGTATACAGATCAGCTCTAGCAGAGATGTCATATAATTGCGTCGTGAGAAAGCTTATGGTTTGTATAGATAAGTCCGCTCACCATGCATCATGGAGGCCGCACCAGCCAATATTCTTGGATACCACTGTTCGACTTCAGCTCCACTCCGTCAGGTATCTTTGATTGTTCAAACATTCTTTCACTTGCACGCAATTTGCTACAGGAATCATGTATCCCATCGATGAACCTTATCCCATCAACACCTCCAATCCAGAGGACAGCTGCGTTGTCACAATGTCGATGGGGAATAATCCTCTTCTAGATGAAAGCAATGTGGCCAAACTATTGGATGTTCTCACGGTCAGGCACAGGAAAGTCGTTATCTTAGTGTGCGATGAGATACACAAGTACGAGCAAACCATCTCTCATGGTATGAGTGACTCCCGGGCTGCAAAGTTGGCTATGGCAGCTGGAAACGAAATGGTTCTCCATCTACAGACCTTCATTAAAAACTGGCAACTATCCAACAACTCAACGTCCTGCACTATTCACATTTGTCGCTGGGGAGACATCACGACCGACTCGTACCACAAATTGTTAGATGCTGTTGTTCGATTCCGTAGTCGATTCGAGGATGAGCTGGAAAAAAGCTCAACATATTACATACAGTCCCGTCTTCGCCAAGCCACATTGACTGATCGCCGGCTCGAGAATTTCACCCGCTATACACTTGAAGAGCTTCCTGTGCAGCTAGTCGGGCTTGAGCTCCATGGTACTCAGCATTCAATCCTCTACCACCCTGTGTTTTGCCAGAAGGCAGTTTCGGCCACTCACGGAGCCAAGCCAACATATTTCTCACCGATCGAGAACGTGATCAAAGCCTACCGGGCAGACGAGGAGGTCATGGCAGATGTGCGATCACTGTTGCCTGGAGCTTTGGATGCTCAGTTAATACGTGTGTTTTTCGATAAGCTTGCATGAGGACTGATATTTAGTGGTATATCAGTCTTATCTGTCAGTCTGGAGTATGTTAAAAAACTACATTATACATTTTACAATCTCTTCTTCCAGAAATGCAGCTATATACTAGATCTAGTGAACGTTCAATCAGTCAAGTTACAATTCTATCACTCACCATCGAATCAATGGTATTTTTCTAAAGTTACACGTATTTTGTCCTGTTCATGTGCCTATAATGTGTGACAAAGATGAACATTTATTGTGACATTGCAAGTGCGGGACCCAAAGCTAGCGACAGCTAGAAGCCAACGAACAAGGAAAGTGTACACTATGGATGCACCTAGCGGCTGAGCCTGATCCAACAATACTTGTCCCTATAGCTTTGTACACATCGGAGTAGGTTGGCACAAGGTCGCTGGTTGGGCATGATTGAGACCCAGCTCCTCCCTAAGTTCGAGCTATAGAGTCTGTATTAGGATATACTGCTGGTATCTGGTGCGTCAGGCTGCTGCAAAAAAGCCGAGAACTGGTATCCACCATCTAGAAGCATCATCTGACATAGTAGGTATAGGCGTAACTGCAGGAGCTAGATATCGGGAGGTGGAGAGGCTAATGCTTGAGTCCTGAGGGACCGATTGATTCGGCGCCAATTGAAGACAGCGATGGCTACGTCGGCATCTTCCACGACCCTGGTCTACTGAAGCAAATTCTCCCCGTCTCTTTCACCGCTACAAAAGTCATCTTATGTAGCTTATGCACATGGAAGTCTACAATCCTAGATTAGCATGCAAGGAATCCAAACTGAACGTAACACCAAGATCATGTATAGCATCTCGTATGGGTCCTCATGTTATGTGATTGTATCATACGTATATCCGCATGTATGTCAACTGCGACCATCTATAGGTTGTATAGCTTCAGCTCTCATGCAATGTCTCTTAAGTATCCACCTTATGATTTGAGTATCCACTATATCTAGGAAGTATCCACTATGTCTAGTTGGTATCCATTATGTCTAGTAGGTCTCAATGATGTCTAGTAAGGATCCACAATGTCTTGTAAGTATCCACAATGTCTGGTAAGTATCCACAATGTCTGGTAAGTATTCGCAAGGTTTCGTAGGCATCCACAGTGTAAGATAGGTATCCACAGTATGTCGGTACCCACAGTATCTTATAGATATCTACAGTATTTCGTATCTAGCTATGGACAGACTAAGTTAGACCTATGTGAGTATTCCCACATAGAGTGCCCGGTGCTGATCTATAGACTGGTCTGGCCCGATATGCAGAACAGGCACCGGACTCCGAACTTGTCGATTCATACGTTGCACCGCTCCCATATGTTGCGACTCGTGCATATGCCGCGGACCGCTGTATTGTCGATCTATAGATCCGGCAGCACATATATGCGGAGAGTATTGCTACCTGCCTAATGAAGGTATCGAGTACATCGCATACATGACAACACTTAGTAAATATATAGGATGTGAGTGCACTGCATCAATTACATGACGTAAAGCACAGACATTGTCAGATCGATCCAATTTATGAGGCAGCTAGCTCATGACTTCCATAGTTCATGAAGTGCAAGTCACACTGAGAGTGTACCATTTGTAAATAGATATACTATACCTCCCCTTCATCAATCATCACATAGGTAAAGCAACATACAGATTACGTCAGGCTTTTCAGTAGCTGCTTTAATAGTTCCTTCGTCAAGTATGGACGCCGAGAAGTCTAGAGTCATCGGGTATTATCCGAGTTGGGTAAAGCTAATACTGATCGAGTGTACCTACCAACGTTTCTAACAAATCCTAGGCTAGCTACTCAGACAAAGCTTTTGTCCCTTCGGATACGAATGTTCAAAACCTGACACATCTTGTGTACGGCTTTGCTCTTATTCAGAATGATGGACAGTGGTATGTGCACCAAGATCATTTCTGCGTGCAAACCTATTCACCCAATTCAAGTGACCACTATGACAAGTATGCGGATGTCGACCGAATCTTCCCGGGCGATGATTCTGAGCAGGACGGCAACAACGTGTTTGGTAACGTTAAGCAGATTGTCGACCTGAAGAGCAAGTATCGTCACCTTAAAGCGATCATATCAATTGGAGGCTGGCGACTCTCTGGTAACTGGTCAGAAGCAGTGGCCAATCCAGGGAGACGCACTAAGTTTGTCCAAACTTGTATGCATTGTATGTACAACTTTGGATGGGATGGTATGTACAGCAAGAGAGGTATCTGATAACTAGCTTTGACAATGCGTTAGGAATCGACCTAGCATGGGTATTTCCGGATGGTTGTCTATACTATCCAATGCAGCTCTAATAATTTGCTAATATTTATAAGGCCCGGTGGATGCGGCCAACTACGTCGAGTTAGTAAAGGAGTTTCGCCAGGTACGTAATCAAACTTCGCAGTCTCAGGTTCTGCTCTAATTCTACTGATTAGGCTATCGACGACTATTCACACAAAGCTGATACAAACAAACTCACCCTCTCTGTGGTAGCTCCACCAAGTGTGTACATCTTTGTGAAATACTTGTAATAAGCTTATGCCTTCCTCAGAGGAAGAGAACTACAAACATCTGAAGATAACTGAAATGGATCAATATGTTGACTACTGGACTCTTATGGCGTATGTCTCCCCTTACGCTGAGGAAAAGTTCTAATCGAAGATAGGTACCAGTTCAATGGTGCTGCCCCTAAGCCAGACGATTCCAGCGTTGCAATTCATAACGCACCCCTATACCCCTCGACTCTTCAGAGCTCTGCAACTCCTTTCGTGGTGGCCCACGCAATCGATTATTACTCTAAAGTGGTTAAAATTTCTCCGCACAAGATAAACCTCGGAATCGGGCTATATGGGCGCGGCTTCTATAACACCGAAGGTCCGGGGTCTTCATTTGGCCCTTTCGAGAATGATTGGCTGCAGACCATCTATCCATGCCGGGACATGCCATTGGTAGGTGCCTCACAGGAGTGGGACGACACCACTAAGTCAGCATACTCGTATGATGCTACCCGCCAGATGATGGTGTCCTATGAGAATGCCAAATCTATAAGCTCTAAATTAGATTTCGTACGCGAGAGCAGGCTAGGAGGTGTGGCATTCTGGGATGTCACTGCAGACGCAGTTGGAGACAAGAGCCTGATCACTCAGGTACGCCTAATTATAAAAAGCTAGAAGCTTACTCGGCTATGCTGACTATTATAGGTTGCAAAATCACTTGGGGGTTCAGGTTTGGAGGGGCTAGACCGTACTGATAATACTATCAATTACCCCCTGTCGGACAAGGACAACATCAAGAATAGAAGGACCGAATGATGTAGAAAACGCGAATGAACTGCTATCTAGTCAACATAGGTCAAAATAAATGGACGCGGTTATTTCCCATAATTCCGAGTTCGTATCCTGGCATCCTCAATTGTATACCTGGAATTGCGATACCCTGCCATCCCTTAGCCCTGCCAGTGCTCTCGTAGAAGTACTACAGGAATCCTTACAGCAGACACCAGTCATTGATACCATAAGTTACATAGTCAGGTGAAGGATGATCTGCTTTACTAGCAATGAATGTCTTATCTCTTTCGATAAATGACTATTTGATTAGTGGTAGTCAATGCCACTTCATTCAAAACATTGTCGCTATGTAGTACTTCTATAAAAATGACCTCCTCTTTACATAAGAAGACCAGAGAAGAGAAATAGACAATAAAAGATAGATCTGAGTGTCTCATATATTCGTGATACTGACTAACATAATTCTATCTATCAGGATGCCTGCCATACTTTCTAAGTACCTCGAACTGAGTCAAGCCCTTGATACCGAAGTCGGTCATGATTTGATCTTTCCTTTCAACCATTTCTTCCCCTAACAAATTTATGGTCTGCTGGGCGTAGCTTTTGATGGTAAGAACTTCGACGCCAATCGCTTCTGCAAAAACAGCTGCTCTCATGCACCACCTTCCATCCTCAAGCGTGTATCTGTATTTGTTCATACTAGTTGGCACTCCAGAAGTTCGGTTGTGGACGGGTGTACGTTTCCCAAAGTCATCCTCTCCCGTGTAATTAGCGCCGTAAGCTTTGTTACAGTAATCTGTTGTCGTCAATGTTGATGAAGTGAACTTCAGGGCCTTGAGAACAGCCCGCCGATCTGTGTCGAAAGCTTGAATCTGCTTTTTCACACTTTCGGTCAAGCCATTCAAGTAGAACGTCCAGGATTCTCCGCTGTCGATCCTGGACATGTTGGCGTAGGCTATGGGAACATGGAAAACAGGGTTCATGTGATTGAAAAAGGCATCGATAGCATTATACAAAGGCATGATGTCCATCTTGAGCATACCAATAGTAGCTTGATGTCCCTGGTCCACAAGTTGTGCGATGTTGTCATTGATGCGCGTGGAGACCGTGTATGATGCGGGTAACCAAATCTTCTTACCCTTCATGATATTATGAAGAGGAGAGGAGTTCGGTTCATTCCTGGTTGCATAAGGGCCAACAGGAAGATCAATAATCATCTTGACCCGCTCCAATAGTCCCATCTGCTCAGCTAATACAGTAAATGCGTGGGCATTGACAGCTGTGAGTACCAAATGACTAAGGTCCATGTCCAGCCCAAGAAAGTGTGTAATGACATCTTTGTGGCTGTTCTCAGATTGATCGCCTATGGAAACGATCGAGATGTATATGTCGCAAGTTTGCTGAACCAATTTACGAAGGTCGGTCGTCGCCCAGATCTTAGGAGACAGAGCGCTTTGAACAAGAGGTGGTCCATCTAGACTAGCAACTCTATGCTCGACATACTCTTCCCACTTGTTCTCATCGGTTGAACAATATCGCTTTACAGTGAAGCAACCGTCCCTTTGGACTTTCATAATGTTGCTATTGTGGTCACTGTGTGCGGTGAAGTACACGTGACGACCCTGACTAGCAAAGTGGTCTATCAATCTGAATGTGACCGCGCCACCACCGTAGACTCCGATAGTATGACTTTCCTGCGTGGTTTTAACAAGGATAAGACCAAACATGAATATGACGTGCACTGACCATTCTTTGTTCAAACTATGGTTTATCTCGAACCACAAGTTTTGAAAAGCTTTTTGTAACAATGAGTGGGACAATGTATATCTGGTAGTGACTCGGCATCAATATATACTAATCTACCACATAAATACTTCAGAATAGTGAGCATGAATGAACCCAACTACTAATCTTCCGTGTAGAGTCTGCATAGTCACGATGTACTGCAATCCAAGCATTTCTACGACTGGTAGTAATGACTGCGAGTAAACTTCCGAAAGAGAAATTGAGGTGAGGCTGCAGTAGAGATCTCTGGCCATTTTCTAAGCTGGCAGTAATTAATGCTGGTACGCAGAAGTCCGAGAAAGGCTACGGCAACACCGGCCTAAGAATCTATACGTCACCATACTTGAGATGGCGCTGGAAAGTAGGTCATTAACCGTCCTAGTTGGGCCACACTATTGAATGAGTACCTATAGAGCTATAGATGTCATGTGTTGATGATTGTATAGCTAGATTCTCTGGTACTATCAATTCCCCCTACAAAGTGCGAATGCAATCCATAAACTTGGCATTCTGGTAAGGAACGCAATCCCAGAGGGCCAAAAAATTACTCATGTGACACTCAGGTCAACAGGGCTACCTATGGAGACGATACACATGATCGGGTACTCGTAGGGTCGGGACGTCCCTTTCAATCGCGGGGACATCTTACTGCACTGCATATCAGTGGGGCAGTGGCTATAAATTTTGAAATTACTGGGGTTCTAGACCGCATACTTATTCTGGGGACTGGACAGTTGAACTTATTGTAATAATTGCTCTGTGTAACTACATATCTCTATCTAGAAGTAGACAGGAGAAGCGGCACCTTTGACGAGATGGGCAAATAAAAACAGAACAATGGAAACGACTAGCCCATTAAAACTTCTTCGCAATGGTCATTAACAAGGTAACAGTCATCGGAATCCCTGCACCCTTGTCGAGAGCGCGGTAGGCCTCAATCACCTCGAGCTCTGCAGGCTTTCTCAGGTTTTCAGGCAGAAATCTGAAGTCGAGGAAGTTTCCGAAAGTACTAGCCATCTCAAATTCCATAAGTTTGTCGTAATTTGGAAAAGTAACCTCGTAAGGAACAAGATCAATCGTTCGGCTCAGTAGATTAGCGTCCTGGAGGAGTGAATGAAGAGTGCTTCTTGTGGAAAGACGAGCAATACCTCCAGGAACATGCTCACGATATCGCTCTCCTGCCAGTACCCTATTCTTCTCTGATTGAGGATGGTAATGCTCCTTTGAGCTGCCGCAGATAGCAAGGCGTCCGCTCTCGTTCAAGAGCTTACGGATCCCTGCGAGAGCAGCGGCTTGATCCTGAACCCAGTGGAACACGGAGTTCATGCAAATAATGTCAAAGCTCCCAGCAGGGAACATACCCACTGCATTCTCCGCGGTGCCCACTGCAAGAGAAACATGTAGTTCGTGCTTGCTCTCATCCTTTCGCTTCTTGTTTTCAGCCGCAATTGTCTCGTTCCCAAGAGCGACCCTTTTTGCCAGCGGCTCAGTGCCACTTACACTTCCAGTAGGCCCAACGAGCTTCGCAAAGTGAATGGTCAGAGTTCCTGTTCCACAGCCCAGGTCCAGGATTCTTAGACCCGTTAGGTCTCCAAGTTTATCAACTAGCATCTTACCAGACTGGAACTGATAGATCTTGTTTATTTCCTCATAATTCTGCGCAAGCTGATCAGTGTCGAGATCTAGCCGAGCGTTGGCCATGGTAAATAAGTGTTGAAAAGTTTTTTTTTGATCTTCTTTTAGCAAAAATGAGAATAAGTTTAGATTTGAGCCGGATCTTGATGGCTTGGTCGTGTTGCTTTTTTGACTTGCAAAGAGGATAAAAGACTGTATTGTACTTGAGTGATAGCACTCTGTTTGGAGAATAATAATCAAGGCACTGACACAGATCGAAATGAAAAATGCACTGTGTGTATTGGTTGATGACCTACATGCATAATGCATACTGTTCCGCTGACTACTATAGGACGTATGACGTGTCGACATGTTTGTTCGAACAGTGACGCCGCCCCTATAGTCTCACACCGATATATCTCCTAAGGCACTGCTTCCTTCAGTATTCCTCTAACGACCACCAAGCTGTTAATTTCGCCCGGCGGTGCCTACTATGAGCGTATAGAAACGAAGAGTGTCGAACCCACTTCTGCCTAAATAGAGCCTGCTTGCTCAAGGCCTCGCGATTCAATCTCCATAATTCGCCCTGTTCTGTTCTATGCTAAGTCGGACACTTGCATGCTACGAACAGCTTATTCACCTTCTTGCCAAGGTATGTGGTGCCACCCAGTCAACCCCACTTTAACGCATATCAACTGCAAACCCACCATCGGACTGCTTATCGACGCCACCAGAATACCTCATGCGTGCGTATTGTTTGTCTGATTCCTGTCATGCCCGGTCCTTTTTTGCCTTAAGATGGTCATGTGGACTTGTGAAAGCTCACCGCCAGCCCATTTATCCCTTGACCCGCTTCTTTCGAGACTGCAGATTCTCCTAATGCCTTTCATCTGCCCCGACCTCATAGGAACTCATGTCCGTGGTATGTCATCGGTCGGATACCAAAGGATCCGGTATTCTACCATGCCCACAATTTCGAACGAGCAAATGGATCTAAATGTTAAGCATCCGTTGGATTGAGCTAATTTAACTCGAACCTCGCGAAAATGCATTTCATGACTATGAGTTCTGGTTATAAATTACATTCAGATTAATCTACATGGGTAAATGCGTAGTCTTTATTTATGAATCTTAGTTACAAAAGTAGACTATATTTTTCTATCATATACTATCATACTAGCTTTAGAGGTTCTTCTGGTCCTACTTGGGTAGTTATATGTTAGTATAGTAGAGGAGATTCCTAGAGAAGATAGAGAAGATAGAGAAGATAGAGAAGATAGAGAAGATAGAGAAGATAGAGAAGATAGAGAAGATAGAGAAGATAGAGAAGATAGAGAAGATTAGGTATATCATATAATGATCAAACGGATATACACCTAATACAATCATCTATCCGTGGACAACGTTCAAGGATCTCCAACTTCAACACATAAAATCTAGAGATATTCAGATATATAGAGCTTGCCTTCAGTTCAATGAGTTATACCTCTTCTATATGTTCCAACTCAACTTAGAAGGAGGGCCAAAGGCCAAGAAATCCCAAACGAGTTCATAATCAGAATATAGAGCTGAACCAGAACATTTTGTTGCTCCACATTCCAAGCCCGGATCAATTGTATATGGACCGACACAGATCATACCTGTTCTATTCTATTCAAGTATTCATAAATTGCTTAAGAGGAGCCGCAAAGTAACGCAAGATCACTCAGGGTGATCCTCCCTCCGGAGCGGCTCTAATACTAATTGCTCGCTCCACGTGCCCGCGTGAAAACACTCAAAGTATGTGTCACGCATATCCGTGCGGACGACGGAAAGGGATGATATACAAGCACACAGCAGCAGCAGCAGTGAGTACGCATAAGAATGGCGCTATCACAGCTCGAACTATAATAGCAGCGGCGCTATTCTCAACCCATATACTGTGCAGAGCGATGGCGTGACTAGGTAATGAAACAGCGCTGACGTGGAATGCATGGCATCGCAGTCGTATCGATATATATCATCAACCCTGGCAACAATCCCACGGGAATGATCGGCATGAAAACACCTAGCACGCAACGAAGCTCTGAGGTGAACAATTGGTATGAGGGCTGTTCTGGAATGCAACATGTTGGTATAGACTGTGTATGTAAGTAGAGCGACGGAGAGTGGTTGTTTATTCGGCCGACAACGGGGCTCTCGCGAACCTAACATTTGGAGCTAATAATGACGGGAACTAATAATGAAAAGAGCACGAGAGCTAGACCTGCCGAGAGAGGCTAGTCCGGAGACTAAGAAATCTGAAACGCGCTAGCGGCTGCTAGACTGTTTCTCCCCCTTCTGAGAGATTTGAAAATATGGTGGCGTAGAGATGGCGTGGGACTAGTTGTTGGGTAATAGCTGGGTAATTAGTAGGTCTGTCGGCAGGTACCAGACGGAGAAAGACGCACCTCGCTTTCGGCGACAGATCAGATGGTGGTGATCAAGCTGGTATGATGACAGAAGATACATACACTTACTTACACATGCATGGCGTGAAACGTGGCGTCGGCAATGCCGCCAAGTCGTTTTGGGCACGACGATGTCGAGTCGAACTTCTTGGGCCTTGGATTCTGTATTGTAATCATTATCTTCATGGAGCGACTAGACCAATATGACGCGATATTATGAGAGGGCTTGACGACCTCTGCTGCTTTGTGGAAGCCTATGGTAGTTCCGACATTCTAGGTGTTGGGTGTGGATCTAATATACGTGATGCTCATAGCATTGGGGTATTCGGAGACTGGCTGGATGCTGAATGGATCTCATTCTGAGATAGAGTTGAAGAGGGAGAGACAGAGGAGCGACGAGCAATAGTCTTGGTCGTGTCGAATCTGAAGCCAATCTGCAGCTACTGCCGTGGTGTACTGCGAATGAATCTGTAAGATGCAGTGATCACCAGCAACAACCCTCGCGAAATCTGCCCACAATCATCGGGCTTCCAGCTGTCCAATAGCACAGACGAAACAGTTAAACATGCTTCGAATGGTCGAATAATATTCATGCAGAGGTACGTATATGCTAAGTTTCAGGAGCTAAGAGGAGAATGCGGGGTTAACTTGCAGTAAGATTTTTCATGTGAGATGACGGCCACTGTGAATGGCATTGGTCAAATCGTTCTGTTCTCGCCTTCGCACGCGGGGAAGGCAACCATGAGAAGATTAATAGGCACTCAGTTGGTCAATGTCGAGGTATTTGGTATTTTAGTCCAAAGGCCACATGCCATATGTCTGTGCAATCGCGTCGGGTGTCATATATATATACTGATAGTACTATGTATGGCGCAAGGAGCGACCACGTGTAAATCATGAGGGCGAGTTGCGATAAGAATATACCTCGTCGAAGGTCTCTGACTGTCACTCAGAGATAATTTTAGAGGCAGCCACAGCGCCACATCATCCAAACACTCTGCACAGTCGTGTTGAGTTTTCAAGCGAGGCCTTTTGCGAGACCGCCTGCAGGGCCTCAGCTCATCTTGCATGCTGCAGTAGAGCAGTATGACGACTGCCCTGTGGAGCGATAGGAGAGTTGTTTGTTAGCCCGGGGGGCTGCTGATGGGAATACATAACGTCGGGAAGGCTGCTTGCTGCATGCATCGATGTCTGTGCCGACATGTGCAGCAATGCCCATCGAGGTGTCTTCGTCCAATTCCCAAGGTCGATAGCGTTCCCGGCAATATTGTTTAAGAGCTGCTTTCTCATTCGTTCACATACGACATTGCAATAAGGTGAGACGACAAGTCGATTTATTCGTGTTGTTGCTTGCGTGTCAGTACAGCGACACCAACGTTGCTAGGAAGTTTGGATGCGACTACCAGGACCAACAATCTACGAACAAGATTAGCGACACGTCCATTTCATGCCTAATTTGCGGTGGTAGAGGTCCTCTTTCGCAACCGACATAATACAAGTAAATCGTGATGTGCATCGAGCCCTACGATAAAGAGTGGTACGGCCGACGGGCATGTTGCACTTGCAGCTCCCAACTTCCGTAAACCAGTTTTGGCGCAATCCTATAGACGAGAGGACAATACCGTTGTGGACATGTCAGTTCGATGTCGGACACTTGCCGAATGCGATTGATTCCTATAAGAGATCAGCATTAGGATCTTCAGCTACTACTGCAGTTCCTTGCGCAATTTGCTGCCCCTGCATACTACAATTGCCAATTGCTGACCGCTGCAAAAGGATTCGTGTCTGCACGATACCATGGGGGTAACAAGCCATTTGATTCTTCTATCAGCGGAAACGAGTAACGTCATAGGTTAAAGTGTCTTGCCCTGTCAAGGCCCACAGGCAGTTTGAGGGAACAACAGCGCTGACTGTTGATGGCCGAAACGCAGTGTGATTGGCGAAGCTTCAGCTGAAAAATCTCGCGGGATTAAGGTACGGCTCTTCCCTTGCGGGTTCGGAATCCAGTCAGCGTCTCCGACGAATAGATGAACCGTGATCAATAGATGCTGCCTTGCAAGCTACCTGCCTACGATACTTCACCTCGATAGAGTCGTAGTCTCGAACGACAAGATTGAAGCGATCGTCAAATCATTTTGCTGCAAGAGTGGCGGGCATGCAGGTTTGCCATGCATTCGTCGAAGCCGTAGCCTGTGAAAACAGATTGCCAAACTGAAGAGCTGCTGGCGATATCCCTGACTTTTGCTCCAATATTTGTTGGACGTTGTAATTTGTCGTTCACCGTCAAAAGTGAGGCTTCGTGTAGATAGAGCACTGTAGGCGGGGCGAACACGGGAAGAGGAGTCAAGAAGAAGCCGGGGAGACCATCCGTCCCCACGCATTGTTGCACGGCAGGGAAGCGTTAGAAAAACGCGTATACAGCCCACACCTCTGCAACGGCTTATTGATGCAACGCGAGATACGAGGCCGTGGGATGAAGGACACACAAGTCAGCTGACAGCTTCAGCCAGTAGAACTTTTACATGTTGCGTCAATTGCACGATTTCTTTGCTTGTTCCTGTCAGCATGGTGCCTACTTTCGAGGACGAGTCCACCGGAACTCTAGGTCCCACAGCGGCGTGATGTCGGTACATCAGAATCCTTATAGGGTGGGCTGAAGTGAACTATGGCCTCTGATAGGTAGCGAGTTGTTGATGCCATCATACGAGCATGTATTTATTACCCAGCAGCTTTCAAGGCCTGCGAGCGCTGCATAAATAACTGATATCGGATGAGAATGTGTTGGTTGACTAAAATTTAAAGTTAATTCCTGCACAGTGCTGCTTACCGTGCACATACATACAAGATTCGTACCTATCGGTATCGCTCTCGCATGCCGAGCCATAAGGCGACTCATGAGGCCCGAAGTGGAACAATTGTTCCTGTTTACGGCTAGCATACAGGGTAAGGCGAACGATTCGCGAGTCAAGCTAGTGGTAAAGTCACGATGAGTATCTAGTAACATGGAACCATTTCGATAATCATATGAAAACACACAATTCTGGCAGGGAGACGCTGTTGACAATAAAAACGAGGGTCAGCTGTGAGCCAATAGCCTGTAGTCTCGAACATGCTGTTGTTGTGCGTGGCGAAGCACTCACATGGTGACGGGCGGATATGGAAAGTTTAAGTTCTTCTCAGGCAAGGGTCTCTGAGTCGCGAGTCTTCCAAAGAAGAGCGTTGCTGTCAAGCAAAGCGGCGACGATAGTACGACGAAATCAGGATGACGCGTGATGAAGTTGGGCATCGATGGGATGGCAAACCCTGCTTAAGACTTCTTTTAAGCCTCCCAAGTCATGGTCGAGCGGGAGAGCTGTGAGAATATCTGGTGGAAATGCCAGGGATTGAACGGGAGGAGCAAGACTAATACCTAAGGCTACCAAGAAAAGGTTTCGGAGCCGGCGTTCCCAGATCGGAGAACCCAGGCACTTTACCAGCAGTATTGCGTCCGCGTCGCGTTGATATGTTGTCTTGATGGCAAGGAGAGGGTGGTGACCTAAACCTCTACCATGATGACGGCCTTGAGTAGAGTACTAGTCAAGCAGCTGAGGCCCCGACAATTAAGCTTGTTGGCAAAATATGAAGCTAGGCGACGTCGCCGTTCAAAGACGAGATTCAGGTTATTGAGGATAAAAATTGCATGTGCAGCCATTGGTCCGTCTGCTTGGGAAGAATATGACCACGGCCGCGGGATGATAGTGATGGCCAGGGCAAGCCGATATGCACGTTGCGCACACTGTTGCTCCACACACCTTTGGCTAGGGATACCAAAGTCGGCTTCAGAAAGGTAGGCCGTCCATGTGTCAAACGTCTTGTAGCGACGAACCGCCTCGTATCGTGCTGGGCATGCTATGGTAAGTATAAGCTACATTGATTGCATCGTTATCCGTCATCTGGTGGATACACAGACTCCCACTTCGGCAAACGCACAGACGCAGACGCAGATGCAGATGCAGAATAGATGCAGGTACAAACTCACCACCAACAGTGGAGAGGACTTTCTATCGTGGAGACTGGAGAGGCTTCAGGTTTTCAGGGCCGAGTCAGGCCGGATGGATGTGGCGATCAAGCCGCCCGAAAAGCTACGTGAAAGTCGCGTTTCAAGTCTTAATATGGCACGATAGTTTGCTTTTGTGAAAGTTGAAACATGACAGAACAGGACGATTCCTAAATGGAGAAGGTCAGCGCCGCCACAGAGCCAAAAATCGATCAGACATCGCGGCAATCACAAGCGCAGCGCCGCACGGCCTCGAGCAATCTCCTGTTCCTGGCGGCCGGAGAACAAGAGTGGAGTGAGTGTTGGAGATGCTTTGCAAATCATATTCGACGAGGGTGCGATGACTATTGTCTGCAGGGCCAGGAGAATGTTCGTAACGGTGAGTAGGCATCAGGGCTCGACAGGAAGAGCGGTAAGACGAAGCTTCAGAGTTTGCAGTGGAACGCGGTGACCGAGGGGAGTTTTCTGTGCATAAAGTCTCCGCACAGTTTGTAACGTTAAATTCCTTGAGTCTTGGATATTGTGTCTTGAGTCTTGGGCTTTTTCTGCTTGCGGACTGGACCGGACTGCGTCTGCGTCTGCATCTGCACTCGCATCCTGCCAGTTGCCAGTGCATGTACTCTGTACAGCTGCCGGGTAGAAGATATGCATATGTGATATGTGCCGCGTGCCGTGTGCCCCGTATTATTACTATTCTCCATGTTGCCACAATAATCAATGTAAAAGGCTAAAAGTCCCACGCCTACATAGTGACACGAGTCCAACACTGGTTCGGATAATACTATTATTACTGCTATTCTTCCTAGAGTATTCTTTATGGGTGAGCGTTGAAAAGCCGTTGCTGCTAACGCTCATCTTGGAAATGTACCTGGCTGACTGGCTATGGCCTCCATGGATGTTGGCGTGGGCCTAGCGTGCACTCACTTGGGACTGGACCGCCACGTCGGGTAATGGCGTCGGCATGCAGCTTTCCCACTTCCCTTCGCCCCCTTCCCCTACCCCTACCCCTTGCCCGTCCCTTTTCCCCTTCATACACTTTTTGCTGCTTTTCTCGACCCGTCCGAGGAGATATTGTAGTGCTTGGACCCCAGGCACACATACATACATACCCATATCATCACCCTCAAAGCTGGAAAGACTGCTGCTTCTTTTGTTACACCAATTTATCAACACCAGGATACTACATAGTCTGATCCAGCCTTCAGTCCCCAATGCCTGCTACTCACTCACCATCTAGGGGCCTCGACCGTCCCGAATCAGCCCAATCCTTACAAGAGCCTAATAACTTGACTATCCTGAAGCTTTGGCCTTCCCGTTGGACCATCCCCATGCTGTTGACATGCTTGTCCCATGCTTGTCTGCTTGCGCCTCTTGATTCTTGGGTCCAGGATCCCCTTTCTATTCCATTCTCGTCCCTGGCGTGTTATACACTTTCCCTCATTGAGGCATGGTCTCTGTCATGCGTGTTGTGAATAATGTGCGCTGCTCCAGCTTGCACACGCACGATGGATGACCCTCCCCCCCTCATACCCTGTCCATCAACCGCGTCTGCTAGTGTACACCACTGTCGTGAAAAAGTCAACCTCTGGTCTGTGTGTGACGGTCGCGCGGCTCACCCGTAGCTTCATCGACCAAGAGACTGACCCGTTATTCCTATTCTGTCACTTCCCGCTTGCATATTATCCCCTCTGTCTGCTCTTCATCTTCTGTATACCACTGTCTTTACCACCTGTGGGCGTCATCTCTCGATTCACCAGAAGCCCTTCTTTATCCCGCCTTGTTCCTCGTGCAGGTTTGTGTTCACCTGTCATAACGCGTCATACCCCGGATTGCATTCAATTGACAATTGCATCCACCTCGACCCGCTGCTATATTGACTGTTGCACCAAACTGCGCCGCGCAACATACACAACAACCTTGCTTGGCACATTTGTTCCGTTGACAGATATACTGTGTCGTCGCGCCGTGTTCATCCTCGTCAGGTTGGGCTCTTTCTCCTTTTCTCGTGCTTTACTGCTTCGGGATCTGCTAGTCAAAGGTATGTTTTGTTTCTTCGTACATATACAACTGCCATTGCCAACCGACGGATCCCTTGTACCTCATTTACCTTTGTCTTGTCTGGGGACGCCGCACAGCATCTCCCCAGAGTTTCATTTTTTCGTCCAGGCTTTGCTCCAGAAATAGAGCCCACGAGCTACCGTTGCTACCTTTACCAGGGTTGAGAGCAATGAAGGGATTGAGCAATATACTAACGAGGGAATTTCATAGCAATCTAGTCGTCGCTGCACCTTCATGTCCAACACTGTCACTCACTTACACGTCTACAACCACGTCCGCCTGTTTTTGTCGCAAACCCTGGCCAGAGTCCACTAGATTAAGTTGATGCACCCAGGGTACAACACCCACGTCTCCTCCAGTTCCTGGTCCATTGTGAGCCACCCTGGCCTATATCGGCATCCCACTCGCCCCAGCATATACAATCATTAGTTTATAACGATGGCAACCGTGGCTTCTCAACCTGCCACGCAGCCTCCCACCCCTCCAAAATCAGACTCACAAGCATCACCGATACCGAGGATTCTCGAGCACTCTCCCGAACTGCAGAAGGATATTACCGGACTTGACACGCAAACTGCTACTCCCGCGAGTAGCAATGGTGGGTCCGTGAGTGGGCTCTCGAGGAAAAGATCACGCACAGGTCCACGATCACGAAGCGGAACAGCTACCTCGGTGGCCAGCTCCTGCTATTCACAGGCGTCCACCATGGTGGATGGTGCAGCGCTGTATCGTCCAACGTCGCAAATCTTTCCTGCCGTGACGAGTCCAAGTGAGACGTCGATGACAGAGTCATTACCAGGCTACTTCAGGTCCAACTTCTTCTCCTCCGGCCGGGTAATGCGGCGGCAAGGGAGTAAAGTGTCCCTTGGGGCATCGGAGATTTCGTCAGAAGAGCCGGACAAGCGTCTAAGCAGTGCGAGGCGACTCCTGGGTCTTGGCCTCGATCGGAACAAGAGAGACAAGAGTCGTCGACGTCCAGAAAGTGAGTCCCCTTGTTTGTAGTCGTAGCCGTATCTTCGGATCTTGACACACAGCCCATGGGGCGATGTTATTCTTCCGGATTAGCACTAATCACGCGTCGTAGCTACCTATGAGCCTCCGAAACCTCGACCAGTCATCTCAAGCCCCTTCGACTTCCATCATGTCAGCCACACCGAACGCACTCAGCGTGCTGCACGTGATGGGGACATCTACTCTTCTCTGCAACACATGCGAACTCCATCACGAACCCTCAATGGAATCAAAGCTACTGATCTCCCACATCGTCGTGTCTCTCATCCGCCCCCGATCATGGAACAGGACGTCGAAGTCCCCACGTCTCCGGAAAGTGGCAGTGTAAGGCCACAAGTCAGCCCAGTCAAGTCGCCAGAATCACCACCAGTATCGCCATTGCCTGTTACGGGCCGAGGCCTTAACCACAGCAGATCCGCCGACAGCTTCTCTCAACCACGAACACGATTGCAAACGCAGAGCATGTCTATCGCCATGCAAAGTCCCCCACCAAGAAAGTCGTCCCGAGCGGCCTTGGAGGGTCGTCCGACGATCCTTGAGGATCTGATTAAAGATCTCAACACAGAGAAGCCACTGCCTTCACCATCCGAGGAAGTCACGGAAAAGCCGCTACCACCTCCGGCCGACGAAGCCCTGGAGAAATCACTTCCGCCTCCGCCTCCAGAGGAAGAATCCGAGCCCCCGACAGGCGTCTGGGAATTCTCCTTAGGGGACCATCAGCAGAATATCGATGACGACATGCCGGCGCATGATGAAATTGAGGAAGATGACGCCCCAGCATTCTCGCATGCCGTGACAACTGACATTCCCGTTACTGTGACACCCGTTCCTGTAATCGAAGTCTTGGAGAGTGTATTAGAAGACCTCGAAAGTCAGGCCGCTTCACCCCAGGAACCACAAGCAGAGACGGAAGACACTGTAACCGATGTTCCAGAAATCACTACCAGGCGGTCTTCGCGCCTCCTCCCTAGGCCATTGGCTTTGAAAGGTGCCACTCGTGTACCACGTCCGGAATCCTCAATGTCGCTTGCTCCTGCGTTTTCACCCATCGGTAGAGAATTTCCTCCAACCCCTGTGCAAAACACGTTTGGCAACACGCAAGATTATGAGTCCTGGGAACAGGACGTCGACTATTGCTACGATCATGCGGCCGAGTCTCATGAAGACTACGACTGGGTACGCACGTCTACCGACACACGACGCCCTCCCACGTCCGATGGTGAGAATCTGAACCGACTAAGCGACATTCTCAACCTCGACGACCTTGACGACCTCGACTCCCCAGGTCTCTCACAACACCGCCGCAGCCGCGCAACACGACCATCACTGTACGTCCCGGATGTGGACGCCGTCCCAGACCTCGCCCGGCGGCGCTCCGCACACTCAGCATCCACCTACCCAAGCAGCGTCCGAACTCCCTCGGTGGTCTACTCGCCAGTCTTCCCCGACACCACGCCCATGCCGGAGCACCTCCAGGAGTATCTCAACGCACAGCCAAAATACCACGCCATGCGCGAGGATGCATACGCAGAATACGTCGCCGACTGCCTCGAGGCCGAGCGCTCCCAGTACCCCATGCTCAACCCACACCGCCACACCCATCTGTCCAGCGCTCGCCTCAGCAAAAGCAGCTCCTACGACGACAGCAGCGACTTCACCGGCTCCTGCTCCCTGCACTCTTCCCTGCGCCGCTCCGCCGGCTCCGTCGGCAGCCTGCCCGACCTCGTCCACAGCACCCAGTACAACCACTCGCACCCGGCCCGCCGCGATAACCGCACCTCGATGGCTTCCCCAAGCGACCGCTTCACATTCTTCGCCGCTACCGCTGACGACGCCGACGAGCATGATCTCGATCATGCCCCTGAGCGCCCACACACACAATCACAGCCTCAACCACAACCCCTGAGAACCCCACCGCCGACTCCAGCATCCGTTTACTCGGCGCCCGCGTACGCGCCCCCACCCCCACCCACACACGAGCGTAGCGTCTCCGACTCTGCATTCAAACTCCTCTCCTTGTCCTCCACGTCGCCGCGACGCACACTGCGCAAACGCTCGGCTACACTCGCACAGGCCCCGCCACCAATCAGCAAGGCGCCACTGTCGCTGTTTCCGCCGCCGCGGGTTGCTGTGTAAGAATATCCCACACTCGTATCGATCTATCTATCCATTTGTGGTCACTCATATACACATACCTATATACACATATATTCCCAGGAAAGGATTTCAGGATTCGTTCTTGGTCCAGGCTATCATCACTGTACTGTTTTATTTTATTTGTCCATCTAGTTGGGGTTTTGGGGGGTACGAAATCACGATTCATTTTCCCTCGGGCACGCAGGGGTGATCAACTTTCTTTTGTTTGGTTCACATTGGTGTCAAATGGCAGGGAAAGAAAAGTGGAAGACTAGAAGGGGGGTTCTTGGAGAGGAGGAAAAGTTTCAAGTCTAGTGATGTGGTGTCAAGAGTGGGATTGTACGCTATAAAGTCTTGTGTGTGTGTACTGTACTATACTATACAATCGACCGGCCTATGCAGGCAACTATATTTCTTGGTGTTGTATATGACTGTGTGTTTGTGTGCTGTTTCATTACGTGTTTTGTTTGTGCATTCGTGGTGAGGACATGCGGATAAGTGTCCATAGCTGTGTGTTTTCGTGTTGTGTTCGTGGCTGTCTCTATTATCTTTGAGACTGCGGTTGTTCATATTCTCTGAGACTCTCTTGTCACCTTGCTGTCTGTGTCGATTTTGATAGCCTGTGGTTGCTCAAAAACACTACTAGTATGTAGCAAAGATGGTCCAGAATGTTGGTTCATCTACTCGATGGCATTCGCGCATGCTGTTGCTTCGCCAGCTTCAATACACCAAGATATCGTCTCCATACCTCGGCATCGCCTTTCTACAACCTTCCGTCGTTCTGCACCCACGTGTATATCCGTACATCTATAATCAGTCGTCGAGCATAACTAGCACTCGCTATGTTTAGTCCGTTCGAGGGTGGTAGTATATGTTGAATGGTAGTATGTCCTATTAACAGCATACCTTATCATAGTCCATGGTGCATGTATACACACATATGGGCTACGCTGACAAGCATGAAGACTGTATAGAGTATTATCCAATAGAGTACCTGTAGAACAAGTATAACTGTATACATGTAGTAGCATACATGTATCATACAGAGTACGTATATGGTTTGAGGAAGCACCCAGTATGCTCTGTAGTAGACTATAGGGTATGTTTATCATACTGAATGCACGTATTACTCTCAATACTCATCATATTAAGTACATGTAAATCTACCTCCATAAAACTGTCTAAATAATATGTCTCTTCAAAGTATAACCTTACAGAGCGTCTTCTACGAAGAATAGACCTGTATAAGAGTCTATTGATTACAAAGTCCTAGAAACAACTTCTCTCTTCTCTCTTCTCTCTTCTCTCTTCTCTCTTCTCTCTTCTCTCTTCTCTCTTCTCTCTTCTCTCTTCTCTCTTCTCTCTTCTCTCTTC